ACTTAACTCTAAGCTTATTATTAGTCTAGCTATTGTTAGAGACATTAAGAACCTAGTTATTAGGTATACTAGGCTCCTTATACTAGGCAGAGAGGTGGTGCTTGCTAGAGAAGATAATGAAGGGTAGGATAGACTAGCCCTTCGCGCAGATGCCTTAGATAATGCTAGTCTACTCTTAGTTGCCCTGCTGCACTGCCTTTAGTCTCCCTTAACGCTTAGAGCCTGTAACAACAGCTCCTATTAATATAACACCTATTATAAAGCTAGACTTGTTAAAGTTATAGGTGTCTTTATCTTGTATACTATACTTAGCTTTAGTATTCTCTACTAGTTAGAACTAGTCCCTAATTACCTTAGGGTCCTTACATAGAGCTCTCTTATAGTTATACTTGCAATTAAATTTGACTTTAAGCTCTATCTAACGTTTAACAAAGTTGGCAGCCTAGTTCTTGCCAACGTGGGGCTGGTGGCGCTTAGCAAGCAGAGAATTGGCCATATCCTCCACATTAGCAAGCTGGGGTGAGTATCCTCGCTCGTCTAGCTTTAATACATGCTGGACAATTACCTCCTCTTTAGTACTAGTCATCCTTATCATGTTGGGCTTGCAATTGCGTTAAGAGAGCTTTCTGTCGCGTTGTTGTTGTAGGGTGCTTTCTAACACCTTATAGATAGCTGCAGCGCGTGGCACAGTAAGATTTGCGTCTTGTTGGATAGCCTGGAGAGTAAGCTGTATGTCTGCTTCATTTAACAGCCTCTTTATGTTATTTTGTTGAGGTATAATAGGCAGAGTGAAGTTTGGTGTGGTCTTGGCAAAACCCGGTCACTCGCTTGTGCCGGTCACTCGCTTGTGGAGTACGTTAATAGATTTTTATCCTATTTTAAACTAGTGTTAATTGCGCCTCTATTTCTTTAGCGTTGTGTGGTGTTCTTACCTCCTAAGCAGCATTAACTTGCTGTAGTAGAGTTTGCGTACGCAGCTGCACATCTAGCTTTAATAACACAGCCTGTAGATTATATAGAGATAATCTAGCGCCTTAAAACCCTGCGCAAGCATTCTCTCTTGTAAACGCCTTCTTAAAAGCTACTTTAAAGGCTAGTAAGAAGGTCTGTTTGCTAATATAGTTAATACAATTGTGTGCTAAGGCTAAGATCTAATTACTATACGCGCGCTTTAATAGCAAGAAATAGGCAACACTAAGTGGCTGCAGGAGGTGCGACAAGTGTAGAGGTATATAGAGGGTAATAATCTTCTTCTCCTTGTAGCAATCCTAGAAATCTATTAAGCAATAGCTCTTGTGGCTGTTAATAATTAGCAGCCTATACGCTCCTACAGGCCTTGTATGTGTATTAAAGTAATTAAGCTAGGCAAGCGCTAGATTGTTGTTTGTCTAGCCTGTTAGGCTTACTTAAATAACCTAATTGTGTAGGAGGTCCTTAGTAAACTAGTTAGAGATAAGAACCTTACTAGCAAAGATAAGGAAGGGTAGGATAACATGCCTTATTGCGCTAACGCCCTATATTAACATAGTCTACTTGCAATTACTAGGCTAAAGCTTCTTTGCTTTCCTAGGTTTCTCTATGCCTATTATAACAAGTTATAAAGATATCTTGCCTATTAGGAAGCTAGACTTGTTAAAGTTAACGTATTCCACCACCCAACAGCTCAAACCACCCAACAGCTTAAAATGTCTTGGCACAACTAACACTAGTTATAAATTTCTATTTTTATTACTATTATACAAGGAGCCTGCATACACTGTACTAACCTCTAATTTAGAAGTCTCCTCTACATCCTTTTTACACATTCGCGCGTTGTGCCTAGTCTTGCTGCAGTTCCTACAGCGCTGTAAAGCTGGTTAGGCTCTCTCTTGATCACCACCACGACAAGCCTTCTTCAACCGCTCAGCGGCTATAGAGGCCTCTGCGGCCACCTGGGCTGCTGCCTCACTATACTCCATTGTGCCGCCATGCTGGATCCGCTTCCTTTTGCGCGATTTCCTTTTAGTTATCACTGCTAATTGCTCTTCAAGCTCAGTAATCCGGGCTGCTTAAAGCGCGTTCTGATACAGCATAAGCTCACCACCTCTAATAAGCTAAGAGAAGCCTGCCTGCGCAGTAATAGGAGAATAAGTAAAGGACTTGCATACAAGCTTTAATTGCAATCTAAACTTATGTGTATTGCTTAGAGTCTTTAACTGCCACAGCGTCTCTAGGAGGAGGGGTTCTAGCAGGGTACGCAGCCACACTTTAAGGTAATCTAATATAACCTGTGCATTAAGAGGGACAAGTCCTAATACCTTAAAGGCCTTATAATAGATTACCTCTATAAACATGTTACAAAATATATCTTTAAAGGCTAGTAGGAAGCCTTCTTTATTAATATAGAAGATGTGCTTATGTGCTAAGTCTTGTACACACTAAGAGTACTTGCGCTTTAATAGCAAGAAGTAGACTATATTAAGTAGCTAGAGGATGTGCAATAAGTAAGGTGGCATGCAGAGGGTAAGGATCTTATGTTTAAGGCAGTAGTCCTTAAAATCCTAGTTAAGGTAGCTCTTATAGCTGTCTAAAATAAGCAGCCTGTACGCCCCTACCTAGCCTGCCTTTGTATGCGCGTTAAAGTGCTTCAACTACTCTAGACTAAGCGCATTATTTGTCTAGCTGTTCTAAGAGACTAAGAGCTTCTAATTGCGCAGTATATCTGCCTCCTTGTACTAGGCAGAGATGTAAACGCGTCCTTTGTAGATAATAAAAGGCAGGGTACAAGATCTAGCAGTGCAGACGCTCTAGATAACTGTTACCTATTCGCGATCACCTGGCTGAACAAGCTTAGGCTAAGTACACCTCTCTGCGCCTGTAATAACCTTTATTAAGCTAATAACACCTATCTAGAAGCTAGTCTTGTTAAAGTTGTGCATGTTGTAGTTGTGTACGCTGTACTTGGCTCTAGTGTCCTCTACCAGCTTAAACCACGCGCTAATTGTCTCTAGATCCTCCTGCAGTATCCTCTGCCTATCTTTAGCTTGATTGAAGGCCATCTTAAGCTCAGCTGAGCGTGTTACAAAGCGCTCAGCCCAGTGCTTGCCAACTGGCTGCCCACCGCGTACACCCAACACTTTATTAGCCATATCTGCTACTTCGCACAGCTAGGGCGCGAATCCTCGCGAATCTAGGTTAAGGATATATTAGACAATTGTTTGCTCTTCTATAAGCGTAAGTTTGTGGCTGTTAGGTGCTTATTTAAGGATAAACAGGGCTCCTCTAACACGTGCAGAGAGAATGTGTTATTTAATATTAAAAGCGCGCACAGCTGCTCTCTAGCTTTTAAATTATTTTAAATAAAGAGCTTTAAGGGCAAGGTTAACTCTACCTTTGTGTTTACGTAGTAACGTGTTATGTAGTTAAGGCATGTTGTAACAAAGAGGGTGTTTGTTGTGCCAAGACATTTTAAGCTGTTGGGTGGTTTGAGCTGTTGGGTGGTGGAATACGTTATATATATTATTATCTATAATACTATACTTTGCCTTTATATTCTAAACTAGCGTGAACTAGGGCTTAAGAATTGCTAGGTCTTTGTAGAGAGCTTGCTAGTAATTGTATAGACAAGTCTAGCGCATGCGCAGCTTAGGTGTACGCTTAATAAACCTGTTAACCTAGTATTTACTAACAGGCTTACTGCCGCAATCGCGCAGCAGTCTATCAGCCATATCTTGTACATGTAGCTTTAAGGGCAGTACTCCACGTAGGTTCTTATTAAGTATACGCTGCAGAATTACCTCCTCTTCTAGCTTTGTTAGGCGCTTTAATCTAGGCTTGCAGTTGCGTCTAGAGGGCTTCCTATTATATTGTTGTTGTATTGTCCTACAAGGAACGCTGTAGACTGCCTCAGCACGTTGCAGGCTTGTAATCTAGTTGCATTTAATATTAGAGAGGGCAAGCTGCACGTTAGCTTCAGTATAGGGCTTGTGAGGTTGTGGTTGTTGAGACATTACGCGTTGAGTGTCGCGCATGCGCTTTGCTGGTGTTCGTGGGGCGCTCACTGAGGTGGGGCGCTCACTGATAAAACAGGTTATTATGTTAGGGTAAAAGGTGGTTGTGCTAAGAGAAAGTGGCTAGTTTGGTGATATGGCTGGCTTAGTGATAATCTACGTTAACTATAAAGCTAGTGTACTTCTTTAATGGCGCTGAGCGTTCGTCTATGCGATTGTTTAGTGATGGTAGCGTATACCAGATGCTTGTTCACACTGAGTATTGGCAGGGCTATTACAAGCCTGTCAACAACAGCTTTGAGAGCCATGCTGCTAAGCGAGATTGGGAGGCATTCTGTGATGATCTAGACCCTAAAGAGCTTGCTGTTGTACAGCAGTCAGAGTTCAAGTAAGTTATCACAGCTTATTATCACATACACTGATTGCTAACTGAATCAGGCGACAAGAGCCAGCTTATAAACTTGAAGGCCTTGATGATTCCCATTTAGACAACGCAGTTGCAAAATCTAGATAACGAACAGGTGAACACGTCAGCCGAGTGCTGAGTACTCAGTACGCACATGTGAGCGTGACGTAAGATCAAGACGTATGCCAGGGCGAAGCCAGGCGCGCAAGAACATGTTCGACAACTCGAAAGTTTTGGCAGAACGATGGCGTAAAGTCTGAAGTGTACGCTTTCGGGACGTCGCTCGAGCAGAGCAGGCGCAGAACATGCCGGATAACAGCGTTTCTTTCGGGTAATGTTGAGGTGGAGTGATGTATAAGGTTGCAGTCCTGTGCACTCTTATAGGCAAGTTGTCGCATTGCAAGTGTTCCTGGCGCGGTGCTGGTAAAAAAAATCGTTGGTATTACCATGGTCTTCTTGTGACATGGCGGTCACCTGTCCCTGTCTACCAAACCCTTGTGCAATCCCAACAAACGCCTTGCTCATGCAGTAATCGGGCCATCATATAGTACACATTTTTATACAACTCCCTGTTGCCTCCCGGCTCTTCAGTGACATCTGTCCGCTTACTTGACCTCCTTCTCGAGCATCTCCTTGGCCTCGTTGACCTTGGTGGCCAGGTATGGGGAACCGCCGCGATCGGGATGGTTGAGGAGCATGAGCGATCGGTGCTTCTTGCGAAGGAGATCTTTTGTGATGCCGCGCTCACTGCCGTCTGTCAGTATCGCAACGATTCCCACATGAACATGACTGTACGCACGGCATCTCGAGGATCAAGGCAGCTTCTCGCCGTGTCATCTTGGGCTCAAAGCCGCCCTTGTAGAAACTGCGCCCCAGCTTGGAGCCACCTACGCCGTTCTTGCGTATCGCGATGAGCGCCGCGCGACCCTGAGACTGTTAACTTTTGAACACTGCAGGCAAGTGCATAGACGCACGAAGAAGGCACCTGCGCCCAGGCCGAGGACCCATAGCCCTACAGACATGTGGGTGTGTGTATTTAGTGGTTAATCGCGAGACTAAATGCAGGAGGTTGCGACGAGGTGCAGATGAATACGGCGAGTGATGCGGTGACTGATGGCGATAGATGCGCAGGCCAGCGGCGACGAGCAAGAATTGAGGAATTCGCGGCGGTCGCCGGTTCCCCATTGGTTGGCGGCAGCCGTCTGGTCCCACACCGCTGTTGGCCAAGCGTCGAGGGTCCGCTAGAAATCTTTCTGTGGCGCCCTCAGTCCACCAACCCTCACCTCCAGGAGCAGCCGACCAGGGACAACGCTGGCACCATGAGAATCGAAACGTGCTACTTCTGCTCGTCGCCCGTGTACCCGTCCAAGGGCATCACTTTTGGTATGCACACACCCCTCAGTCTTTGCGAGGACTTGCGCTGACCCACCAGTGCGCAACGATGCAAAGGCCTTCCGCTTCTGCAAGTCAAAATGCCACAAGAACTTCAAGATGAAGCGTAACCCGCGCAAGCTCGCCTGGACAAAGTCGTTCCGCCGCGCGCACGGCAAGGAAATGACCGTCGACAGCACCCTCGCCTTTGCCCAGCGCCGCAACATCCCCGTGCGCTACAACCGCGATCTTGTCCAGACCACCCTTAAGGCCATGTCGCGTGTTACCGAGATCCGCGCACGCCGCGAGCGCGCATTCTACAAGGCTCGCATGCGCGGCAACAAGCAGCGCCAGCGCGAGGAGGACCGCAAGCTCGTCGAGGAGAACCAGCACCTGCTGCCGCCAAGCGAGCGCTTTGCCGCGCAGCAGCTGGACGAGAAGGAGGCCGAGGTCGACGTTGCGGCGGTCAAGGCCAAGGTCGACAAGAGGCGGAAGGAGATTGAGATGGACGAGAGCGAGCTCGACAGCGATCTCGAGGAGACGCTGCCCAAGCAGAAGACGAAGAGGAAGCTGGTGAGGAAGGCTGGTGGTGGTACAGAGGCTATGGATGTCGATGCGTAATCGGTCGGCTTAGACTGGTTCGGTCGAGCGAGAGCATCTTACGGAGTTTGGCGTCAACGGCATTGCGGTAGAATACGGTCACGATTTCGATACCACGACAAAAGCACCCATCGTCCACGTTACCAAGTCTGTGGTCTGCATCTTCACTCTGCACCTTCTTTTGTCTACTCTGCACTTTCGACGGTGTTACGGACGGTGCCCAGCCTCACAACGGGTTTCATGCGTCTGCTGAGACCCGAGATGGTCATGCTAACATCGACACTAAATATCTTGCAGATGTGGAGAGGAGAGCGCAGAGCGCAGCATGATATCACGGCGACGGCGATGCGTACGACTAGACCAAGTGATCGCTACGAAGCAGGTTGACATACATACTAATAACTATACAGGCACGACAGCGGTCTTGAACCAGCACATATGCGAGTACCCGATTGCAAGAATGAACCGTGAACAGCACTGTGGGTGAGTGAGTACGCAGGATCCTCAATCTACTCAGAGATTACAAAGGCATACCCAGACAGTATTCGCCGTGCACTTGCATGCGTGGATGGGTGTGCAATATGCCTACAGATTTGTCAGCTGAACGTAAGCCTATCGCAATGGACTTTGATATAAGCTGACGACCGCACAGATTGCCTTCGTTCGAAATTGGTGAACGCATGAACGACAATACATGCGTGTTATCTCTGCCTTGCGTGCTCAGCTTCTGTCACGAAAGTACAGGAGGACGCAGGAATTCCCCAAGGCAGCCCTTGGGGCACGATCATGCTCAATTGAACTCAGCCCGGCGGTCAGGGTGAAGCTTTCGCTGTAAGATTCCTGCAGCTTTATCAGCTAGAAGTAGATCCTTCTCGCAAATTTTTGAAGTGAGCTGACATGACAGTCTTGCAGTTATACTCGTTCGGATCGGAATTTCTGTTTCAATCGACCGCACTGTCGCGTATCTGTGTCGTTGTGAGCACTGCTTACCACGGGATGCAGGGTGACTACACAGGGCAGGCACGACCCAGCCCCCGCAGACCGACCTTTGACAACAGAGTCTTCCTTGTTCATGCCCACAGCAGCACCACGCACGGCCAGCTGCCACTCGACCGTTCCCCTCCCAGTAAGGCATGCTCACCGATGCATTGCCCGCTCGTGAGAGTCTCCATTGCTGGCCCTGCATGTTGCAGATACCTTGCCAAGCACCATACACGGCAGGTCCCCTCGAGGCTGACGACGCTCGCAATCTTCCCGTGCTACGGACCTTGCTGAACATGCGGATTCTAGGTGGGTGCGGGAATCTGAACGCCCCACTGTCTCATGCCGTGTGGACACTGCACACCGCCAGCCTCATGAACAGTCGGATCAGTGAGAGTACTTTCTTAGTCAACAGGGCTCGGTGAAGTCAGTGCTCGAGTTGAAATAGCGTTGTACTAGACTGTTGGGGGATTTGCCTCCAGTTTCGGGGAGGGCCAGCCGCCTACTCTACGCTCAAACAGGCAATTTTACGATAAGCACGTCAATCGTATCTATCGCTCAGGTCCGGGTACGATACACGTCACTCAGAACATCTCCGCAGCCAAAAACGCAACGGCTACACATTCCGCCACATTCGACGTCAAAGCACATCATCCGGCGAATGTCCTTGCAGATTGCCATGCAACAAACATCATTTTCCGGAGTGTCACAACATCATAAAGCATTTGCCAAGCCTAGACAGGGCTGCTTGAATCTCGAGCTGACGACACAACCTTTCTGTCGGTTGGTAGCACGAGAGTCTCAAAAGCATTTGCCAACGGCAGCTTGTCTAAAAGGCTTACGACGACTGTCTGCGATTCGGCGGAGGCCTCTTACCTGATCTGGCAATCCACGACGCTGCATAACCAATTAGAGGCGCAGCAGAGATTGGCCAAGACAGCACCATGCACTCTTGGCAATTCACTCCAGCACCTCTCCACCTGTGATGTTGCAAAGCCTGAGAAACGACATCAGAGCTAATGCCGAACATTGCCGCGTCGGAAGTCAGGCACAGGAACTTGTTTCGGACCGCACCGTTGGCTCCTTTGATCCCGCTGCAACAGGATTAGTTGCCGTTTCAATATGGCGTTTACTATGGCAGAACAGTAGGGATTGAGATGAGATTTGCATCAGGACTAGAAGCCTTGGAAGACAACGAGCGGCTGAGTTGTGGAGCCACCAATCGAACGGACGAAATTTGTCACATCCTGCCTCTTCCGCCTTGCCATCCGAAAATCCTCACGGATCCTCTTTATCATCTGGAGCACGCGAGCGGAATGTCGCTTGTCAACCCTGGACGTGGCGAAACGAAATCCGAGCCCTACTATCTGCTGGTTGGGCGGCCACAAAGACGTCCTGGAGACGAGAAAGTGCATATAAGTTGTCTGCTTGCCCTTGGTTGAGGCTCACTATCATCGACCAGAAGCCTTCACGGACTCATCAGAATGGTCTACTTCGCACCTTCGTTCATCGCCCTTGCGGCGTCTGTCTTTTTCTCTGCGCCTGCGGTTGCTCATCCAGGCCATGACATTGCTGAGGAGATCGCTGAGCGCGCTGCCTACCTCGCCAGTGACTCTTACACCGATCTCGCTCACTGCGCTGAGACGCTGAAGTCTCGTCAAGCTGATCTGATCAGCCGCCGTAAGGCAATGGTTCAGCATCTGCGTACTAAGCGTGGCATTGTCAAGCGCGATTTTGAGGATGTCTTGAACACTGATCACCACTCGAATGCATCGGTCACTCCTGACAGCCCCGATGACGTTGTCTTTGCTGGTAACGCTTCGTGCATTCTCCAGCCGGAGACCACCGAAGGCCCATACTGTAAGCCCTGCCATCATGCCTATTTCTCTCCGAAAGCTGACGTTTTGTGTAGGGGTCTCTGGCGAGTATGTCCGTCAAGACATCACTGACGGCAACCCTGGTGTGCCCTTGACGTTCGATATTCAGGTCATCGATACCACAACCTGTGAACCGATCCCGCAGGTCGCCGTTGAAGCCTGGCACTGCAATAGTACTGGCGTCTACGGCGGAGTAGTCGCTGGTGGCAACGGCAACTCTGCTGATGCGAGCAACATCAACAACACCATGTTCCGTGGTATCCAGTTCTCCAACGAGAACGGTATCCTGCAGTTCGACACAACTTTCCCCGGCCACTACAGCGGACGTACCACTCACATCCACGGTAGGCCTTCGCGATTCCGTGCCACCGCTGACAACAACTGACGATCATACAGTGCTTGCCCACATCGACTCGACCATCAACGAGCAGAACCAAACCCTCACTGGCGGCCACATCTCCCACGTCGGCCAACTCTTCTTCGACCAAAAGCTCATCACCGACGCCGAGTCTGTCGAGCCCTACGCCTCCAACACGCAGAGCCTCATGCTCAACGCTAACGACGGCATCTTCGCCCAGGAGGCCGCTACCTCCGACCCCGTACTCAATTACGTCTACCTTGGCGACAGCGTCGACGAGGGCCTCTTCGCTTGGGTCACTGTTGGTATCGATCCTAATGCTGTTACCGAGCCTCACGCAGCCGTTAGCTTCGGTGAGAACGGCGGTGTTGTTAACCCCGGTGGCGGCGGTGGACCTGGCGGACCACCTCCTAGCGGTTAAGCCGCAAGCCTGCGCCTACGATCACCGTTGCCTAGACTGGTGAAGAGTCCGAAGGCAGAATCGAGATCAGAAGCGTCAAGATGGAGGTTGTAGGTGGCTTGAGATTAGGAGAAAGTGAAGTTAGGACGGTGAGACTGCGATTTGCCAAGTCTAGTGTCCTTCCCGCGGTGGTCGTGTGTTATCGTTCGCTTGCAAAGTATATCGCGTTCACTCGCTTCTATGTTCTTATCTGTATTCATTTGATGTCTCGAAAACACATCAGCAGGTTGCCCAAATCATGCTCTCTCTGCCTTCAGATCTTCGCCATCGAACCATCATGTTGCCCTTTCTTGCGAGTCTGGATAGTGTCCTACATCTTTTAGGTACCCGCTGAAGCGAATCTTCAATTTAACAATGTCGGCATCACTGTTCCTCCAACCCCCGACAACCACTTCTCGGGTCCAAAACGGGATCATTCAAATCCCATATGCCCTGCTCTCAAGAAGCCTCTTGAGAACAAAATTACAGCGACGATGACCCATGGTTATCGTTCTGCCATCCCCGAAAGCAAATTTGTCCCTTCTTCAATATTGAACGCCTTCCGGGTAGCGTCCACGTCCCTTCGCCGTCTCTTCGTCATATGATACTGAACTACGCCACGATTGTCATTAATGAGAGACAGGTGGATACTTTTAGAGAGCGCATCTGTCCATGTATTGGAAAAATAAGCCTTTGAGCTACATGATCGCAGCGGGGGTAAAAGATTAAATGCACACGCTGACGACTATCGCAATGTCAAAATCCAACGATGGTTCGCTATAAGTATGTGCATATACTACTTGGCAAGACCATACCTTCTGCAGATGTTCTGTGCCTCCTCTCCCCTTGTGCTAGTTGTGGCAAATGACTTCGACTCAAAACTTGTCGCATTGAGATGACGTGTCTTTTGACCAAAAATCTGGCGGATGGCTTGAATGTGTCTGGAGGTTGTGGTTCTTCACAAACAATATACACGTGCTTTGCCGGTGCATTTCATAAGTGATCAGGAGAGACTCGAATGTAACCATGCCGCACACGCCACGTATACTGCCTTCTCTCATACCCGCTCCTCCTCGTTGAGTTCCAGCCCCCTCTCAATCAGCCCCTCGACCCAGCCCTGGAACTCCTGCCTCATCTCAGCAGGCAGAACATGCCCCTGGCCCTTGACAAAGTGCTTCTCAACTTCGCCTTCCTCCCAGACATCCTCCTCATCTTCGATGCCTAGCCAGTTCTCCGTTCCGGTCTTGCCCTGTCCCTTCTCCAAACCACGCCACAGCACAACACCATGCGGAAACGTAATCATCTGGTCCTTCGTGCCATGAACAACCATGATGCGCTTCTTTCCTACCGTCTTGGCGATCTGCTGCAGCTGCTCCGGATTCTTGTTATGCCAGCCAGCAGCGATGAGTTGAAGAATGAATCCCGGCTTCGCGAAATACTCAGGATGCTGCCGTTTCCAGAGCTCGTTGGCGGCGAAGCGGTCGCCGCTCGTAGGGAAAGACTGCACAACAGGCTCAAGAGTGTCTGGAGAGTCGAGCCAGGCCGGTGTGTAAAGGTTCTTCTTTACGCCTTCGATTTGGGCGTCGATTGATTTGGGGATCAGCAGGTTCGCGCGATTGTATAGGTTCTCAATGAATCCGGTGGTACGGAATACGCCGGCAGCGGTGGAGACGAGGGACAGTGTGCAGATACGGTCGGGGATGAGCATTGCCTGAGGTAAAGTTAGTTTACCGTCGTGTTTCTTATCTCCGAATTGCTATTCGGATGTGGTCATGCCTGAGCTTTGACGCTCGAGGCACATGACATGTAGGCTAGAGGAGGGGGGGGGGGGGGGCAGAAATCAGGTACCCAGGCGATTTGCATGAGTTTGCTTGATAGTCAAATCATCCAAGTCGACGATGTCTCTTGCCTGATCCGCACCGTTTCAGGCACTCTTCTGAACGGAAGTTGTACCTTCCGAAACCCTCAACAGACATTGTGTCGACCTAAGATGCCGTTTGATGAAGCGTGCGCGGAACAAGACTTGATGCACATGTGGTGACTCAGACTTACAACTTCTTGGGCGATCATGCCGCCCATACTGATTCCGATGACATGCAGTTGACGCTTATCGGTCCAGCCAAGGTGGTCGATGACTTCAAGAACATCTTTGGCCATCTCAGACGTCGAGTACCTTGCTCTGGGCTTGTCCGAGTCACCGATACCGCGATTGTCGTACACCAAACACGAGTACTGTTCCGCTTGCGTGTGTCCAAAGTCTTTTGTCTGACGTTGCCATGCGTACTTCATACCGCCAAGGCCCATGATCCACTACCTGTTGTCAGTGGGTCCATTTTGAGATGACCTTGGAATCGAGAAGGATGTAGATGAGGTTGCAAACCAACACGGCAAGTGCAACGGATACGGAAGCCGCGGACGAAACACATGTGGGCGTGTTGCGAAAGTAGACTTGACGAGATGAGACGCGAGGTTGAGGGCTGAGACGGTCCATGTGACCCAAACGAAACGTGACAACAAGCCACTGCTCGTAGCGAGTACGAAGACAAGGCAGGAAATAGGAATTTGACGTTTGGTGCCTCGAAGTGATTACCTCCAAAAAAATGTGCACTTACCACAATCTTGCGGTCGCCATGGCCGTGAACTTCGTAGGCAATGTTGATGGGGCCACCTCGGTCCTTTGCAACAGCAACTTTCCCTTCCTGGTCAGGCTTGAGCTTCCAGATAGTGTGCTCATACTCTGGGTGCTGCTGCAGCTCTTCAGCAGTCAGCGGCGCCATGATTGTAAATGCTTGACGCTAGATGCAGAACTGACGATGGCACGTTAGCCAGCGCACAGAGCCAGGAGTTGATGGTGTCAAGGATGAAGCTGCGACGAGCGTGGCGCAGCCCCGGTACACACCGTCAGGGAGTTCCATTTGTGGCTACTGCAGCTCGGCTGCCGGGAGCGATCCTTCCACGATCACGCCAGGCACAAATCATGCCACCTGGGAGGCACTCACAGGCTATCCAGATGTCGAAAAGCCACCAAAAGAAATTATTATGGCGGCGAGGTCGACGTAGAGTTGTTTGGTGCAGGCAGATTGTTGTCTTTGATCGACCGAGGCTCCACAAGACCTGGCCAAGTGAGAGGAACGACACGCGCTAGGCCGAATTGAGACGCCGCAGCTGCACCTCGCGCGAACAACGGATGACAATCATTGTGATCTCCAACGCGTGAGAAGCTTAGCTCTAGGCGCGAGTAGAGCTCAGGCCCCTCCTTTGGTCCATAGTTTACAATCGCCACAAGTCGCGTGAATTGCTTGTCAATCAGGGTCCAGCCCTTTCAAACCTCCGCCCTTTGGTCCGATCTAACCCCCATCCCGCGCACCACAGTACATCAAACAAGCTTCTGCCTCACCCGCGCACTGGTTGACGCTATTCGGCCACCTGCAGGTCTGCGACGACATCTCCAAGTCCCTGCTGATGAGCTGCCTGGCCCTGTTTCAGCCGGCTTAGATCTTAGCTCCGCCCTCCGCCCTGCGCGTACATTCTCGCAAAACACCTCGACACCCCGTACCCCAACGGCACGAGCGACCTGCGCACACCCCACACCACCCAACTCGCCTACCCTCGCCGCCATGAACACGTCGCCGAACGGCTACTACGGCAGACCGCCGCCAATGATGAACCCGCCGCCTCCGCGCATGTTCGGCAGTGGCCAGTTTGACCAACCGCAGCTTCCCCCGAACATGTTTGCGCCGGATGATGTGGATGATCTCAACGACCAGGGTGACCCAAAGAGGAGAAGAATAGCTAGGGTACCTATTGTCGAGGGGATGGTGTGACAATGCTGACAGGACATAGGCCTGCGACATGTGCCGAAAGAAGAAGATCAAGTGTGACGGCAAGATGCCCTCATGCACACATTGCCAGAACTACAAGACGGAATGTATCTTCACACAGGTCGAGAAGAAGCGGCAGCCGCCGAAAGGGTGCGTCTACAATTGCTTGGGCCTCAGAAGCACTTACATTAACCACTACATACAGTGCCAAGTACATCGAAGGCCTCGAGAACCGTCTAGCACGGATGGAGTCGTTGATGCGTCTATCTGGTGTGCTACCAGAAGATGACGATGGCAGCACAGACCTTGCCACCATCGAGAAGCGTTTGACCGACCGAGCTGCCCGCTCAGCAACACCCAGGCAGTCAGAAGATAGGAGGCAGTCGACAGTACCTCAATCAGGCACATCCACGAATGACGGCACCCCAGCACAACCGACACTGCCAAGCCCAAGAAGCGGCACAGCATCACCTGAGCCAGAAGCCCAAGCAGAAGGGGAAAGGAAAGGGAAAGGGAAAGATGGCGAAGACGCACTTGCTGAGATGATGTGCTCCCTGGTCACAAACAACTACGGCGAGACCAGGTACATTGGTGGGTCACCTCTACGGCCCTAAACTTGATCGTACTGACCACTGCAGGTTCGTCTTCAGGATTCTCCATCTTCTCGCCAAAGGGCATCCAGTGGGTGAACGAAAAGACTGGCGACAACTCCTTTCAACACATGATCTCAACAGCGGCCGTAGAAGATAACAAGTGGATACAGTGGCGACCAGATGTATTCCAGGACATCTTTAAACGCCGAGTGTACAAGCAACTGCCGCCAAAGCACGAGGCCTTGTCGTTGCTCAAGGACTACTTCGAGAACTTCAATTGTATGTTCCCGCTGTTCCACGAACCGACCTTCATGCACCTTGTCGAGAAACATTACTCGAAAGACCCTTACGAGGGATCTGGCTGGTGGGCAAGCCTGAACGTCGCATTAGCCTTCGCTCATCGTTTGCGAGTCATGAGCAACCTCGTACCGGCAGAAGAGGACGAAAAAGCGTGGCAGTATCTGAAGAACGCCATGAGTGTCATGGTCGAACTGACCATGCGCAACACCGATCTGCTCAGTGTACAGGCTCTATTGGGCATTGGCTTGTTCTTGCTTGGCACACCCAACCCACAACCCACGTACTTCTTCGTTGCAACGGCAATGCGACTCGCACACAGCATTGGTTTGCACAAGAAGGGAGCCAACTTCAACCTCAACAACGCCGAGGTCGAGCAGCGGAAGCGTGTTTTCTGGATTGCCTATATGCTCGACAAGGACATTTGCCTGCGCTCTGGGCGACCACCCATCCAGGACGATGACGATATGAACGTCGAGCTACCTAGCGAATTCCCATCCGATAATATTGGCAACATTCCGCTTGCGGATGGGAAAGGCACAATGAACCTTTTCCGCCTCATGTGCACGTTCTCCACCATCCAGAGCAAGGTCTACAAAGGTTTATACTCGGTCAAAGCCTCGAAACAGACGGATGGCGAGCTTCTCAATACGATTGGCGAACTCGACAGAGAACTTGAGAGCTGGAAAGACGGCATCGCGCTTGAATTCCGACCTGAGCACGACATCAAGGCCTCGCATACGCCTCTCATTCTCCAGGTCGCAGTGCTGCACCTTGGCTACTACAACTGTCTGACAACAATCCACCGCATGAGCGTGCACCATGGCTACTGGACAAGTCGACTATCGAACTTTGCCATCCAAGGGCTTAATGCACGTCCGCTAAACCCCCGAGTGTTCATGTCAGCACAGCTCTGCGTGCAAGCAGCGCGAGCATCCATCCACCTTCTCAAGTACATCCCTAAGGGTGATCTCTCGTGTGTGTGGCTGGTCATCTATTTTCCTGTCACAGCGCTTGTTACGTTATTTGCAAACATCTTACAGAACCCGCAGGACACAAGATCAAGATCGGATCATAAGCTCATGAAGCTGGTGGTCAATTTCTTGAACATGCTGAATGATGAGCAAGGCAGTGGAAGTGTCAAGCGCATGTGCAGTGTATGCGCCGAGTTCGAGCGCATTGTGGCCATTGTGCTTGATAAGGGGGACAGAGAAAATGCCTCACGACGCAAGAGAAAGCAAGGCAACAACGAACAGGATGCACAGATTGAAGCCACAGCAGCTGAGCTGTTGTCAACAAGACGCAGCTCGCATTCGCAATCATCGCCCAACGTTGCGCCATCACCACAGCAGCAGCCTCCTCAGCAGGAAGGTCTCATCTTCAACCCCGACTTCCATGGCTTCAATGAGGTATGCACCTCGTCTCTACTTCCGATTATCGATACTGATTCTTATAGCCTTTCCCATTCTCACCAAATTTCACACATGCCTCATTGCAGGCCAGCGCGCCGACGCGTCAATACGGCTCACCCTCCATGACTGCACAGATGCTCCAGCAACAAGGTGGCCTTCCGATGACAACAAGTGCTGACGTCAATGGCATCAATAACAACCTCAACTCGATAGCAATGGGTCAATTCGACCAGACGTTTAACAACGTACCACAAGATCTGTGGAAGATGCCTATGACGCTTGAGTGGGACTGGGCAGACATGACTGGCTACAATGGCTATGAAGATGGCATTAGCATGAATGGCGTGATGCCAGACTTCTCGCAAACGGACCACGGGACGAGCCAGTTTAATCACAATAATATGAACGGTGGTCGGTAACTGGGAAGACGGAATAGGCGCACAAGTGGAATTTCCACCCTTCTCAACCTTAATGTCGAATGTATAGTTTACAATGTTGTATGGTAAAGGTAGAGCGACGCACTTATAAGTGCACATATACGAATGAACGATCACGACTGCTGCAGAAGAGAAGCGTCTACCGAGTCTTTGAAGCGATACGTTCGGAGATCTCGGCTTGCCCCGCGCTTCGCTCCGCACGCCCGCCATCCGCTGGACAGAGCTACCCCAGATCTACACAAACAATCCCACAGGCACCCCACACTCAATTCCGATTTCAGTATACATCCACTATCTAAGGACAAGCAAGATGGTGTATGGTATCGAAAGCCAGCAACCCAAGCCACCACCACGAGTGGTGCTCTTCGGCTATGACTGTAGGAATTCGCCACCATACGAAGGTCAACGCATCAGGCTCACACACATCAGCAAGTCCATTCGCCAATAAAGTCCGCCTCGCGCTTCGAATCAAACAAATCCCCTTCTCCTACGTCACGGTCCCTTCAATGATGCCAAGACCACTCCTGAAAACAGTTTTCGGCCTGTCATACCGCAAGATCCCGATCCTGGCCATCGGACGAGACATTTACTGCGACACTTCTCTCATCATCGAAGCCCTCGAACACTACTTCTCAGAGCCAGCATATGGAACCGTCTACCCAAAAGCCCGAGGAAATGAATTTTGGGACTATCGACCCCTAGCAAGAGGATTTGCAAGTTTCTGGACCGACAAACCGCTGTTCCGCACCACGACCGGTCTGATCCCGCACACAGTGTGGGCAAGCAAATTCGGCACGGACCGCGGGCAGCTCATCGGGCACAAGCTGGATCCAGAGAAGCTCAAAGCCAAGGTGCCGCAGAATCTGGCGGCTTTCGATCTGCATCTGAGTCTGCTGGAGCCGATGTTCAAGGCTTCGGGACGAAGTGAGGCTGGAGGTTGGGTTTTTCCAACCGACAGTCCAAGCCTCGGCGATCTGAGCCTTTGGTATCAGATCAAGTGGGGTGTGGATATTGCGAGTGGCAAAGGCATATATAATCTTACGGGTGGCGGGACGAGGGATACGGATGAAGATACCACAGCAGGTGTATGGAATGCGCAGAGATATCCGAGTTTGTGGCGCTGGTTCCATGAGTTTGAGAAGTACGTCGATTCGCTGCCGAATCTTGAGGTGGTGGTCAAAGACGGTGATCATGCTTGGAAACGAGCCTTGAAAGAGACAAAGCTTTGGAAGGATGAGAGAGTTCTGGTTCCGGCTGCGGCGGCCCCACAACATAGCCTTGATGTTCAGAGGGGACTGAAGCCGGGGGTTGTGGTGAGTGTTGTGCCGGACGATACGGGGAGGGGTGATCCGACGACTGGGAAGTTGATTGCGATAGGTGTTGAAGAGGTGGTCATTGAGCCGGAAACCAAGGGCGAATTGGAAGTAAGAGTACACTTCCCAAGGTTGGGATTCGTTGTGAAGATGTTTAGTAGAGAAGAGGCCAAACTCTAAGCATCATGGCCTAGAAGCTTAAGGCTCCAGGTGCCTTGCTAGACGTCGCAATTCCGGTGTAGTACAATCTTGATCGAAAGCCACATGCTCTACTTCCCCCATCGTTCTAATTTTCTGTCGCTCCCGCACACGGAGTCTGCCCCAACAAAAAGCCCCATTGCATCCAGAAGGGCGACCAAGTGCCGCGCATCTCCCAGCCTACCTATCCAGAGGAAGCAATCCGTCTCTTCTGCTATCGTTGTACCAACGCTCCTCCATGACTTGACGTGGATCGTGATCAGTAGGGTCGTCATTGCCCATGTGAACCATCTCTCCGAGAGCACCGCCTTCGTGGCCCGCATGCAACCAAGCGGTAATATCAAGAACGTTGTAGGCATTCGACTCTCTGATTTAAAAGGTTCGACCTGACTATACATGTAGGATGACACTTCGGAAGTATTGACGATGCCCATAACAGTGATGCTTGTACGGTTACTCTTGATCATATTCAACCACTCAACGCCCTCATTATCATCGGCTTCACGCAGTCTCCTGATCAAAACTCTACCCAAAACCTTGTCGTCGGAACTCTTGTCTCGCTCAAACTCGGCTAAGCGCGAAAGGCTCAACAATGGCTTCGGAATATTGTTGAAGTCGAGCAAGCACTTGATAACCATCGAGACGAGTTCTCAGAAGCGCGTATAAAGCTGCTGTACAAGTTTCTCTCGTCTTTAAAGAGGGACTTTGCGCCGGAGATTGTTACTGCAGTGAAAGGACTCCGAAGAGTCTTGGAACATACAGATGATTGAACCGGGATTACGGAGAAGTCAAGTGCGTCCGGTGAGGTCCAAATAAAAAGAAGACGTTGAATGACAGAACGTCGACAGATTGCTTGACTGGATTTGGTGACCGACAAAGTCAAGCATAGTATCATGAGAGGGCATGGACAAAATATTCTGAATACAATGGTTCCTTTCAACTACGGATGTCGCGGCAAAGTCACTGATGATTTCTCAGCTAGAGGGCTAGCTGTTTAACGACTGAGCAAGTAAACTCCACTGCACATTGATCTCACAGCCGAAGGATGGGCAGCTGACATCCACTGTGGGTAGCCAAGTCTTTGAGGAAGCTGGAATTCAGCAAGTCGCAGGCGAATTAGTTCTATCCAAATTCTTCAAACCAAGTCTGCACGCAAGGTCCGCGCCTCCGCCTCCCGAGCCAGGGTCTGAGGACCCAAGTACGTAACGACTCTCAACTGGTCTTTCTGCAACGCACAGCTGACGTAGACGTGTATATCGCGGGTTTTCTCAAGGTAGTCTGCTCCATTGTTGTGGCATTGTCAGATTGCAGTCTTCAACACTAGATACAAGACTTACTAAATCGCCTTCAACGCTATCTCATAGTTATCCATCTGCGGTAGCATCCTCTCAGCATCTCGTCTCGTCGAGAAGTAGCGGCGTAGACGCGCGAGTACCTCCATGTCGTTCTTGCAGAAGGGGCCTGGGGAGATGTACACCTTGGGCGTCGGAATTTTGCCGGCTTGCGTGGTGAAGTAGAAGCCCGGGCCACGTGCTGATCCGTCTTGCGGCAGTATTTCCGGCGCCCCATCAGTGAAGGTGTTCCAGAAGTCCTGAACATCTTGAATAACCTGCTCGCTGTACATGGACAGGTCATTGCGCCCTCCAATAGTCAGCGCGTCCATGAGGTACTCCAAACTTGTATTTGGCGCGCGGGTGTAGATCTTGACCCTTGAGTTCTTCGGCGAGATGAGGTCAAAGGAGAATATGTGGATCTCCATGTTCCACTTACAGGCGGCTTCCTCAAGGTAATCTCGAAGCGGCTCGAAGGTCAAAGAGGCGTATTGTTCTGCCGGGAGAGCTTTGATCGCACGGAAGACGACATCGGATTTGGAGATTTTCAGTTCTTTGGCCTTGAGGCCAGGGTACATGTATGCCTTCACCATCGGTCCACTTCTGGCAATATCTCGCATGACGAAAGTACCACCCATAGGCGCGACCTCGAATAAGTCGTTCCTCGCCAATTTTGCACGGTCGACTTCACTTGGTGGGGTATTCTTGCTCGGTAGGATGGTTTCGGTGAAGTGACGATACCATTCGAGATCAAGTACCTTGGACTTCGAGATGTTTGATCCAAACGTCAGTCTCTTGTCGATTGTAAGGATCGATATCTGTCCCGGCAAGTGGACCAATCGGCTCAAATCCAGTGCGGATGGTGCCTTTGCCTTCGAGTCCCCATTCCCAGCTGAATTCGAGAGGCGTTCCGTCAGGCGTGTGAGGTGTACGCCATCGTAGATGGCCGCTCCTGTCGGGGGCAGCGCCTAGTTCTGGAACAATGTGGATTGCAAAGAACAAAAGCTCGGTATACTGCGCAGACTTGGTATAGCCAGCGCGATGCAGCAGCTCTGCGAGCTGCTTTCCTGTCCTATCCCACCAAAATTGATGGTTCATATCTTGAAAGCCTAAGGTCGAGCTGATGATGTCAACAGGTTTTAACTGATCTGACCGGCTGACCTGCACATCGGTGGTTAATGGTTGATAAACACGGGTATTTGATGCATCACTCTTGCTGTGCTTTCTGTCGGCGATGGCTTTCAGATCGTTTGGCGAAAACGCATCGAGGTTTGTTATCAGTGTGTGCACAGAATCTGATGTTTGACTGGACGCGATCAGACTGTCTCGAGTAGTACGATTTTGCACAGACCTTGAAGTAGAACGCAGGCGGTCCGACAATTGCGCGGACATGACTGACAGTGGTTGCCGGGATCGTGTAGCAGCGCTAAGACAGGGAAAGATATTGCGAGAGCCGATACGAACGATAAAGCACACGGTTTATAGCATTAACCTCTTGCCGACTTCCTATAGCGCTCCTGGATGTGCTTTGGACCGCTGAGGTCGTGCAAGCTTACTGATGCGTCAGCACTAAGGTGGCTGACCACGACCAGCCACTGGATAACAGAAATGACCGTCTTGCGGCTCTGTGGATGCCAATCCCTTTCTTGTGATATATTATTCGTGCACCTGTATGTTCCAAGGTCGCGTTGTCCGCAGTTGGTATGCATGATTCGCACATACCGTCTGATCGATCGTTTGTAATATCAGATTCTGCCAATAGCACCGCGATGAAAGCGTTCGTCACACTTAGCTAGTAAGGCTAAGCTGCGAGTGACTTACCTAGATGCAGCCCTCGCATGATACGTGGCTCGCCTGGTGCTCGGCCTCGCGCCTCGATCGCACAAATTCGGATTCTGACAAGTTGTGAGACAGACCAAGTCACCAGTTGCCAGAAAGGCCGTGCCCACTTCTATGATTCGGTCTCTGTATTAATAGTTCGCCCGGGACCTGAGTTTGTGGCACAAGGCTGGCCAGCCATGCGATTGTGATCTGGAGTTCACCAAGATGTTCGCTGCTGGGTGCCCAGGGTTATCGAGAACTACCCGCATATCGAGTTATCATTTCCCAATACTCGTGGAATCTGCAGGTCGCATCCAGTGAGTTGTGAATGCCTTGTTTGGAACAAATCATATCACCAATGACGTGACGAATCATTGACGATCCTAGTGAGCCGGTTCCTGGTCAACCAGAAGACATCAGAACATGACGACTTGTAAATGAATCATGCATAATGAATGTGTCTGCGTTGCTACATTTGATGAGAAATTGAAGGAGGGAACGAAGTGAGACTCTGGCAATAGACAATTCCTAAAGCTCAGGGCTGTGGCCTTACCGGTAGCAGCGACTAACGTCTTGGCAGAGTAGGGAGGTGTAAAGTAAAGATACAGAACAAGACCCCGATCATGCAGCGATGGATAGTCTGCTTCTGCCTTCAGGGTCTGAGAACACTTTGTGGTAAGAACGAGCAACGAAATAGAAAGAATGAAGAACTTAGCCAGGATGGAACCACGGTGCGCAGAAGAGCCCTCTTGTCAGAGTTCAGCAACTCGGTCCAGTCGAGGGTTCGGCTCAGAGAGATAGTGATTCGCGACGAAGGGCGCATACGCAGGTGTCGAGGAATAAAGGTTTTTCGAGCTGCTCTTATCTTGTATAGTCGCAGCTGCCCTTTCTTCTCTTTCGTCCCGTATTCGCCAACCGATATCCCGGTCACACCTCGTGGACTACTTCCCTTCAGTCCTCCAACATAGCTTCCGCGCTCGACACCTCTCAACGGCCTATATCAGCCGCATACAGAGCTCGCTCACTGCCAAACACCTCCCATCACAACATATTACCACCATCGCCAATATGACAGTGATATGGGGCCTCAACCTCAGGGAGATGCAATGGGCCAAGTTCAAGTCCTCATACATGTTTGGCAATAGGGACTACCACCTCCGCCGCACAAAGTTCGGCATCTACCAAGGCGCCATGATCCTCACCGTCGTCTCGGAATCGCTCGGCACCGCAGCTCTATCCGGTCCATCTGCCTCGCACTGCTCAATGACACAGCCCACTGACAGCCCCAGACTACGCCGCCAAGCAGGCCTTCGTTGCCCAGCACTCCCCCGGCACCACCGTGCACAACAACACATTCGTCGGCATCGCCGCGTACAACATCCTCGTCGGCATATTCGTCGCCACCGTCTTCGGCGCCGCCTTCTTCTTCGACCTCTTCTGGCCTGCGCGCGCTGAGTCGCGCGCCGTCAAGACCGCGTGGCGCGCCTGCTCTGTCTGCGCCTGCCTGCTCACCCTGTCCTGCGTGCTGGTGTACACGTACATCGTGGCGACGAGGAGCGCGTACGTGACGGGCACGGGTGCTGCGAGTGCGGAGCGGCAGATGGCGGCAGATGGCGGGAGTCCGTTGAGGTACGCTGACAACGGGCGGGCGGTTGCAAGCGTGGTGTTCTTGTGGCCGGGTATGGTGTTTACGTTTGTGAGCACGTGGGTGCTGTGGCGGTCGCTGGCGCATGGTGATCGGTTTGGCCCGATGAGTTCGCATGCGAGAAAGGAAGAGGGTGCTGAGAAGTTGCCGGTGGGCCTTGATGGCGCTGTGGAGATGCTGGCTCAGCCGCCGCCGACACATGCGGTTCCTGACGCGGACGCGCGTGTGTAGGATCGTGTGAGGTGTGGCATGGTGTTTCGTTTGTTGATTGTACGGGTACGCGTACACGGGAGATGATTATTCTGGGCTATTATTAGCGGCATACCCCAATACAGACACGGCGTTCTGGCATCTGAATTCTTCAAGTCAATGTGCCAGAGGAACCTGTTTACGTCTGGGCACCATTCTTACAATCAAGCTCCTTAGGAAAGTGTTATTTGATACAGGAAAGGCAAGGAAAGTATGGCGCTCAAGACGGGTATATCCACCGTCCAACCAGCACCGACACAAGGGACCAGGAAAAGGAACACAAAGAAAACCACCCGTGGACCAGACACGCAGCCAAACGCACAAGTCAGCAGCTCACGTCGGTCATGCCATCGTACACCTCACTCGTCATCATCATCCTTCTCCCCCGGCTTCTCCACACTCTGCATCTCCACACTCCCCGTCTCCTCCCCCTCCCGATCCCGCGTCGTAAGCCTGTACTTGCCGCCCTCCCACAGATCCTTGAACGTCAGTTCCTTCGTTCTGCCGAGGGACTCGATATCCCCGATGCGCTCGAGTGTCGCGTCGAGGAAGCGCTCGAACCCAGGCTCGGCGCACAGCTCGTTGAAGGCGCGCTGCATGGGGACCGAGTCTGCACGGACCATGGCGCGGGAGTCGATGGCGAAGATGGAGAGCTCGTGGTGGCGCCGGATGAAGTCGGAGCGCGTCATTATGAAGCGCGCGCGGTGCAGGGGTAGCTCGGGCAGGATGTGGCCGCGCTCTGGGTCGTAGGTGCTGGACATTTCTGTGGAGCGGTGGTAGAGCGCGTTTGCGAGCACCATGGCTGTGGACTGGGGCGGGTCAGTTTCAGTTGTGAAGAGGGTGGGATACTGCCGGAGGGAGTTGTGGCGAGACCTACGGCGTACTTTTGCTGGTCCATGACGTCGTCGTCCATTTCCTCGCCGAGGATGGCGCAGTTGTTGAGGAACCAGATCTTCTCCATTTCGCAGATGTGGTCGCACTTTGCGAGCATGTCCTCGGACTTTGCGACGCGGTTGAGGAACGTGAGACGGCCGCCTATCTTGTCGTACACCTCCTCGAGCACGCCGGTGGCTGTGCGCTCGTTCCAGTACTTCATGCGGTAGTTGCGCAGCGCCTGCATGGCGCGGTCCTTGGTCAAGTCCTTGATCTGGTGCACCTCCATGCGCGTTGCGTACTGCTTGAGCCGCTCAAAGACCCAGTACTTGTCCGAGTTGATGATGACGGTGGCGAGGTTCGAGGCAGCCCATTGCTCGGCGCGTTGCTGGATGAGCTCGAGGAGATCGCGGCCGTCTTCGTCGTCGCGGATCAGGTGGGCTTGGTTGATGATCAGGACGAGGGGGCGGTTTTTCTTTGCGCGGCGGCGCAAAGCCACTTTTTCCAGCTTGTTGAATGCTCGCTCAATGTCGAGGATGGCGCCGGCGTCGCGAGGACCGCGGATGGAGAACAGCGAGCCGATGTTGTCTTCGTGGTATTCAAAGTCGAGGCAGCGTCCGAGACGGACGCGGAAGACCTCCATGTCTGCGTGTGCTTCCATCATGGAGCAGCCCTCGCCGTTGACCTTGGACATGGCGTCGATGAGCATGGAGCTCTTTCCCGTGCCTTTCTCGCCGAGGAGCAGATGGTAGCGGCCTTTGATCTCACCGCTGATGATCTTGTTGATCTGCTCCTGCTCCTCACGTGGGATCCACCGGTCATAGTCGTCTCCGCCGCTCTCGACCTCATGTCTGGAAGGATCTTGTGGAATCTCTTTGCCGTTTGCAGCGAGCTCGAGCACGGGATCGCCTTCGCGGAAAGCGTTCTCCATCTTCTCGAGCACGTTCCACTTGTAGTACCTGGTATACGTGATACCAACACACGCCAAGATGAAGATGCTGGCTCCGGTGGTCGCAGCCGCTTCAAACATCTTGAAGGCTGTGCCCTTCCACCTCTCTTTCCGTGCTTCTCTCGCATCTTCCTCCTGGCTGTCAGTGGCATCGTCGACGGGATTGGGAGCATCATTGCCCGGGGTCGGGGGTCCCGACTGGCCAGTCAGAAAACGCGGGAGCTGGTGCTGGATCCCCACACCGCCAGCCTGCTGGAACCTGTGCGAGAAGGGCGCCTGCTTCGTGGCGATCTGGGACCGCGCAATCACGCTCCTCCATACGGGTCGCCGCATTAACATTATGGCGCGCCGGCCCGGTCAGAACACGCGTCGCGGGGCGGCCGTCTGCAGGCAGTCTAGACGCGCAATTGACTAGGAAAGAGAGAAAACGAAATGAGCGGCTGCAACGACGTGTGCACGGCGATGGAGTGGGCACTGCTTGGATGGAGCATGGAGAGCAGTGTGGACATGGCGACGCGTGCCATCTGGCCAGTGCGGCAGTGCCGGCCAAGGCTGCTACTGGTAGGCGGACGGGAAGAGCACCGCATGCGAGCTGCTCACGGTGCTTTCACTACATACCGCGACCGTGGTGTTGCAGAGAACTGGCACAACAGACCCAGACGAAGGCGGCCGCCCAAGATTCCTGCCCATGCAGCCTGGCGGAGCATCTGCTGATGGGCGCGGTTACTCGGCAAGACCCCGGTCTGAGTCTGGGACCGGGGAGACTGGACGGACTACTGCCAAACGAGCCCGTTACGGCAAGTACTGGAGTGTCATGGGCGGGCGGCCGTCGGGGTGGCTGCATGCTTGGCGGGAACAATAGCCGCGATCGAACTTTTTTCAGCTGGCGTACGCGGAGGGGAACAGCTCGACCACATCGCATTCCATCTCTCGAGGGCGTCATTGTACTTTGGTGCGCTCCTCCTGTATATTATCCTGGCCATCTCCATCCGTTCCTTCCCTTCTGCAGCCGTTCGTTGGCCGAGTAGGAAGTAATTGCCGCTGTCGAGGCCCCGCTGCGTGTGAAATATGTCTGACGCGACCAAGCCTGGTGAGCCCCCCACACGGCGCAGACAGACAGGATCGAGTGCCGCAGTCACGCAGTCGACTGTGCCTTGGCCATGGCTGACCACACCCCCCCAGAGGCTGCCGCCGCGCCCGTCGCGGACGCCAACACCAACGGCCATGTCGCGCCCGCCGCCGACGACGAGGGAGCCGGCGGCGTCTTCCAGATCACCGTGAAGCTGCCGCACGCGCCCTTTGAGACGGCCATGACCATCAGCACGGCCGAGCAGGTGCAGGACCTGCGGCAGAGCATCGTCGAGATGCCGCACACGTTCCAGTACAGCTGCTTCCACCTGGAGCACGCGGGCGCCCGCATCAACGACTACGTCGAGCTGAGCGAGGTCGAGGGGCTCGCGCCGGGCTCGGAGCTCACGCTGGTCGAGGACGCGTACACGGAGAAGGAGGCGCGCCTGCACGTCATCCGCGTGCGCGAGCTGATTGGCGCCGCAGGCGACCGCACCGACGCCCTGCACGGCATCCTGGCCGGCCTGTCGCTGCACGACACAGTGGGCCCGCCGCCGCAGTCGGGGTCGCCGCAGCAGGACGGCAGTGTGGAGGCCTCGCCGCTGGCCGACTACGACTTCCAGGCCGGCGGCGCGGTGCAGAAGCTGCTGCCGCCCGTCCAGGCGCCCGCGCCCCGCACGATCCGCTCCATGGCGGTGTCGCCGTGGAACCCGCCGCCGTACCACCTGCGCTCCAAGGGCCACCTGCTGTACCTGGTCGTCAACACCAACGAGAACGAGCAGCACCACATCACGGCCCACGTCTCGGGCTTCTACGTCAACAAGTCGTCCAACGCCAGCTTCGACCCGGCCCCGCGCGACGCCCCCAAGGCTCGCCACGCGCACTCGCTGCTGACGCTGCTCGAGGCCCTCTCGCCCTCGTTTGCCGACTCGTTCCAGCAGCTGCTCGACCACAACGCGAAGAAGGAGCTGCTCACCATCTTCCAGCTGTCCAACGCCATCCCCGCGAACCCCTGGCTGGTCCCCGCGCCCACCTCTGCCCTCACCACACACCAGCCCGACCTCGCCCGCACGCAGGAGAGCTACCTGATCTCTGGCGTCGAGAGCACCGAGACGCTGCGCGACTGGAACGAGGAGTTCCAGTCGACGCGTGAGATGCCCAAGGAGGCCGTCCACGACCGCGTCTTCCGCGAGCGCCTCACCTCGAAGCTCTTTGCCGACTACAACGATGCCGCCACGCGCGGCGCCATGCTCGTGGCCCGCGGCGAGATTGCGCCGCTGAACCCCACGGAAGCCAAGGACGCCCAGATTTTTGTCTACAACAACATCTTCTACTCCTTTGGCGCGGACGGTGTCGGTACTTTCGGCACCGAGGGCGGTGACGAGGCTGCTCGCGTGGCTGTGGGCAAGGATGTTTTTGGTGTGCGCGCTGTCAACAACCTGGATATTCCCAACCTCTTCACCTCTGGGACCGTCGTGGTCGACTACCTCGGAAAGCGTATCGTGGGCCAGAGCATTGTTCCCGGTATCTTCAAGCAGCGCGACCCCGGAGAGCACCAGATCGACTACGGTGCGGTCGAGGGCAAGGAGATTGTTGCCGACGACAAGTCGTTCATTCCTCTGTTTGAGCAGCTGTCCAAGGCGCTGCGCGTCAAGAAGCACCCCGTCTGGGACAAGGACAACGTCAGGCACGAGCTGGAAGGCAGTGTTGAGACCAAGGGTCTCATCGGCACCGACGGCCGCCGCTACGCCCTCGACCTCTACCGCCTGACTCCCCTCGACGTTGCCTGGATCGAGGCTCACTGGAGCGAGCCGGCCAAGGACGGCGAGGCCAAGTCGTCCGACAAGGACTACCCCCACCGCATGGCCACTCTCCGCCCGGAGCTCGTCGAGTCATACGGCCGCCTGAAGCTCCGCGAGTACGTCAAGAACGAGCTGGAGAAGAAGAAGGGCGCCAACAAGGAGGAGACACCGGCAGCGAACAAGGCCGAGAAGGACGAGTCATCTTCAGAGGAGGAATCTTCGGAAGAGGAGTCTTCGGAGGAGGACGAGTCATCCGAGGACGACGAGGGCGAGAAGACTGAGAAGAAAAAGGCCGACAAGAAGGTTGCCAAGAGCGAGAAGAAGGCGGACGGCGGGGCTGAGAAGAAGGCGGACGGCGGGGCTGAGAAGAAGGCGGAAGAGCAGGATCGCGTCGACATCTCCGGCTTCAACTTTGCTCTCAACCCTGACGTCTTCTCGGGCCAGAACCCCCAGTCCGAGGAGGACAAGGCCGAGTGGGCCAAGGACGAGGCCGAGGTTCGCGCTGCTTGCGAGCACCTGCAGTCCGAGGTCCTGCCCCGTCTCATCCAGGAGCTCAAGGACGGCGAGGTTGGCTTCCCCATGGACGGCCAGTCTCTCAGCGCCCTTCTCCACAAGCGTGGTGTCAACATCCGCTACCTGGGAAAGATGGCCGAGCTTGCGGACAAGCCCGACCCTCGACTTCAGGCATTGAAGCGCCTCGTCGTCCAGGAGATGATTGCTCGCGGATTCAAACACTTGGCCAACTCCAAGCTCCGCACCATCCCCGCTCCTTTCGCCTCTGCGTGCGTCGCACACCTTCTCAACTGCTTGCTCGGCGCCGAGGCCAATTCCAAGCCTGTCGCTGAGTCTGACAGCAGCCTCAAGGCTATCTATCCTGAGGCTGACTTTAGCTTCGAGCAGCTCACTCCTGAGAGCTTGAAGAAGGAGGTCGTCGCGCAGGTCGCTCTCCGCTACCGCTACAACCTCAACGCCCTTGGCGGCAACTGGGTCGAGACCGGCAAGGAGCTGCAGCTCTTCCGTGAGGTTTCGCTCAAGCTTGGTCTCCAGCTGGAGAGCAAAAAGTACGCCTTCACCAAGGACGCTCTCGAGAGTGCTCCCGCTGCCAAGGCTACTCCTGCTCCCCAGACCAACGGCAACTCGACCTCGGGCAAGAAGAAGAACAAGAGCAAGCAGGCTTCGCCGCCTCGCACCGAGAGCCCGGCTCCTGCTCGCACAGCGCAGACCTTCCACGCCGACGATGTCCTGAACATTGTCCCCGTCATCAAGGAGGCTTCGCCCAAGAGCTTGTTGGCCGAGGAAGCCCTCGAGGCGGGTCGCATGTCTGTTGCTCAGGACCAGAAGGAGCTCGGCCAGGAGCTGCTCCTCGAGTCTCTGCAGCTGCACGAGCAAATCTACGGCGTGCTACACCCCGAGGTCGCTCGTGCTTACCACACTTTGTCCAATCTGCTGTTCAACCTCGAGGACAAGGCCTCGGCTCTCGAGCTGGCCCACAAGGCCGTCATCGTCTCGGAGCGCACTCTCGGTGTTGACCACGCTGACACCGTTCTCGCCTACCTGAACCTGGGTCTCTTCGAGCACGCCGCGGGTAACACCAAGGGCGCTCTTGTATATGTCCGCCACGCGCTTGAGCTGTGGAAGATCATCTACGGACCTGACCACCCCGACTCAATCACCACTCTCAACAACGCTGCCGTCATGCTGCAGGCGATGAAGCAGTACCACGAGTCGCGCATCTGGTTCGAGGCCTCGCTCAAGATCTGCGAGGATGTTTCTGGCAAGAACTCGATCAATACCGCCACCCTGCTCTTCCAGACTGCTCAGTCGCTCGCCCTTGACAAGGACATGCGCGGCGCCGTCAACCGCATGCGCGAGTCGTACAACATCTTCAAGGACGTGCTCGGTGCCGAGGACCGCAACACCAAGGAGGCCGAGAGCTGGCTCGAGCAGCTCACCCAGAGCGCCGTCAGCCAGCAGAAGCAGCTCAACGACATTGCTGCCGGCCGCATCCGCCGCGTCCAGCTTACCGGCAGGAACCCTCTGCGCCCAGCTGCCGCCACACCGACAGTCAGCGAGCACGCCAACACGGTCGGCGGCCCTCAGACCCACCGCGGAACCGGCGGCGTTGACCAGCGCAGCATCGACGAGCTTCTCAAGTACATCGAGGGCGATGCGCAGAAGACACCGACCAAGAAGCGCGGACAGGCCAACCCTCGGAGGAGGGGTGGCAAGAACTAGACGTCTGCCGCACAAAAGTCACATTTGAACTCGTAACGGCCTTCCCACTGTAACACTATCGCGTTTTGTTTTATCGTGATCAAGGCACTTCGGCACTTGACACTCTGTTGCATCTGTTGGCTCACTGCGTTTAGCTTTGCATGACCGGATCAGGGAGTTGTGCGGTTCATACCGGCTGGTAATACTAGCCTCTTCTTGCCATCTAGAATAGGGAGGACGGGTATGACGGCGGCATGGTGATGAACTAGATGTACTCAATCAACGTCTCCTCTTCAGCCATGACTTCCTTGATGATCGTGATCAAAACAAAGGATGGCGCCCGCACTGACCACCCAACTCTGTGATGACCTCACACAAACAAACTTCGCTCGCGACAGCTTGCACCAGCCTCCCACAACACCTGCCCCACCACAGCCCACGCGGCGCATTTCCTTCAAATCCGTTTTCGCATCACTGCAATCGCGTAATACGCGCAAACCAACGCGCAATGGCAGACATCATCGATCGCGACGAGGCGACCGTGATCCCAGCGCGCGGGCCACGGCGGTCGCGCCTTCCTGGGCCGCTGAAAGTAGCCATCCTCTTTGTGGTGAACCTGGGCATCAATTCGCTGCTGTGGCAGGCCGCGTCCAACTTCCTGCCGCCTGAGCTCGGCTATGTCAGCAAGATCCCCACCGAGGACGACAAGTTCGCCCTGAACGGGCCGGTCGCGCGCCTCGCCATCAAGATCGCGACGCTCTATGGCACCTGGGCCGTTGGCTACGACTGTGAGCAGATGCCCATGTTTGCATGTGAACGCAGCTAACGCGCGCAGACTACGACGTCTCGGCCCTGACGCTCCTCACCAACATGCCCTACGCGTACCTGCTCTCGACGTACTACCAGGTCTCGACCCTCACCGTCGCAGCGCACATGAGCATCGAGGTCCTCTCCATCGCCATCCCGACCTATCTGCTGCGCTCCCGCGCGCCTGCCCACCGCCCGAATGTGCCCCTGCGCAACCGCTTCCTGCTCAACAGCGTGCAAGTCCAGTTCACCAACGCTCTGCTCGCCATCGCCGTCTACTCCGTCTTGATATGGGGCGGCATCCGCATTGGCCTGATCAACAGCTTCCTCGTCACCCACTTTGACATCCCCACGCTGGAAGCCGCGCACCTCGAGACGCCCCTCACGGTCGGCGCCAAGATCTTCACCGCGGGTTTCGCGGCCAAGGAGTTCCTGCTCAACCCGTCCATTGCCGCTCAGGTGGCGTCCGGCCAGGCCACGCCCGTTGCCAACTTCGACGCGAGCACGGCGGATCTGCAGGCGCATCTGCGACACAACTTCTGGTACTTTGGCCGCCGCACCAGGACCCTGGTCCAGCAGACGTGGATCCTGTGCTTCTTCACGGTTGCGAACACAATCCAGCGCTGCATGACGCTCAATGGTGCCGAGTTCAACGGCGCTGCTGGGTATGCCGGTATGTGGGCGGTTGCCAATGCTGTGATTGCCGCGTGGTACGCCTGGGTTGGCGACACGAGCACTGACTACATTGTCAACTGAGCAGAGGCGTTGGAGAGTAAAGAAATGGCGATGGAGGCGAAGAGAAGGAGACGAGTCTTGGAGGAGTAGAGATAGAGACCAGGGAGAAGAATCGGGGAGAGGCGCGGCGTTCCGGCTCTGATGAACATGGCATTGGAGGCACGCTCAGATCTTGTACGCAGGTCTCTGAGACCGGACAGTACAAAGCACAAACGCAGGAGGACAGGTAGATACCATTTGTTTGCATATGACCACATAGTCCCATGAACCATCTAGTTCCAAAAACACCCGCTCTCGGCGCACCGCTGCACCTCGGCCCCAGATCGCCCGACACCTGAAGCTGAGCTACCCCACATCACCATCCCACCCGATACAAAGTACTTCTCCCTCGCATCCCAAACCCAGTCCACCACACACAATTCCCCCATCCACCGTCAAAGTCCTCGCCTGCACCGCTTACACACCACTCCGCCGTCCACCACCCTCCAGCTCCAGCGCAATGGCCGCAAACCAAGGACCCCGCCGTGTCGGACAGTGGCTGTATCTGCGCCCGGAATGCATCGACGAGTACAAGAAATGCCATGCTGCTGTGTGGCCTGCCGTGCTGGCGCAGATCAAGGATAGTAATGTGCACGATTGTAGGCCCCCCTCCTCATCACATTCTCAAATTCATTTCATCACTTTCTCAAATTCATTTCATCACTTTCTCAAATTCATTTCATATGCATGTGCATATTCAGAACCCACCTAACGCTCCACAGACAGCATATACCTCAGCACAACGCCGCGGCCAACGCTGTTCGCGAGCTTCAAGTACACGGGGACGGCGTTCGACGAGGATATGGCGCGTATGGCTGCGAATCCCGCGGTGCAGGAGTGGTGGCGCATGACGGATGGGATGCAGGAGAGTCCTGTGGAGGGCGCGGTCGGGTCGAAAGATGGGCCTGGGTGGTGGGGGCAGACTGAGGAGGTTTTTTATGTGGAGTAGTGCTCTGCAGATGATGTGGCATGGCATTGTATTGCATCTCCAAGGGTATGGTAGCAGGAAAACTATGTACATAGGATCTGAATGCGGTCAGACTAGATATCTGTATCCCTTCATCAGCCGCTGGCCCTCCTCGACGGTGGTGCCCTCGACTTGCGCCGTGCGCTCGGCGACGTCGCCGCGCGTCTCCCACGCCGTCTCGCCCGCGTCGAGCTTCTTGTTGAGCCGCTGCAGGATGACCTTGAAGATGTAGCACCCCACAATGGTGACGCCGAACATGGCCGTGACGATGCCGTAGGAGCCCCTGTAGCCGTTGTCCGGCAGGTTCCACACGTACGAGCCCGCGATGTTGCCGAGCTGGGAGAAAGCGTTGACCATGGCGATGGCGACGGCGCGCTTGGCAGGCGGTCGCGGGAACGACGACGATATCCACGAGTAGAAGACGATGAAGCCCGCGTACGCTGACGCCTGCAGGAACAGCGCTATGTACCGCCCCGCCGTGTTCTCTGTCGACATGGAGATGACGAACCCTACGACGCCGAGGCAGATGGGGCCCACGATGTGCCAGAAGCGCTCCTGCGTGCGGTCCGCGTGCCACGCGTTGATCAGCGAGACGACACAGGAGAACGCCCACGGCGGCGCGGACATGAGCAGCGTGGTGATGTATCCGAAGCCCAGGGTGCGGGTGAGCGTGGGGCTGCATGTGGAGTTAGCCTGCATCTTGCACATTGCTTGGGATTGCACTTACAAGAAGGCATTGAAGGACAGACCGACGACGTAGGCGGTGAAGGTCAGCATCAGGACGTAGATCTTGGCGTCCTTGACGGCCATGATGAGACCGGCGAAGACGGACTCCTCGGCGCTGTCCTCGTCTGCTTCTCCGACATCCTCGGTCATGCGCAGGACGGCGACGGCGCGCTCCTCCTCGGTGAAGCCGCGCGTGTTGTGGGGCAGATCGGGCAGGATGAAGAGCGCGGCGATGGCGATGACCATTGTGGCCGCGCCTTCGATCCAGTACAGCCATCTCCAGGCGCGGTGGCCGAGGACGCCCTCCATGTTCGACAGCACGGCGGCGCCAACGAGCGAGGAGAAGGCGTTGGAGATGAGGTTACCGCAGAAGAGGATGGCGTTGCGGAGGGTGAGTTCGCGGCGCGTGTACCACTTGGACAGGATCAGGAGAGCACCGGGCAGGAAGGCAGCCTCGACGAAACCAATGCAGAAGCGGATTGCGACCATGCCGCCGAAGCTGTTCACGTTGCCGGAGAGAGTTGAGATCATGCCCCATAGGAGCATGACGAAGGCGATGTAGATGGAAGGGCGGGGAATGAGGTTGATGATCATCTCGAGGGCTGTTAAACACTGACATGCTCGCGGTGGTGATGGAACTTACATTGGAGGGAACCTGCATCAGAATATACCCGACGTACAGAATGGACAAACACGTCGCGTACTGCGTGTTGTCGATGCCGAGATCTTCCTGCAGACCACCCAGACGCGCAGCAGCAATGTTGTTGCGGTCCAGGTAGTTCATGATGTAGATCAAGACGAACAGCGAGCAGCGCGCGTCAAGCTTGCGCTTCAGCTTCTTCTCGACCGCGATTCTCCTCTCTGGGCTCAGGCTGGCGGCAATGCCACCGTGGGCCGACTTGGGCGCCATCTCGTGGCTCTGGGCGTCCATCTCGATATCTTTCTTGATGTCGGCCATTGTCGCAACCGAAACGAAAGAGTGCGACCGACTTGGAGCGTCAAATGGGTCTTCCACTTGCCTCCGTCTAGGGATCGTCCAGCTCTTATACCTACTCTGACCCGCGCGCCTGCCTCCGTGCCCATGTGCCGACCCCAGTGCGCAGCAATGCGGGCCTCCATGTTGTTACCACACCTACCCCACGCCTCCATACACGGTTACATCACCCGTCCTGCGCTGGGCAGAATTTTCCCAAGTCGTGACAGCCAAGCTCGGCACACGCCTATGAAACAGCGCGTCCGATGCCTGTTTGGGTGAGGTGCAAGATGCGGGGAACTCGAGCGTCAACGGCGCCGCTGATCTCCTGAATACGCTCGCTTGGCTGTTGAACAATTGGTCTTGGCTGTTCGTCTCGAGGCTGCTTCTATTGCTGGACGCATGCATTGCGAGATGGCTGCAGAGGACAGGATGCGACTTGGGAGCGGCCAGCGCAGTCGCCGCGGTGTTTGGGCTGCTGCTGTCTTCCCACCGCTGCGATGCAATGCGCTGACAACGCACCGGCAGGTTTCCGAGCTCAACAGTAGTCTGTCTCGAAGACTTGTTGAGCCGCATGCGAGCAGAGCCGCTAGCTTAAGAAGACCCGCCTTGCTGCCGCGGGTAAAGATCGGCACGACAGAGCGAGTGCGAAAAAGGGTTGGGTTTAGGCGTGTGGAGTTACATTCATCCTTTGCACTTGCGGCTCTGCGCTAGATCCACTTTCTATTGGGAGGCGAGGTGCCATGGGGACTCTGAGTGCAAACAAGACCGCACCATAGGGGCCGTTGAATGGAAGTGAAGTGAAGTGAAGTGAATTGAAGTGAATTGAATTGAAGTCAATTGAAGTGAATTGAAGTGAATTGAAGTGAATTGAAGTGAATTGAAAAACGTCCTGCAGAAGCAAGTGCACTCACCGAGGCACGACACAGGATGCTTCCATCTCTCGCACGCCACACTAAGCGCGTCAAGCAACGCCATCGGCTCGACGCGTGCGGCTCTTCAGCTCGCGGCATCTCAGCGGCGTCTGCTCGCGTGACCCCCACGCTACTCCAAGCTCCAGGATATCACCGCGGCTCGCTGCAATGGTGTGTGGAGAAGTGAAAAAAACCGGGAAAAGCGCATGTACCCCGTCCTTGGCGGATGCTCGATCGTTGGCTTTACGGTTGTACGTGCGTTTGGATGCGGGGATACTCTTGTACCTAGCCCTTTGTGCGTGTGAAGGAGGTAGGCAACAAGTAGACATGGCATTGCATGGAGTAGCATACCTCTACGTCTTCGTCGCGCACAATCTATCCGGACTCGGTGCTGTCTGCACTGCTGCGAAGCGATGCGGGGATTACTGTAATGTTGAGCTGTTGCGCACTGAGACTTTTATGCTATAGACAATGTTTCCTTCCTACAGGCGAGCCATCCACCCCACCAACTTTGATCACCTTTAGAGAGTGAATCAACTATGCCTCCACCCCAACAAGCCCGATTACGCTCATCTGAAGCTGATATACAGCTCACTATTACCTCTTAATAGACGCTAAATGAAGACTGAGAGAGCTGCTATTCACACTTTCAATGTCCCTTCAATGACGCGACGCGACCAACGCGCCGGCAGGCCTGCCCAACGCAATTGTTAGCCTAACTTGGAGAAGCTCACTCAGCTAGAGGATGACGTAGTTGACAGATGTATACTTGACTTGGATCTACGTGGATTTGCGCCTACGCATACTGCCATACGTGATATAGCTAATAAACTACCGGCTCTATGCAGCGCTTGTCTAGTTGGCGTCTACTGGCCGCGCAACTTTGTCAAGCGTACAGACAGTCTGACGACGCGTTTTAATCGAGCGTACGATAGGCAGCGAGCTCTATGCAAGGATCTAACCCTGATCAGGGGCTGGTTTGAGCTTGTAGAGGAGACAAAGGCCAAGTATAGCATCTGCGATAACGACGTCTACAACTTTGATGAGGCTAGGTTTATGATGGGCAAGATCACAACTTGGCTTGTTGTCACAGGGTTAGAAAGGAGAGGCAGGCCAAAGGCTATCCAGCCAGGCACTTGCGAGTGGGTGACGTTGATTGCTGCGATTAACGCAGCTGGCTGGTTGACCCTACTATTCCTCATCTTTGCTGGCTAGTGTCACCTGTCTGCCTGGTACAAGGAGGACGTCCCACGCGACTAGGCACCTGCAGCTAGTGACAATAGCTAGACAAACAACAAGCTAGGAGTTAGGTGGCTAAAGCACTTTGACAAGTATATAGAGACTTGTGTTGTGGGTGCGCATTGCCTGCTTATCCTTGACAGCCATAAGCGCGCGTACAGCTGTGGGGTTGAGAGTCTTATCCACCACAACATTAACCACATCACTAAGCTTGAGTTCCTGCCAGTGTTCAAGGCAGTGTTTAGTCAATTGTTCACATCAACTAACATCTGCTCAGCCTTTTGAGGAGCAGGCCTTGTGTCTCATTAACTAGACGCTGTTCTGTCAAAGCTAGATGTGCAGCTGCGTACGCCTACTCTAGCTGCTCTGCCAGAAGCCGTCTGGGAGGCTCGTACGCCGAGCAACGTGCGCGAGCTTGAGGCTCAATCATTGCTGATACGTGATCGCGTCCGGCAGCATAAGAGCTCATCACCAGCCTCGATTATTGAGGCTATTGATCAGCTCAAGAAGGGAGCTGAGGTAGTGATGCTGTTAGCTGAGCTGACGCGCGTTCAGATTGCCAGCCTTGAGAGAGCTGATAAGGCAGCAACAACACGGAGGCAGCGCAGGAGGAAGCGGATTCAGAAGCAAGGAGTGTTAGCAAGGGAGCTGGCGAGGATGTAGTTGCGAGGATGTAGTTGCGAGGATGTAGTTGCGAGGATGTAGTTGCGAGGATGTAGTTGCGAGGATATGAGGCTGACCAACAGCTTGCCTGTGAGAAGCGTCAGGAAGGAGAGCAATCAGGCCTTAGCCGCCGGGCTCTCGCGCGCTGCAGGAGGTGCAGGGAGACTGGCCACAACTCACGTACTTGCAAAGTAGACAGCTAAGATACTGCTCAATCTACTCTATTAGTATCTATATATTAATGACGTTGTCGAGTTGCGCAGCTTCAAAGGCGATCAAAGCTGGTGGGGTGGACGGCTCTCCTGTAAGGACGGCTCGCTTATAAAACACGTTGGGTTAGATGGGGTGGATGTTCTTGTCATTGTTATTTCCAGGCACTTGCGTGTGCAGAAACCACAAGGCCCGGAGCAGCGGGCAGAATCAATACACGGCGTTGTCCAGGAAGAAGCAGACGCGTGTGAGGTGGGCAGACGCGTGTGAGGCGAGTAAACTCGTGTGAGGTGGGCAGACGCGTGTGAGGCGAGTAAACTCGTGTGAGGCGGGCAGACGCGTGTGAGGCGGGCAGACGCGTGTGAGGCGGGCAAACGCGTGCTTTGAGAATTCCTACATCTATTGCAGTAGCAGCGCGGACCTCACAGCACCATGTTCTCCACAGTGCCAACAGGCCGCTCGGTGATGGCAATACAACCGTCGACAATACTCCTGCGCGCATCCTCGGAACTCACATTCTGCCCGCCGAGATACAGAAGCCACACCAAGCGACCGACACGCGGATCCGCGACCTCGCCCAGGAGCGCAGGGGCGCCCATCTTCTCCCCACCCCCGGTCTGCAGCACAGGCTGGTACAGAGCGCGCAGGGTGCCGGATTTGTCGCGCGTGAGGAGGATAACGGAGCCCTTGGGCGCCTTTCCCTTTGCGGCAAACACGGCCTTGAAGTCCTTCATCGCGCGCCCGAAGCTCTCGTCGGCAAACTCGGACTCGGCGACGGGCGCGGGGAGCGCGACGGCTCCGCTCTCCGCGGCCTGCTGGCGCCGCATCTGCGCGTGCCGCTGCGCGACCTCGTCGGTGCGCGAGGCGATGCCCCGCATCCACCCGTCCTGGAGGTGCTTGAAGTCGGTGCCGCGGCACGGGACGACGCGGAGCGCCATGTCGACTGCGCCCGGGCCGTCGCGGGCCAGGATGGCGTCCCAGATGAGGGTGCTGCGCTCGGGGTGCACGAGGGCGGCGCGCAGGGCCTCCTTCTCGCCGGGGATGAGGGCCGAGGCCGAGGGGTTGACCGTGTTGATCAGGTGGTTCTGCAGCGCCGACAGGTCGGCCGTCTTGACGTACAGGCCCACGACGTAGACCTGCACGCGCAGGAAGGAGACCTTGCGGATGCCGAGGCCGAGCAGCTGGTAGGCCGCCTCGCTGGCGCGGCCGTCCGGGGAGACGTGCGGCAGCGTGATGGTGCGCGGGAAGTAGGGGACGTACGAGGTGCCCGTCTCGACGAGCTCGATGGCGTCGGCGTCGGTGGCCTGGGGGTTCTCGGCGTCGGGCGGGGCGGCGATGAGCTTGTCGCCGGCTGCGACGACGACCTTTTTGCCCTGGAACTCGTCGGCGGCTTTGCGCGGGCTGTCCGTCTTGGTGGGCGGGCCGAGCACCATGTCGATGATGCCTCTGCTCTTGTCGGTGTCGTGGGCGGCGGCGGCGTCGTGGGCGTCGGGCTCGAGGTCCGGCATGTCCCACAGCCGCACCAGGAAGATGGGGGCGATCATGGAGAGGGCTGCGCCGAGGGCGAGCCAGTTGCGCCGCTTCTTGAGACGGGCGATTTCCAGGGCATTCGCGCGGTGTGTCGAGACGGTGTCGAGCTCGGGTCGCAGCCCTCGCCCGGGCAGAGGCCGACCGTGTGCCTGTCGGAGGATGGCGTCCGTGTCATTGCGGGATTGGTGCGAGGCGGGGCGCGAGCGTGTCGGGGCGCGCAGGCACTGGAGGACTGGCCGTCGGGCAAGACGTGCGGACATGACGGGCGCATTCGGTGGTGTGCTGGTGTGGCCGGGGTGAGGTGGACGAGAGCGATGAAGCGATGAAGCGATGAAGCGATGATGTCGATGCCAAGTCTCGGTCACTTGCATGTTCGTCGCGTCGCGTCTCCCCAGCCCTACGGCAATACAACCCACGGCCGCGCCATCCACCCCGCGCCACGCCCCCCGCGCCACGCCCACCGCGCAAAATGCCGCCGAGGGTCAGTCGCAGGACGGTCGTAGGTACAATGTGAGACGATGCACTCAACGAAGCTCACGCAGCCAGCCCGTCGACCATGGCACGCCCGCCGACCATGGCACGCCCGCGCCCACGCCCACGCAGACACTGACACAGCGCCGACGACAGGCCGAGACGCCCGACGACGTAGACATGGAAGAGCCGCAGAGCGGCGGCAGCGGTAGCGTAGAGCAGCTGGCCAAGAGCTTGGTGCGGTATGCGCTGTCCTGCGAGCTTGCACGCAAGCCCATCAAGCGGCAGGACGTCAACGAGAGAGGTGCGCGCACGGTCGCTGGTTAGCTGTACGGCACTGACTGCGGCAGTGCTCGGGTCGCATGCCCGGCTGTTCAAGACGGTGCTGGACCAGGCCAACAGCGAGCTCACGGACGTGTTTGGCATGCAGTTCGCCGAGCTGCCCAGGGGCGACAAGGTGACGGCGCGACAGAAGCGCGGTGCGTGTGTTGCAGTCGCGCAGTGGGCCGTCGGCTGACGATATACAGCGGCCGCCGGGGCAGACTCGCAGAGCAGAGCCAGCGGCATGTGGGTGCTGCAGACGACCGTGCCTGCGCAGTACAGACTGGCGCCGGCGATTGGACCAGCGCGGCGCGCCGACGGAGCGGAAGACGACGCAGCCGCCGCCTACGTCGGGCTCTACACCATGGTCATCGCGCTCGTCACCATTGGCGGCGGGCGGCTGCCCGAGGGCAAGCTCGACCGCGCGCTGCGACGCATGAACGCGGAGCAGACGACGCCCGTCGGCACCAAGGACGCGACGCTCGCGCTCATGGTCAGGGACGGGTACATTGTCAAGGTCAGAGAGGCGGTGGGCGGCGACGAGACGGTCGACTACATGGTGGGCCCGCGCGGCAAGGTCGAGGTGGGCGCCGAGGGGTTCGCGCAGCTCATCCGGGCCATGTACGGCGACGACGGCGACGTCGGCGACGTCGAGGGGAAGATTAAGCGCACGCTCGACGTGGCTGGGACGACGGCGTGACCTGCCATGATGCCGACCGACGACGAGCGATGAGAATATGAATGCGAATATGATTATGAATATGGATATGAATATGATTATGAATATGGATGCGAATATGATCATGAATGCGAATATGATCATGAATGCGAATATGAATGCGAATGTGAATAACTTATGAATGCGAATATGAATATGAATGCGAATATGAACAACTATGAATGAGAATGAGAATATGAATGCGACCATTGCATGCCAACGCGACCATTGCATGTCAACCACCGGGATCAGCAGCGCAGTCGGCGGCGACAGACTCCAGAGCGACCGCTGGCGGTGCAAGGACGAGGAGGCTGCATCGCCTCCCCCCAGCATGCCGGCTGACAAATACGCACTGCTTGTGCACGCCGTGCGAGGGAGCGCTGAGCACGACTGAGCAGCGTGCACACGAACAAGATGCCCGGGCGTGGCAGGCCTGCAGAGCAACCCGCCCCTCTCGTCGGCCGCGCCAAGTAGTGCCATCGCAGCCAGCGGCCACCCGCGCGCTGCGCTTTTTCCTTCGCCCGTTGTCGCCTGCCTGCGTCTCGGCTCCCAGTTCGCAGCTCGCAGCTCTCCGCTCTCCTCTCTCGCCTCGCTCTCCGACCTGGCCACGCCGCCATGAGCACGCCCCCGCGCCTGTAAGCGACGACGACGAGCAGCACCCGCCGCGACCATGAGCGCCACGAGCAGCAGCATCAACGCCCTCCTCAACCACGACGCCGCTGCGCCCGCCCACACCACCCAGCCCACAGCGTGCGAGGCCGCCCCGACGACCACGGCCGACGCGGCCGACGCCGCCGACGCCCTCACCGCGCTGGCGACCCTGGGCAGCGGGCAGCAGTACGCCCCAACGCCGACGCCGACGCCGACGCCGCCGCCGACGGCCAGCAGCCTCGGGAGCCAGCTCGACCGCCCCGACCTCGACGCCGACGCCCGCAAGGCCATTGACGCCGACACTCGCAAGGCCATTGACGCCGACGTCCGCAAGGACACTGACGCCGACGTCCGCAAGGACACTGACGCCGACACCCGCAAGGACATTGACGCCGACACCCGCAAGGCCATCGACGCCGCCAAAGCGAGCGACCTGGGCCTGCGCGCCAAGCGCCCTGCGAGCGTCGCTGAGAGCGGACCGTCGCCCACCGAGTCCAGGGCCGCGCCCGTCGCGTCCAAGAAGCGACCCGCGCCGGGCTCGGTCCTCAAGAAGAAGGGCACCGCCAAGACCACCAAGACGGCGAACAAGAAGCGCCGCATCGACGACGACGACGACGCCACAGCCCGCTCCGTCACCCCGACGTTGCGTGCCGCCGCCGCCGCCAAGCCCCCCAAGAAGGGCTCGCACGCCGGCACGCCCGCGCTGCAGTCGTCGCCCGCACCCGACGACGCCGACGCGCACGACGCCGACGATGGCGACTCGTCCGAGGACCACAACCTCTACTGCATCTGCAAGAAGCCCGACAACCACAAGTGGATGATTGGCTGCGACGGCGGCTGCGACGACTGGTTCCACGGCGACTGCGTCGACATGAAGCAGGCCGACGAGCACCTCGTCGACCGCTTCATCTGCCCGCTGTGCGAAGACGCCGGCAGGGGCCACACCACCTGGAAGCCCATGTGCAGACGCGACGGGTGTCGGAAGCCCGCGCGCCTCGCCAAGGACCGCGAGAGCAAGTACTGCTGCGACGAGTGTGGCGTCCTCTTCATGCAGGAGCAGCTGCAGCGCACAGCAGGCGCCAAGCCCCCACACGGCGCCAAAGACCGCCCGAAGAAGAAGAGCAAGGTGGTGCGGGCCGGCGACGACGGCGGCGCCCGCAACGACGACCACGCCCGCCACGACGACCACGCCCGCCACGACGACGACGACGACGACGACGACGACGAGCCCACGCCCCTCGGCGGCGTCCTGCGCGCAAAGGACCTCAAAGCCCTCGTCGACGCCTCGCCCAACATCCAGGCCTTCCGCAACCTCGGCTCGGGCGTCTTCTCGCCGCCGCACACGGCGTCGCCGACGCGGCCCGACTTTTCCACCAGCCCAGACGACGTCGCCCTGACCGCCGCCGAAACCGAGCGCCTCACCGCGCTGCACAGGGAAAAGTCGCAGCTCAACGACCGTCTGCAGGTCCTCAAGGACCGCGAGAAGTTTGTCAGCATGGCCAAGGAGCAGGCCGCCCGCGTCGCCGACCGCGAGAACCTCAAGCCCAAGGACTTTTGCGGCTACGAGCCGCGCCTCTCCTGGTCCGACGCAGAGTTCCTGCTGTGGCGCCACAGCACCCACGGCCGCGCCGCCTTTGAATTCTCCACCCTCGCGCCCACGGCCGACCAGCTCGCCTCGCTGGCCCCGTCCGACGCCGCAGCCGTCGACCGGGCCCCGACAGAGTCGGTCTGTCTGCGGAAGCGCTGCACCAAGCACCCGCAGTGGCAGAAGCTCAACCTGCAGGACGCCCGCTTCGAGGAGCTCGAGGTCGTCGAGGCCCTGCGCGAGTGCGAAAAAGAGGAGCGCAGCGTGCGCGAGCGCGCCCGCCGGCGCAACGCAAAGGACACCATGGCCCGCGAGCTCACCGCTGCCGAGGGCGCCAAGGACGTCCGCAACCGCGACGGCTGGGTCGAGCTCGTTGCGTCGTAGAGGGGGGATTGAGAGGGGTTGGATGACTCGAAATGTATCGTCACATTGTCGCATTGTCACATTGTCGCATTGTCACATTGTCGCATTGTCACATTGTCACATTGTCACATTGCCACATTGCCACATTGTCACATTGCCACATTGCCACATTGTCACATTGTCAAATCGTCACATTGTCACATTGTCAAATCGTCACATCATCACATCATCACATCATCACATCATCACATCATCACATCGTCACATCATCACATCGTCACATCGTCACATCGTCACGTCGTCGACTCGATGGGCGTCCAAGGCGGATCAAAAGCGGCCGTCTGCATGTATTCAGCAATGCAGTGTACTATTATTCATACTTCACCATCGCCTACTTACTCACTGACTCTCACTACACTACACACGCCACTGCGACCTCGGGCATGAGGAATGCCCTTCTCATCGCTACCGTCTGAAGTGAAGAGCAGCGTGCTCGTTTGATCCTTGTCGAGTGATGTCACGGTCCCCGACTTTGTCACGCATCTTCCGCCCCCCGTCTCCTCTTCGACACGCAGCATTGCAGTCTGCGGCGTCGTCGACGCCGCTACCACCTTGAAGCAGTGAAATCTCAACCAAGTGGAGACTATCGACACTGGATACTGCGATGCTCGCGTTGACGGACATTTTGTGTTGACAGACATTTGGTTGACAGACATTGTGTTGACAGACATTGTGTTGACAGACATTGTGTTGACAGACATTGTGTTGACAGACATTGTGTTGACAGATATTTTGTTGACAGACACTTTGTCAACAGACATTTCGTGTTGACGGACATTTAGTTGACAGACACTTTGTCGAGTACGCCGAGCATGGTCCCTATCTACATGGGGCTCCCTCGCACAACCGAAAGGTCGCTCTCAGCCAAGATCCGCCGGTCAATCAAGGCCTCGCGTCCAAGCACATGGACTACCCAGAGCGTCATGTCCTAAAAGCGCGCTTCCTCCAGGTGCTGAAGCAAGAGGCCGTTCGAGCCAAGAGGCCGTTCGAGCCAAGGAGCTCGATCAACGCCTCCTTGTTCTCGCATTCGGCCATGGACACGAAGAGACCAAGCGTATCTGGATTGGCGACGAGCTCCTTTCCATGGAAGAGTTCCAGCAAGCTGTCGGCGCTGACGTGAAGACGATCCTGTTCCGCACAGCGTGTCACTCCGGTGGCTGGGTCGTGCGGCAGAATCTCAACAGGACGGTCCTTGCCGTAGCAGGACCGCAACGGCTCAGCCCGTCCTGGAATGCTAGCGAGTCCATCACCCGCCGCTGTGGTAGCATGTGCGCTTCCGCTTTTTCCAGAGCTCGGGAAGTCGAGGTCGGCGCCTCAGCCCCGTCTCCGTGGACCGGTCCAACATGTCTGAAGCTCGCTAAAGACGTTTACGAAGCGTTGCTCACGACGGACAGAATGGCGAAGAAACACGACATGCGCCTCGCCGCGCAGGGTGACAACTGGGTTGCCGCGTGGCCAGCCGTGAGCGCATTTTCCACGGTCGACTTCCAGGCTCGCTACCACAAGCTGGATGTCTATGCGTCCACGGCATTAGCTCCTTGGACCGCGACCCTCTCAGTCCCAACGGCTCAGACTCGGACGATTCGGACGTCAGTTCGGCACGCATGCAGCAGCAGTCTCGTCTGAAGAAGCAAGCCAAATTCCATCTAGCAAGCAAGCCAAATTCCATCTAGCAAGCTACCCCGGAGCCGACAACGAAGCCCACAACACCGGAGCACACTTGAACATCCACACTTGAACATCCACACTTGAACATCTGCACTTGAACATCTGCACTTGAACATCCGCTTCAACATCCGCTTCAACATCCGCTTCAACATCCGCTTCAACATCCGCACTTCAACATCCGCACTTCAACATCCGAACATCTGCACTTCAACATCCGCGCTCTGGTCAACGATCATCCAGGCACGAGCCACGCGGAACGTACAGACGTCGAGCAGCTCCTGACATACCGCCTGTCCCTCTCCGCGCTGGCCACGTCGCTACCTGGCTGCTGGCGTCGCCTACGCAGCCGCCAGTTCAGACCTGAACGCACCTACACTTGATGCGGCAATCAAGGGAATCGAAGCAGGCATGACTATCTTCAGCAATACTCGAGTTCCGTACTGGCTTTCTCCGCAGCGTACAAAGCAAACGTCGAGGCCGCGAGGCAATGTTCTGGCATCGTAACACTCCAAAGCGATAATCATGCAAGGACAGGCACTCTGGAAATCAGTGGCTGTGTTCTTCTTCGCCGCGTTGATCAGAACGTCAATCTATCGATAGCTGCCACAAGTGATCCACTAGGAGGCGGTAGTCGAGGCGCGGTCGAAACCGAAATCGTCGACTAGACTGGCCTTGTCTTCGATGTTTGTACCGAGCGAGATGGGCGGACGACTTGAGCCCCAGGAGAGGAGGTGAGGGGGCGGATTTCCCTCCGATTCCAGCGTGTCCAAATCGAAGTACTTCAAACCCGAGGTACAGTGTACAGCAGTGGGTAGCGGCAAGGAAGAGTCATTGTGAAGATATCGTATAGCAGCACTAGCAAACGTGCTAGAAAGCAAGTCTGTCAGTATTACTACAGCACTAGACTAGAATACGTAACACTACTACACAAAGTAGTACTCTTGCAAATTATAGAAATACTACAGACTATACAGCTACGTAGTCATACAGTTCTAGGACGCTATAACATGCACCCGTCCAAAGCCAGCGTAGCCATCACAACACAACCCAATCCAACACAGCACAACACAACACAGCACAACACAACACAGCACAACACAACACAGCACAACACAGCCCAACCCAGCACAACACAACACAGCACAACACAGCACAACACAGCCCAACCCAACCCAACCCAACACAACACAGCACAACACAGCACAACACAGCACAACACAGCCCAACCCAACACAACCCAACACAGCACAACACAACCCAACACAACACAGCACAACACAACACAACCCAACCCAACCCAACACAACACAGCACAACACAAAGAATGCGTTTTCAATCGTAGTATTCACACTGCTCCGAGTCTAATCGTACAATACATACAAGCGCTTGCAACGATAAAGCGTATACTACAGGCTATGGTTTGGAGTGGGAAGACGGGAAGATGGCCGTGCGAGGCGTAAGGACAAAGGAAATCTACCGACGCTGTTTGGTCGCTGATATGCGATTTACTGTCCATGCGTACGTGGTTCAACGCTGACTTCATTCCACGCTCTGTTCGCGTCACTACACGTGATGCCTCGGGCTCTCCAGCGCCTTGAACACGGCCGGCGCAGGCGGCACAAGCGGGCCCTTCGTCCCCGTCTCACCCTTGGGCTCCATCAGCCCCGGCGCCTTGCCGAACTCGCCGGAGAAGTACTTGTGGAAATCCTGCGGGTCCTCAAAGGGCCGCTTGCCCAGAAGACGAATCATGTCCTCGCGGCCCAGCATCTCCTTCTTCAGCAGCTCCTCGGCGACGAGGCCGACTTCGTGCTTCTTCTCCTCGAGCAGGTCGCGGCACTGCGTGTACGCCTCGTCGACGATGCGCTTCACCTCTGCGTCGATGTTCTTGGCCGTCTCCTCGGAGAAGGGCTTCTGGAATTGCGACTGCTGGTTGTCGTCGTCGAAGTAGATGTAGCCGATTTTCTTCGTCATGCCCCACTTGGTCACCATGGCGGTGGCCATCTGTGTCACCTTACGGAAGTCGTCCGACGCCCCCGACGTCACCGTGTCGAAGTGCAGCTCCTCGCTCACCCGCCCGCCGAGCGTCATGGCCATGCGGTCCATAAGCTGATGCACGTTCATCAGGTACGTGTCGCCGGCGGGCAGGTACTGGGCGTAGCCGAGCGCGCCCTGGCCGCGGGGGATGATGGAGACCTTGAGCAGCGGGTCGGCGTACTTGAAGTACCAGCCGCAGATTGCGTGGCCGGCTTCGTGGTAGGCGACCGTCTTCTTCTCCTCGGGCTTGAGGACGAGGGATTTCTTCTCGAGACCGCCAATGACGCGCTCAATGGCCTGTTCGAAGTGGACCATTGTCACTGTGTCGGCCGAGTAGCGTGCGGCTGGGACTATTAGCTGTGGCTGTGACGAAGAGAGGCTGAGACTTACCGATCAACGCGGCTTCGTTGACGCAGTTGGCAATGTCTGCACCGGAGAAGCCGGGCGTGAGAGCTGCCAACCTACCCTTGAGGAACTCAATGTCCTCCTTTGTGATGATCTTCTTCAGATGCACGCCGAAGATCTGGCCTCGGCCGTCCATGGTGGGGCGGTCGATGTTGATGTGTCTGTCGAAACGGCCGGGACGCATCAGCGCCTGGTCGAGGACGTCCGGTCGGTTGGTACCGGCGAGGACGACGACCTGCTCTGTTGTGTTGAAGCCGTCCATCTCTGTCAGGATCTGGTTGAGTGTCGCCTCGCGCTCGTCGTTGCCGCCACCGAAGTTCTGCTTTGAGCGCGATCGGCCGATGGCGTCGATCTCGTCGATGAAGATGATGCACGGTGTGCTCTTGCGGGCGTTGGCAAACAGGTCGCGCACTCGCGACGCACCGACACCGACGAACATCTCAACGAACTCGGAACCGCTCACGCTGAAGAACGGCACGCCAGACTCGCCCGCTGTGGCCTTGGCCAGCAGTGTCTTACCCGTGCCCGGGGGACCGGAGAGGACAGCGCCGCGGGGGATCTTTGCACCGAGCTTCTGGAACCGTCCGGGGTCCTTGAGGAACGACACAAACTCCATAATCTCCTGCTTGGCCTCGTCCATGCCAGCAACGTCGGCAAACTTGACCTTGATGTCTGTCTCGTGATTGAACTTCTTCGCGCGGCTCTTGCCCATACCGAAGACGCCGCCACCGCCACCGCCACCGCCGCCGGCGCGCCGCGTGAAGTAGAACAGCGAGCCGAGGAGCAGAATGGTTGGGCCAAAGGACAGGAAGGTGCCGAACCACGAGATCTCGCTCGAGTAGGCGACAGGGATGCGCTCGGAGCTGGGGATACCGAGTTCGTACTGGGCGTCGTCCATCTTGCGCTCAAAGGCCTCGACTGAACCGATGGTGAAGTAGTAGTAGAAGTTGGCGTTGACGGACGGCGAGTCGGGGTACATGCCGGCGACGGCCTCGCGGTGCAGGTGGACCTTTGCCTTGTTGTTGTTCAGGATGACAATCTTCTCGACCAGGCCCTTGTCAAGGAAGGTGGTGCGGAACTCCTGCCAGGTGATCTCCTTGGTGTTCTCGCTGGGGATGAACATGCGGTAGGTGATCCAGGCCAGGAAGGCCGAGACGAGCAGCGTGTTGGTGTCCAAGCCGCCCATGGGGCTGGGGGCGCCGTCCTTCTTGCCGTCCTTCTTGCTGTCCTTCTGGCTCTGGGGCCCCGGGTCGTGGGCGCCGGCCTTCTGCTGCGACTCGTCCGTCTTGAACTGCTGCTGCTCGGCGGCGCGGCGGGCCATGCTGCTGGTCATGCGCGAGATCTTGGCGGCGGTGGCGAGGTCGAGCTTCTCGCCGCGGGCCAGCTTGTCCATCTCCTCGCGCAGCTCGGGCGGGATGCCGGTGCGCTTGATCTCCTCCATGGCGTCCTTGACCGCCTTCTGCTGCGCCTTGGGCACGCCCATGGACACAAACGAGACCAGCTGATCGAGCATCTTCTCCTCCTCGGGCGTCAGCTTCGACGTCTTGTCGGGAGCGTAGTCTTTTTTCTCGTCAGTGGTCTCATCCCTCTGCTCCTCATTCTTCTCCTCCTTCCTCTTCTCCTCCTCCTTCTTCCCCTCCTCCTTCTTGGGCTCCTCGGGGCCCGTCGCAAACCGCCGGGCGCGCTGCTGTGCGTAGAGACATTGCGGCACGGGCACCCGCCGCCTTAGTGTGAAGGGTGCGCGGGGTGTGCATGTGGATGAGGAGCGGGCGAGACGCGCGAGCTGGCCGGGCGAGCGGCGCAGAAGCGTCGACATGGTGGTGGGCGGGCGCGGCGGACGCGCGGGAGGCAGATGTGCGGAGTGGCGGGCGGGCGTGGGAGCGGGCGGGTCGTGGGTTGGGGCGCCTGCACAGTCCTACCATGCACTGCTGTAGTGCAGTATAAGAAATCGGTGTCGTCGTGCTGCGCGGTGTGGCGGGCGCGTGATGGCGAGCGAACTCTGCCGATGGATGACAGCACAAGTCGTGACGCCGTTGAAGCTGTGACTAAGCCAATTGAGCCGTGACTCGGCCGCCTGGGCGCCACCAGCAACGCCAACACACGTGCTCGAGATGACACTTTGGCAGTGGCAGACGCTTGGACATGTTCACACAGGATTTGCAGTCACGAGGGAAAGACTGCTTTTGCTACAGTCAGCGGTGCAGTAGACGACGTTGAACAATGGACATTATCTCCGTGGCAGTGTGTTCCAGACGGGGCGTCGTGGTCGGTGCTTTCAAGACCTGTACATGTCAATGCTTCCAAAATGCGGACCGGCTTGTGTTGCGCAGCAGAGCAAGAGGACGACAGTGTGACTGCAAGGAGGTTGATGTACAATCTATTCGTCGACCCGAATCAGGAATTCTCGTGCCAAGCAGCGCCCGACATCCACTCTTCTACGTATACATGTCGCTCTTCATCAGAACCCCTACTCCGAGTCGCTGAACTCAGCACGGCCGTGCTTGGAGTTGAGGTACTCGTTCCTGCATCCGTTAGCCCCGTCTGATCTCACCGCCCCCTTCGAGCTCCTGCACTTACCTCTCAATCGCCCACTCCATGGTGGCGTAGCCCGCAATGAGCGGGGGGATGAAGTACAGCACCTGGTTCCGCGAGCGGCGCACGACATTCCAGAAACCCTTGCCGATGAACGTCGCCATGGGGCGCTGCCTGTTGGGGCTGAGCGAGTACGTGACTATGCCCTTGCCGGGTCGGCCGCCGCCCTCATAGGGGTTGCCCCAGGAGCCAATGTGCCATCTGTGGACCGTCAGCGTGCTGTCCAGTTGACCGCTGCAGTGCGTGCCGGGTGTGCGGTGTTTTGCGCCATGACGGGTGTGGAGGGAGAGTGCGATTGCGCGCGCGCGGGGAGGACGTACGTGGCCTTGACCTTTGCGTTGGGATCGGAGCCGCCGCCAGCCATTGTGAGATGTGTGTGCGGGTGGTGGGAGGTGCGGTTGGGGTGGTGGGTTGACGTTGAGGAGAGCTCACGCTGGTTAGCTGTGGTGTTCGGGAATCGCGAAAACGCCAAGGCCTCTCAATTGGCGCCGGTCTGATTGGCTGCGCGGCTGCAACACAGCGAGTCAACGGGACACAGATTCACGATGCTTGGAAAGACGGAGACATGATAGCAGTTTGACGGAGATGCATTGTCGTCACTATGAAATACGCTGTTCGACCCCAGGACCGGCTGTGGTCGTGTCGCGTGCGCGTATCCAGCACGCGGCCGTCCTAGATTGTGCGGAGCAGCACCACCAAGAACACAATGATGATCAGTGCAAAGGGCAGCATCATGCGCGCGCTCTCGAAGTTGCCCTGCTCGATCGCCTGGTTGTTCGCCTCGATATCCACCTGGCTGTGCTGTGGCCGCTGTCCAGCGGGCCACAGCTGGCCATACCGGTTGCCGGGCGCCGACTCATACAGCTCGCCTTCTGGCGATTTGAACGTGGTGACCTGTGTATCCGCGTCGTAGCCGATCCGCTGGAAGCCCTCGGGGAGGCGAGAGGAGTCCTGGGAAACGCCTCAGCGAGCTGTGCAGACCATGGCACTGTACGTCATGCGAGACGTCTGCATGTGTTGTGGAGACTGTAGGAGGTCACTTACATCGTCATTGTCCTTGTACGCCATCGCGGAAGCTGTGTGTAGTGATCGTGAGTATTGGAGGTGGTCAGTCTGCAATCAGGCCAAAGGCAACAGTACGAGCGTGAATGCTGTACGACAATCGATTGTATACAAAGTATGATGCGGGGTAGTCGTGTGAGTTTCAGACAGCAGTGAGCGTGATGAGCGTCTACACGAGCGTGGCAGTGCCGTTGCGAGCTTGTACCTGATTCAGCATCAATGCGCGAGGTCTGGGGCTGAGCGCTTGTTTCTTAGGGCATCCCGCATAGCCAAGGCGTCGAGGCCTCTCCTGTCACAAAACAGCAACGAACCTTCACGACCATTTCCACCACATGACATATTCTTGGGGTTTGGGACGAGACACGATGGAGAATGACTACAGGATCGCTAGATGATATGTGTTTACGAAAGTGACACAAGGCAGTCCCCGAATCAACACAGACGACTTGACGTCAAGAAAAGCAAGGGAGTATCGACCATGCCCTTTCCGGTATTGCTGAGATATTGTAGATCCAATGCATGTAAGTTTCTGTTCATACCGGAGTCCTTATAGCATGTAGATTCTTTTCAATGCCATATGGGCGCTTCCGCGATGCACGCTCCCGTTGAGCGGTTGTTCAACGTGCCTTCACTGCAGCGTGCCTACGAGAAAAGCAAACAAACACTTGACCTGTGCATGCGTCCTGCTCCATACAAAAAACTTCTTCGCCTTCAGACCGTTGACAGTCTTGACTCCACCCAACCCCAGTACGATGCGGCTCCTCGATCTACCAGCAGAAATATTCGACCAGATCATCCACGCCTTCGTCATCAAGGTTGGATATGTCGCCGCTGCTCGAGCGTGATACGTCTGTAGTGAGTACACTCCACAATTCGGCGAGCACGTCTGACCAATGAGTAGCAACCTTCGCAAGAGGCATCGAAGACGACCTATTTCGAAAGCAGCCTCTCGTGAAATCCCACAAGCGCATGGTCATATAGCGCAGTGGAAAATGACAGCGGCTACTAGGCATGAACATGTCAGCGATACTGACTAGGATGAATCCCAAGTCTGTTCCCAACGATTACCTGTTCCGCTACATGGATGCTGCAGCCGACTATCTCATGAGATTCTTAGAGGATCAGACCCAGAAACAGCAGGATACCTACCGTTGCGCTGTAGGACAGGCGATCTGCCTCATACGCACAAGTGAGCGTGTCATATCTTGCCTCTGGAGCGATCTGTCCGGGCTCACGCTGGCCGACACAGCAAATCTGGAGGGATCTGATCCCGAGCAACTACTGGCTGCAGCGGCGGCCGTGGGCTGTAGCAGTGCTGTGCGCCATCTCCTTCCCACTCTCACACATCCAATTCAGACGAGTTGGACAATGGGGCGACCACTGACGGCTGCAGCCATCAACGATCAACTCGGCACAGCAGATTTACTGTACAAACTCCCTACTGTCCACACAACGAACGAATCCTACCTCTGGGCTACCATAGAATCGTGCATGGGCATAGAAAACGATGACTTTATCCCACAACTCCTCAAGTGGCTACAGACCGCGAGCGATATCTGTCCAGACGCTCGGCAAAAGCGAGAACTTCGCCTGTATGCCATAGAGACTGGAGCTGTTGAAGTGCTTCGGACCGTCGACACTCTCGGGGCCGTGTCTGCCAACTGCGGGCTCTACAGCTCCGACTTCCAAACCGCATGCGTACACGGACAGACAGAAACTATCAAGTACTTCACCGAGGCCGACATAAGCGCGCATCCTCGCTGGAAGAGGAAGCGAATCACTTGTTTGACCCACGGACTACGTGTTACTGCTGGCTATGGCTGGTTTGTGGCTGCACGGTATCTCGTGTCCAAGGACGCCGACGTGAACGGTCAGTACGACGTGCAGGGTCTGTACGTCGGTACCGCTCTTGATGCAGCGGTCTACCACAATCGCCTTGACATGGTGGAGCTGTTGCTTGACAGCGGCACTCGTGTGCATGTCGACGAAGAGAGCTCGTACGGCGAGTACACGCTATCTACAGCTCGTGAGCAAGGCAGCGAGATGGCCAGGCTGATCAGCGCAGCGGTCGGGCAGAAGTGGGGCAGAGAGTCTCAGGAGGGAAGGAGGATGCATGGTTCACGGGCTGACGATGACGATGATGCGCTGACTGATAACATGCGAGACTTGTATTTGCGGGGCTGACAGTAGAGCTGGTGAGCACCCCTGAGTAGTGCCTGTAGTCTGAAGATAGCCCAATCCCTGAAAGCAGCACTACACAGATCACGTATAGACCTCAGGCTTATGTGTAACCTTCGAATAATGCACTGAGATCGCGTGGCAAAAGCACCAGTGACAGTGATGTAAAAATTGCTTCGACGAAAATCGACATGTTCTAGGTCTTACTGTCTAATGTGGAAATCGGTCAAGTTATTAACATGACGGAGGTACAGCATACTTGCATCGTCACCGCACGTCAAGATAAGGTAGCCACCAAGACGCCTTGGTTTTGATGCTAAGTGCTGCACCTCCACGCAGCTGTGCCGCTTTACCGCGATGCTTCGCACAACCAACTTGTTCACGAGGCATTATGTACCAAACTCAAGCTAATTCGCTCTGTGACTCTTACTGAGATCGCCTGGCAGCTTTGATGAAGCAGCGCGCTGCTCTTGTAGGCCGAGGCCCTTCTTTGTTGGTATGGGGAGCCGCCTGCAGCAGCGATGATGCTATCCACAGTGGACCGCGAATCCGGGGATGAGAGGCCCACAGCGTACGACGATTGCTGCACTGCAGCCTCACTGTGATAAGGGCTTTCGGGATGTCGAATGGTGATGCAACTCGTGGAACAGGCAGGCCGGTCAATCGCGGTGCTAAAACAAGTTTTATTTGCTGCTTTCAAGATTGTGAAATGAGCAGGTGGTGCTTGCTCGGAGCGCCACGTTGAAGCAGCCACAGCGATTCTTTCTGCTCTTGGCCAAACAGCAAGAATGCGCCGCGACCAGCTTCCACCAATGCAAGCGCTCAGTCACCATGACATGAGCAGCTCACACGCATCATTGCGACGATCAACTCCACTGCCCACTTCTTTCGCATTCGACACTGGACAGCACAGAGAAGAGTCACCAAACAGAGTCCAGATCACTGCTGCGCCTCACCAACGCCACTGCTTGCGTGATCCTAGCGCGCCAGCGTCATAGGCCAGCCTGTTGATTGGAACCAAGCCGGCATAAGCCTGCCGAGACCACAGATAAGGAGTTACCGCCGCCTCACTTCGAGGCTTGTTCACCTCAGGTACTCTTCGTGCACTTTCGCACACCCACAGCTCACGCAACTCGCAACACCACATCAACCGATGGGAGAACCCGACGATCCTTCTTTACCGCGCAGTGTCAAGTCCAAGACTGCTGCTGCACTTGGCTTCGGGCGCAACAAGGACAACAACCAGCCTGTCCTCCCCACGGCCAACAGCCACATTTCCCCCACGCGTGCTGGCTCCAACACCAGCACCCTCAACAACGAGAAGCGCGACGCAACCCACCACAATGCAGACGGTGAACTCAATACCCAGGGAGATGGAGCTTCGTCTCCCGCCCTAGAGGCTGCTCCCAAGGAGCCGCTCGTCACCCGCATGAAGAACGGCTCGATTCGCTTCCTCCTCCACACCAAAAATGCCTTGACACACAGCTGGATCAACGTTCTGCTCGTGTTCGTACCTCTCGGTATCGTCGTCAAGGTCATCGGCCTCAAGGCCGAGATTGTTTTCTCCATGAACGCCATTGCCATTATTCCACTTGCTGGTCTTTTGGCGCACGCGACCGAAGTCGTCGCTGAGCGTGTTGGAGACACCCTTGGTGCACTGCTCAACGTTTCATTTGGAAATGCTGTTGAGCTTATCTTGTTCATCATCCTGCTTGCTTCGAACCAGATCGAGGTTGTCCAGGCTTCGTTGCTGGGATCCATCCTCGCAAACTTGCTGCTTATCCTTGGCATGGCCTTCCTGCTTGGAGGTCTCAAATACCAGGAACAGGTCTACAACAGCACAGTCACCCAGATGAGCGGTGTCATGCTTGCCTTGGCCGTCATGAGCTTGCTTCTGCCCACTGCATTCCACGCTGCATTTTCAGACAACGCCATTGCTGACCACGAGACACTCTATGTCAGCCGCGGCACCAGTGTCATCTTGTTGCTCGTCTACGGTCTCTACCTGCTCTTCCAGCTGAAGAGTCATCGCTACTTGTACGCCAGCACTCCTCAGCATATCATCGACGAGGAATCGCATCCTGGTGTTCTTGCGGGCGCCTTCGACTCTTCTAGCTCCTCATCGTCAAGCAGCTCTAGCTCTGACGACAGCGATGGCTCTTCGCACTCTTCCGGCACCCTCCAGCGCAAGGCAAAGCGTATGGTACGCAAGCTCCGCCGCAAGTCCAGTGCCAGTTCCAAGGATGGCCTGTCTGCCTTGGCTGGCGTCGAGGGCTCCCAGAAGGGAAGCGTTGACAGGAACGCCAGCACTGGCAGCTCGGCCCCGCGTCAATTCGACGAACCCATCATGAGCGGCGACGAGGCCGACGATGACGTCAACGCACCTCGCGTTCGTGACTTCGAAGTCGCTTCGCATGCCTCCGTCGCCCACACTAAGCGCGAAAAGCGTAAGCATAAGAGCAAGAGGAAGCATCGCCGCGAGGAAGCGACCGTCGAAGAGAACGGAGCGGAGCCACAGCCCAAGCCTAAGGTTGTCTTTTCCACGGAGGTGCAGCAGGGTGATGCTGCACCGGTCACCGGACGCCGACCTTACCGACCTGCTCTGCCTTCGCTGCTCTCCAACAACGTCTTCTCGAACCCACAGAACCTGGCTCCGGTTGGCGGACCTGCACCCAACATTCGTATGGCCGCCCCAAGGGACCTGCGCCGTACCAGGTCTCTTCCTGAGCACATGGATCGTACACAGTCGCAATACAGCACTAATAATGCCAATGCACCCGCCCCCCTTCAGCAAGCCGCCATCGTCCACGACGAAGACGATGAACATCACCCGGACATGTCCATCAAGGCTGCCATTTTCATGTTGCTCATCAGCACTGGTCTCGTTGCCATCTGCGCTGACTTTATGAGCGATGCTATCGAGCCCATGGTCGAGACTTCAGGTATCAGCCAGGCCTTCATCGGTCTCATCATCCTGCCAATCGTTGGTAATGCTGCTGAGCACGTTACTGCTGTCTCTGTCGCCATGAAGAACAAGGTCGATCTGGCAATCGGTATCGCCGTTGGCTCCTCAATCCAAATCGCCATCTTCATTACCCCTGTCATCGTCATCCTCGGCTGGATTATGGGCAAGCAGATGACCCTTTACTTCAACATTTTCGAGACTGTCGCGCTGTTTGTCACAGTTCTCGTTGTCAACTTCTTGGTGCTAGACGGCAGGAGTAACTATCTTGAGGGTAGTCTGCTCATCGCCGCCTACGTCATCATCGCTCTTTCGAGTTTCTTCTACCCTGACGGCTGCGATGCATCTGCTATTGGTGGTAACGAGACAGCTTGCACATCAAACACTGTCGCTCATGCTGCGCAGATGGTCAGACGTTTGGCCGGTTACTAGTTCAGCAATATCTCGGCTTCAAAAGCCTTGATGCTGGCTACGATGCACACGAACATCGACGATGCTGGCATCCAACTTGCACATTGCACGATTCAGGAGCTTGAGCAGGTGAAGTGCTCGCTCCGGTGATTACAATCACCCATGATTTACTGTCTTTCTCGAATACGGATATCATATCCAGTAGTTTATTAAGTATCACATCCGTGATAGAAATAATGAAGCACATCGTAATGCTCACAATCGTGACTAACTGCACTGTGATCGCGATGTATCTACCACGCCTAAAAGTCAGCCCCGCCCTAGCGACATATCCGGGGCTCCCGAAGCAGGAAGGTGGGAAGGACACATACACAATGACTAAGCCTACCCATGTAAGATGAGTTTTCGGGTGTGGACGCATGAATGCATAGAGGTTTTGCGAGATGTATGTGTGCGCCGTTGCCTGCTGCTGATGAGATGACTGCGAAGAAGGTTCGAACAGCTTGGGCCTATTCAGCCGGGACCGGAAGCGGATGAGTTAATTGATAAGGTTATTCACATTTCGGTAATTGTGGGCTGCTACAGAGTGGGAAGTCACAATTACAGACAAGTAGCCTGGTAATAGGAGACAACATGTAGAGCGCCCATTGAGCTTGTTTGATATTACTGCCTTTCTTCCTCGACTACACAACTACCGGCCTGTTACGAGTGTACCGGCCAGGTTGTCTTATAGCCGATGTTAATGACCTCCGGCAGCTGCAACGATCCCACTGCTCTTGCCTTGTCAGCTGGTGTGCTACCCGGCACCCATTTCATGAACTTTGCGAAAAACGTATCTCGTATGTCCTCGGGTCGCGCATTGTCCCACGCTTCTCTGTCGCCAAGTGGCAACGGCGCCACGGCGTTGAGGTGCGTACTGACGGTCTTTGCTAGTCGCCGGCCCTCAGGCGAGTCGAAGCCGCCTAGTGCTTGCCATGCAATATTGGTGGCGACGAAGCTGATGGTGTTGGACTTGTGTGCGCCTTCGCGCTTTGCGTGTTCCTTGAGCTCGAGACATTTAGCGATTGTTGTGGCGGCTTTGTTGCGCAGAGCGGTGTTTTGCGGCGAGGGCGCTAGAGAGTCGATGACCTGCAGGATGCAAATGTGGACAGTGTTGTATAGCATCAGCGCTGTGCCTGAGACGTGGTTCGCAACCCCTAATTCCTCGGCGAGTGGTGAGGGGGTCTTGTTGGGGTCTCTTTGAGAGGCGTTGAAACGTTCGTACAGAGGATAAACCTTCTTCAGATTGTCCAGTGCGTCCTGCACACGTCGGAGGAGCGGTTCGTACGCCCATAGCGGTGCTGTTCCATTCAGAATAGCGTCGCGCTCACCCATGAGCTTTGTGCAATCCGCCAGACAGGTGAAGATGTGGTGCTGCATGATCATGGGTTCAGTTGCGTCGGCTGGCGGCGGCGCGTTCCTCCATTCGTCTCGCGCATAGATTGACGGCCGAGATTCTGCAAGTGCACCTATGATGGACAGAATCCGCAGGCCTCGAAAGATGGTAGATGTGTCTCCGGTTGTATCTTTCGGCGGTCCACGCATAGCCATAATGGCCTCCAGACCTCGATGATGTTTGAAAAAGTTCTTCGGACCGGTCGGCAGGAAAATCTCAAGTAGCATGCAGGTCAACGCCGTGAGGATGGTTTCGTCAGTTGTCTGCAGTTCTGGTAGTGCTAAGTGCGTGTTGAGCTGCCGCAGAACCTCGCCATACAAAGAATACCCTTGCCGGGTGATCTGGTTCTGACGATGCTGTTTGCCAAAGAAAGTCACCGAGAGACTGAGCAAAGACTGTCTGAGAAGCTCAATTCCTGGGTCGTCAAAGTCTGGCGCGCCAACATAAACTTCGATCGTGTTGCAGGCCAGCTCAACGGGTCCTCCTCGCAGCAAGTTCTTGCGTGTATAAGCAAGACATATTGTCTCGTCGAAAGCCACGAATGAAAGCTGAGGTGGCGGGGTTGCAAGGATCACAGAACCTTCTGAAGAGGACTCGCTTTGAAAGTCGGTGTTCTGGCTAATCCATGTTACGTTCTTAGGACCGTCGCAGTCAAGACCGCGCTTCTTGCAGCGAAGACATGTTGGGCGCGTTTCGTCTGCGAGGATATCAACGCTGTCGTCATTGATGGCATTTGAGGATATACTGCGATGACTCACCACACTTGACGCGTCGTTTTCGACAATTCGAGCAGCCTTTTGATCGGCCACCTCTGCTCACCATGCTCAAGGCATCTGCAAAGTCGTGCTTAGGAGGGGGAGGGGGGGTGTCGGTCGATCGTTGGTGCACTACCGTTGAGCCGTGCAATTATCCGATGGCAGGACCTATCACAAAAATGAAATTGAGGTCCTCACTTTGATGTAACAGCTCCATCCTTTGACGGCGATGGTGGTTGTTGTACGCCAGAAATGGAAGATGTAGTGGTCAGTGGCTGAGATCGGCGACCGGACGAACGCAAAGGCCGACAGGCATTCAGGAATCTGCCTCGCAACTGCGCCGTCCAGACTTTTACTCCACCCGCTTCCATCTCCATCTTCATCTGCAAATGTTCGATCCAAAACTGACGACATGAAGATACCATAGCGGCCGAAGCGATGGTGAGGCTCTCGGGATAACGGCAGAGACGCCAAGGCCCAGCCTCCTTGTGTGATGTCAAAGTCTTCGGCTAACGCCAAAACACAGCGACAGGCCAGTAGCATCGACAGGTGAGCCTTACTCACCTGAACATGTAGCACGGAGGTTGCCTCGCTACGTCAGCCATGCTTATGAGGACTTAAAGGTAGTCCTCGCTACTTGACGATGCACAGCTTCACATTTTGCGACCCTATACATATTCGTTGCCTCCTCCACTACACGATCTCTGCTGCTGCGCAGCTTGCTTCATCTTCTCATCGATACCTTCCTTTGTCATCATGAGCACTATAGACCTTTGCACTGGTAACTTTGCCCTCGTGGATGCCGTTCCTGTGGCCTTCCAAAATAACAGAGGCGGATCGTATCACTCAATCGGCCCCATCTCCAATTTCACGGCCGCGATGCAAGGGTGTTGTGGGAGCCCGGTGGACATATTCGACGGCCGCGTGGCACCTTTCGGCTGCTACCACTATTGTGTCTTTGAGGGGAGCCAGGACGAGTGGAAACAAACGCGCGAATGTATTGATGATCGGGCCAAATTATCCAGAGATCGATTGGCGCAGCAGAACATTACTGGAAATGGATATATATCTGGTGGCCGATCCCCTGATCAAGTCAGTTCTGCTGGCACCAGTCTACCTCGGTCTGCAAAGGCGCGTGTTTGGTTCTGTCTGTTTCTTGGATTGACAACCATCGGATCGCAGGTGTGAATGAGGGACAAGCCGATATCATTCGTATCTTCTCGGACACACAGACTTATGTTCACAACTCATGTTCCGGGTCCCCCATACAGCAAAGCCACCTTCACTGTGCTTCATTGACGCATGCACTTATGGCCAGAGATGCTCTCACCGCAGTGGAAGCGACAGCTTCTTTGCCTTCACCTTGGTAGTGTCGAGTCCATCCCGCCCATAAAGACTAGAAAATCGTCTACCTCCACTACGTTTTTCGTCGAATCGCGGTTCCACACCACATCCCAGTCTATAGCTGAGACCGATACTACCAGAGTGGCCATGCTACTGCTCGATCTCCCGCCCGAGGTTTTCCAACGAGTCATTACCATCCATGTCTCCACTGTCGGCGTCGGCAATGCCGCCAAAGCCCGCGAGGCCTGCAGTAAGACCTCATTGGCAATTCAATCCAGTCTAATTTACTGTCAAAATCACTAAGCACGACTAGAAACGTTTCTTGCTTACATCAACGAGGAAATTTTCGCGCGACAACCACCCGGCGCCTTTGCTGCTCGAGTGCCAAACAAGCTGCTGAAGAGGAATCTTGCTCTGTTCTTGGAGTACAGGATGGTATCGCTATTTGGCGCTCCGACCTTTTGCCTACCCTCATTCGATAGGCCGCATATCACGTCCTGAACGTCACCAACAAAGTTACGACAATATCTGACCCAACAAGCTGCAGCCACTGATGGCCTCCCTGTGCTGCGAGCTCTACAGACTTACAGCTTCAGCTCTGAAGAGCAACACAGATTTCTTCTAGGTCTACTTAGAAACCCGGCACCGAGAGATGTGCTCTTGTTCTGTGTCAAAGCCCTTTGTCAAAACTGGATGCGAGTCCGTATCTCCATACATGATAAAGCACGGCCTTTGCTAGATATTACTGTTCGGCAAAACAATCTGCCGTTAGCGGAGGCCATCATCTCTGTTCAAGCTCACAATCCGAATGCACAACTCTCGGCGGGACTGAGTGCGCCATACCGCGAAGCTATTTTGCGCAAGAAACTCGCTATGGTACGTCTCTTTCCCCAACATAGTGTCAATCCGGAAGCATCGATCTATTCTACAACATGCGACACATTTGCCCGCCCGCCCACCAGCACTTGCGAATTGGCTCGCCCCGGGTCGAAGGTATATGCAGTCGTGAAGAAGGCGGTGGAGGACAAGATTGTCTCGCGCGGGGAGAATTACAATAAGCCTCGCTATTGCGTCTGGGGAGCGAAAAAGAACAGAAGGATGTTCTTGTGGCTTACACTTTCCACCCTCCCAAGCTCTGAGACGACCATATTCTCTCACGGTATTACGGTCATCTAGAGGACACACCCTAAAGCTTGCCCAGACTCTGCATCGAGCCGTTAAGCTCAGACTCGACCTCATTTTCCTTCAGTAGCCAAAAATGCACACTATCACATGATGCTGTCTTTTCTCCAAGCGTTTCATTGTAGTTCGGAAATCTAGGGTCATATACCGAAAGTTTTGCGATCATTTCTCTTCCCCTCCGAGAATTACTTGATCGGATCACAGCCTATAGGACAAATGGAAACCTTTAGAAAGGTAGCCCAAGGTACTATCATTGATGATCAACGAAAATAATGCATTCAGATTCCAGGCCTCTGGACTATTTCGTGGAATATTGCCTTTTTTCACACAGGAGCTAGCAGACTGGCCCACGACCTTTCATAGTCAGCACAATTCTGAATCTCGTTTTTCCTATCAAAGCCCCTGGTCCTGGATGCTGTTTTCGTTTCTAACTGCAACCCCTGTTATAGCAATTCACTGATGGGGGTGGCCAAGTATAGCTCGCCACCATCTCATGCAGGGGCGATCCGCTCTGCAAGGCTTCCTTTCATAGATGCGTAGTACTCAACGAGGTATTTCTTCATTCTGCACTCCAAGCATTGAAGAACGCGTTTAAAATGGAGTCAAAATTACCCTGCAGCACAAGATCATTTAACAGAGCGATCTGGTAATAGTTAAGAGAAGAGCAGGTAATAGAATATAAAGCATGCCTATTTCTTTATAAGCATAAGTCTGCTCAATGCTCATGTACAAAATATGCTAAAATTACACATGAGACCTATCCTTCTCCCGAGACGACGCAGTATCGTCAACAACAAAAATGGGTGGTGTCGCAATGGCCACGTCCTTATCGGGATCCTGTGTCTTCTTCTTGCGGAAGAGACCGCCAATAGCAGAGCAAGTCCTGCCAGTCCATCTGTAAGCAATAACAACCGGAGTTCCCGTAACGCGCGCAATGGCGGCGAACCAAGGATCAGGGAAGTATCTAATCGCAACAGCCCATGGAATACAGATGAACCCTGTGATGATCGAGATGGCCCACTGAGTGCCGTCGATACCTCCGGGCTTAATTTGGAAGGCGCGACCACCAACGAAGATGATCATGACTTGGAGACCGATGATGAGAAGAACGATGAAAGTGAAGAAGTGGTTGCGGTGGATACCCTCAAAGATGTTGAGCTTGTTATCGAGACGCCTGTTGTTGAAGATATTGAAGATTTGCATCCAGACGAAGCTGTTGAAGATGACGGTATCGAGCTCGAGCTTCTTCATGGGATCAGAGAGGTCGTAGCCGAGAATATCGCCACCGGCGAAGTAAAGAACGAAAATGACGGTGAGTTTGTAGATGTTCTGACCAGTGATCTGCTTCCACATCGTGGTGGTGATGAGTGGCTTGTCCCTGCCCTGAGGAGGGCGGTTGAGGATGCGCTCGGTAGGAGGATCGGTAGCAAGGGCGAGGGCAGCGAAGGTGTCCATGATCAAATTGACCCACAGGAGCTGGACTGCCTTGAGAGCAGGCTGCATCTGGTCGTCATAAACGGCGGTGACAAAAGCGAGCACAACCGCAGTGATGTTGACGGTGATCTGAAACTGAAGGAACTTCTGAACGGCGTCGTTCACAGCGCGTCCCCACATGAGCGCGGTGATGATGGATGCGAAGTTGTCATCCATAAGAATGATTGCGGATGCTTCTTTAGCGACCTCTGTACCTGAGATGCCCATGGAGAAACCAATGTTGGCAGCCTTCAAAGCAGGTGCGTCATTGGTACCATCGCCTGTGACAGCCACAATCTCATTGAGGGCCTTAAGGCGCATGACGAGAACACGTTTATCCTCGGGCGAAGAGCGAGCCAGAACCTGGAGACGAGGGATGACTTCGTCCATCTCAGCCTCCGAAAGGCGGCGGAACTCTGGGCCTTCCATGACAACGCCACCCTCAGTGTAGATGTTGCACTCCAAAGCAATGGCACGAGCGGTTTGCATATTGTCACCAGTGACCATGCGAACAGTAACGCCGGCGCCTTGAGCTTTGCGAACAGCCTCTGGCACACCTGGGCGAACCGGGTCTTGGATACCAACTATGCCGAAGAAGACGAGATCGCGGAGGATGGTCTCGAAGTCAACACTGCCAGTCTCAGTGGTGCCGGCATGTGCTGGGGGCCACTGAGTGTACTCCTGGTAAACAAGGCCGATGGTACGAAGGGACCTGTTGGCGAACTCGCTGATGGTGCTAAGCAAATCCTGGCGACCCTCCTCAGTAAGAGGTTGAGGCTCGAGTGTCTGGAAGTTGGCCTGCTCGGAGCACATGCGGAGAAGAATCTCGGAAGCACCCTTGACAACCATACGATAGCCGCCAGACCTGAGTTTGATGACTGCAGCCATACATTTCTTGCTCGAGTCGAAAGGCATCATGTGAATGACCTCCTCGTTGTCGCGGGTCTCGGGCAGAGAGATAAGACCAAGGTGATCCTTAGCAAGCTGCAGCAGAGCGGTCTCAGTCTTGGATCCCACAAACACCTGTCTGCCCTCCTCTTCGCCCTCAAAGGCAGTCGAGTTGACGGCAATGGACTGGACGAGAAGTTCCTTGGCGGCAGGGTTAACATCGGATGCCCAAGACGCGACAGTGGTAATTGCCTCGGAGTCTGACTGTGCAAAGCTGGCGGAACCAAACTTGCCCGCCACAACTGTCATCTTGTTGGTAGTGAGAGTTCCAGTCTTGTCGGAGCAGATGGCGGTTGCGTTGCCCATAGTTTCACACGCTCGTAAAACACGAACGAGATTGTTCTCCTTCAGCATCCTTGTAGTCGCGAAAGCCAAGGCGAGTGTGACGGCAAGAGGAAGACCTTCGGGAACAGCAACAACAATGATGGTGACTGCGACGATCAAGATATCCATAAATGCAGAACCCTTCGCGGCTGGTAGGCGGTTGTCGCCGGGCAGACCACCAATGAAGCGGAAGAGTAGGATGAAGAAGAGAACACCCGCAGCAGCGCTACCAATCTTGGAGATGGCAACAGCAAGACCGCCGAGCTTTTCTTGGAGAGGTGTAGCCTCCATCTCAGTCCGGACAGACATCATAATCTTGCCGAACGAGCTGTGGACGCCGACAGATGTAGCCATGTAGGTACCAAGACCTTCATTAACCTTGGCGCCAGAGATGATGAAAGGATCAAGTCCCTTCTGCGATTGGCCATTGTCGAGTGCCTTCGTGACCGTAGCGCTGGGTGTCTTGCGGATGGCGTCAGACTCTCCTGTGGCGGACGACTCGTCGCATTTGACATCGTGGCCTTCGATGAAGATACCATCGACGGGAATGACATCACCGGGCTCCATGTGGATGATATCCCCAGCGAGTACATCGTAGACGCTGATCATAATGGCTTTGCCAGACCTCGTAACCTTAATCTCGCGCTCCTCTTTCTTTGCGTTTAGTCGGACGAAAGCTTGCTCCTTTTGCCAGTCATTGATAGCCGTCACTAGGACGACAATCACGATGGCAATACAGATGGCAAGACCCTCGACCCAGTCGACTGGTGTCGGCGACCCCGGAGGATGCTCTGCGCCAAATGTCTCGTACAAGCCAAGTGCTAAAGAAATAGCGGCGGCGACTGTAAGGACAATAAGGACCGTATCATTGTAGGCGTTCCATATCAGTCTCAATAGAGGCGTGGCCTTCTTAGGGGGCAATACGTTGCGCCCATAGATCCGTATTCGGTCTTCGAAAGGTGTTCCGCCGCTGTGTGACCGCTCGACCTTGCTACCAATAGATGCGCCGTGGACAGCCTGGTCGAATGTTACGTGTCGAGGAGCGGATGCTTCATCAACACTCAAGCCAGTATGTGTGTCCGACTGTAGTCCATGTGCGATGCCTCGCAGCCCGCCTAATGCTTGGAAAGCAGCTAGTGATTTGGGATTTAGGAGCTTGTTGAGTTGTCCAGGAGAGAAGGCAAAAGGGTTATTGTTCACCTCGAAGTCGTTCTCTGTCCCAGGGTCGGGCAGTAATGCTGTCTCGGGGTCGTGTACTGCTGTCGATGCGTTGCTTGGTGACACATCCGAAAGTGGTGATACTGGTGTCCGGAAAGGATCAGATATGGATGATGTGATAGTGTCGGCGTTGCTAAGTGCGCGCTGTCGAGTGTTGACCTGTAAGGTCGGAGGGGCCAGCTTGCCGCTCTCCATTATGTCTAAACGACTAAGTTGATGGAATGATAAAATTAGAGTCCTGAAGAAATGTATAGAGACTCAATCAAACTGTGGATGTAATGCTGGAAGGATTGTGGATTCGTGTGGAGGGCTCCATTAAGCGCGAGCGAGGTCCTACTATACTCCTGCAATAACAAGGAGGCTGTGTACATTTGCTGACGATAAGCGCGCTTGGCTCCTATTCCGTTCTTATCCAGCTAACAGAAGCGGAACCTGCTACGACTTCATTTAGCCTTTCTGGGCACTCATTGCGCCCCACGGGGCCTTCGCGGCCTGGTCTGACCGGCTTGCAAGAGTACTCGAGCGGGGCAACGCTGTGCATTTGGAAGGTCTTCGAAGAGAGCGTGTTGATTGTTGCCGCGATCATTGGAATCTTCTGGAGACTAAGAGCTGGCAATTTTCTGTTGTGGAGGATACGAGTGTCGAGACTGTCATACCAAGAACGACAAGCCGCCGGCGCGCCTTGATGGGGGCAGTGCAAAACTTGTGCGACAATATCGCAACGAGGGGCGTCTCTGCTCCTGCCTAGGAAACCTTGCAGCGTGGTGAGGCGGTTTGGACATCTCAAACACTGCGTTTGATAGAGTAGAAGGAATGAAGTGAGGTGGTGGTAGAGTGGTGACAGAGACCAGGCTACCGTGCAGCTAACGAGGCTGAGACAGGGGAACATTGAGGCCATTGGACGCCACTTGAGGCTTAGCTGAGGCTTGACCACGGCCACAACGGACACTAGCCACATAAGGGGCTTACCTGCAGGTCACAGCATGTTACACAGGAAGAAGGTTGCATCTTACTGCTATAAAGTTGACCGTTGCCACCGCGCAATCTTCCTGACATATCGACTCAATTTTGTTCTTCTTGACAAATCGATATACTTTGGTATTCATTGCCACATCCATCAAGAAGTTGGAGCGACTGAGCAAGGCACTGTGACACTTGAGCGTGTGACTATGACGAGTTGGCCGCTTTCGCCACAATATTAACAAATCAGAAGGTTGATGTACTTGGCACGCGAAGAGGCTGAACGTATCCGTCGTATTATAGCCAATAATGGCTTGTGGCACAGCGACACAGCCACAGTTCCAGCTCCTTATGCTTGGTTTTTCTCTAGCTTTGTAGGCTTCAGTGTTCGCCACGTTCTCGACTCCTCCGATGGCCTTCGTAGTCGCACATACTTATCCTATCACCTGGGATATGGGACTTACAAGCATGCAATGAGAAAGTCGAATTCAGTCTGCTGTGCGACAGTGCAAGGCGCAGCATATTTGGACGCGCATGTTGACACAATCTGAAAGTCTCAAGCCTTGGTGTCATCACTTCTCAACTAAAATACAGCAGAGTTTCGCCAGCGGGACGAGTACGTACTGTGTTTTGTCAGACGTCACCAGAAGGGGGCTGTTCACGATGAGGCAAATGACATTTGAGGAAGGGCGACTTACTACGAGCGTGATGGGCTATATACAACGTCCTCCCTCGTCTATGCCCCAACATAGGCCGCCCATTTGACTTGAAAACTCGACCAACGCTTAGGCAGCTGAAAGAAGCGGAATACGATCAGTTGTCGAATTACGGCCTGTTTGTTGCTCATCTCAAGCCAACCAGACTATGGTCGATCTTGCCTCTGAATAAATCGCAGCCATCATGTTGACCTGATGATTGCGCTCTAAAATGTCGTTCTTATCTGTGCAAACTTGGTCAACGCATAGCCAGCACTGCTCGCTGCACAGACTGCAGTGATGCTTTCGGAACTCTTCAAAGAACTTGAACATGTTGGATCCGATATCTAGCGCGCGATCGTTCATTTTTAAGGTTTGCATATTTTCCTGACTTTTCCAAGTGTAGGACAGGGCATGAGATGGCGGGGCTGCTTCATGGCCGAACGTAAGCAAATCGCCTTTGATGGGTGCGTTGCAGACATCGACGGGACGGTGGATCCTCAGCATTCGAATCCGCTGTTTACCCCGATCCAAAGTAAGGTACCAGAACGATGATACGGGTTGTAAATGACTGCCGCTGATGAATATGGTCAGTCTGGCATTACAAGCTCTACCGATTTATGAACATACCTAGAAAGGACTGGTCCGACTAGGTAGCGTACCGAGGAGACGTCCGGGGATGTTTTGCACCTCCATCGCCCGGGGATCCCAGCCCATTGAGAGCTACTGCCTCTTGACGGGTGCGCCTAGGGGGCATGATGGGCTACCGATGAGGCGATGAAGTACCCAGAGACCGCTAGCCGTAAGTGCTGGATCGGTGGCAGCTGCCTTGCGGAGTTCCGGTGAAGACGTGTTCATGAGGGTAGGCCAAAATCTTTGAGGTTTAATATAACCCTACGTTATGGACGGGGGCAGTACTCTACTTAAGTGGGAGATACAGGCGGGGTAAAGACCAGGCTGGTGCCTGAGCAGCTGAATCCTGATTGGTTGACCGTTAAAGTTGACAGGCAGACCAATCGCTTGAACACCATTACTCCAAGAGTTTGTGTATATCAGTCCATTTCAGTAGGAACATGTCTACCAGAAAGATCTTGCATGCAGATTACGCTTGACACCGGAATATAGCTCGGTCAGGTGACCTATAGCCTATCAGAAGTCTGACATGCTTAGCACGCAATTGACTCGTATGAGTAGCTTGACCTTTGTGGTATCATTTTGCGAGTGCTTGCTAATTCGTTCAATTGTCGACGTGGTGGTGAAGTGGAGGTAAGAGACAAACGCGCTGGCACCGACTTGATGTCCTCCCACATTCCATGGGAACGACCTCGACTGTGATTACGAACACGAAGTCGGCAAGTCCCTCTCCTGACGCACGCTGTTGGCGTGTGCGCTCCATATCACCTCACATGGCTCAGCGTGGCCAAAGGCATTCTCAAACCTGTCGATGCCGAACATGACGGTCCATCTGACGGGGCCGGGTCGGAGGGAGTTCATCGGACGGGCTACTGCACGGAAGCTGTAGCAGAGCATGTATCAGACATTTCCTGGCCACCGCGTCTTGCAGCTTGCGTGCTGCTCGTGTCACGGTCGAAGTCGAGGATCTCAGGTGCATAAATTTAGAGCCTGGTACAAATGGCAAGCTGATAGATATGCCCAAGGATTATTATGCCAAGGCGTTGGCCAAGGTACTATAGCTGCTTATCGAAGGACAGACGGTGCAGCACCAGGATTGCACATTGGCGAAGCGGAGGATACGGTGTGTATGTCGGCAGTATGAATAGTCCCATAGGCATGGTGGAAACTTCCCATGGTAAAGGCGGACGATTGCGCAGCATCGAGGCTCGGCGTTTCTGCCGCTCGACATCTGCCTTTCGATGGATGTATGTGCAACGCAGTCAAGGCAAGCGCACGGAATTACCGGATCTTGCTGTCGAACACAACCCTACTCCTCCCCGCCATCGCCTGATCCACCGTCCGCTCAACTCCCTTCACCACCTCGTCCCCGAAGAGCGCAACGCCCAGCTCCTGACTCGTGAACCAACTCGCACGATCCAGATTCCCACTGCCTAGCACCAGCACCTCGCCATCGACAACCGTCATTTTAAGATGACTCTGCTGCGGCTCGCCCTGCTCCCCCCCCCTCTCCTTGTACCCGTGTTTTGGCTCGAAGAATGAGATGTGCAGCTTGCCGACTTTAGCTGGAGTTATCGCTGCTTCTTCATCGTATGCTCTGGAACTGGAACATGGGCTCAGGGCTTTGTACCGTTTGATCAGTGTGTTGACGCAGCGCGATGTTGTTGTGCCGGCGGTGACGAGCTGCTCGAGGATCATGAGGCGTGCGGAGGTAAGGATCGTGACGTCGATGCCGCGGGCAAGCGCTTTGAGGAGAGCAGATAGAACTGGTGGCGCGGTGAGGTTGGGTGTTTGGATGCGGATGCTGCGTTCTGCCTTAGCGAAGAGCGTCAGGAGGAAATTATTGAGCGGTGTCGTGGGCGCTGTGGCGGCTCCGATGGGGCGGAAGTCTGGGTTTCGTCGATGAGGACTTGGGAGGAAGAGTGTGGGTGTCGAGTTTGTAGACCAGCTTGTAATCTGAGCGGCTGTGGTTGGCTCTGAGTCCGAAGCTCCTGTAGGGGTGGCTTTGTTGACGGGCTGCCTCTCGGGCAGATCGAGCGGTGGTTCTGTTCTTCGTCGCCAGAATGTCCAGTAGAATTTTAGGAACTGCGACACAATATCACCGCGCATCGTCATGGCTCCTTCAAACCACTCTTCCCAGCTGACGTTGCAGCTCGGCAAGACGACAACTTGCCGGTCCACTATAATGAACTTGGGATGCATGACGCTAAATGGCAGGATGAACACACTCTGGATTTCCAGATTCAGGCCATTCAGTTCAGAAGGATCTGGCAGGCCAAATTTCTTTACCCATTGAGAGGCTGGATAGTTCTGCCCGCTGGCTGTCTGCTTGTGAAACAATTTTTGGAAGACTGAGGAAGAAGAGAAGCAAATCCTCACACGGATCTTATCTGTACCTCGCCGAATAGCCTTGTCTGAAAGTCTGCGAAGCACAGCATTGAGGCGGTCACGCGTGACAGACGAGGCCCAGAAGCAGGTGACGAGGATGAGCTCGTGCTCCGTCTCTTCCAGCAGTGGTGCTACGTCATCATATATCGACGAACCGGTACCTGTGACGAAGGCGTCAATGTTGGCGGTCGTTATGAGCGACCGTGGATGTCGTGCGTAGTAGTTTGGGTCATCTTGTTCGGTCTCTTGCGCTGCTCGTTCGAGGTCGTAGATGAAGGGCTCCTGATACTGTCTAACCATGCGCTCGCTCACGCGCTTCAAGACTTGTGGATCATCAATGGAATGTTGCCAGTCTCCTGGCATCGCGAGAGAATTGGAGGTCACAATGCGGCAGAGGTTTGCTGATGGAGTGACGTCGAAACATGGACGCGACTACCTGGAACGCGGCTCACCATACTACCGGTACCGGTACCGGTACATTAGGCGCTAGCGCAGCATAACGACGAAGCTCGGCCAAAATTTCGAGAGCTTCAACGTCAAAGACCATCACGGCCACGAAACGCAGCAAGCTCGAACGCGCTATAGAAGCAATCGGTCACGTGCATCCTCGTCTCAAAACATCAAAGACCGCTCAAGAAGCCAAAGACGCAAGACGCCAGTGTTCGCGCCACGCACAATGGGCGTCTCCATCCTTCCCCCCAGCGCTCCGCTCCCGCCCCGCCGCGATGCGCCCGCCGAAGACAGCGACGTCGACATGTCCGACGACGAGCTCCCGACCTCCAGCAGCGCCTCGATCGTCACACCCGGCGAGCACATCACGAGCGACCCGCAATGGATGCGCGGGCACGGCACCTACATCCCAGCCGGCAGCGGGACAATCATCTCCACCGTGGCGGGCAACCTGCACAAGACCAACAAGCTGCTCTCCGTGCAGCCGCTGCGCGCGCGGTACCAGCCCGAGATTGGCGATCTGGTGATCGGGAGGATAGTCAACGTGCAGACGAAGAAGTGGAGCGTGGACATTGCCGCGCCGATGCTGGCCAACCTGCCTTTGTCGAGTATCAATCTGCCGGGTGGTATTCTGCGGAGAAGGACGGCGGTCGATGAGCTCAACATCCGGACGTTCTTCTCCGAGGGCGACCTGCTCGTCGCAGAGGTCCAGTCGCTGCACCAAGACAACACGGCTTCGCTACACACGCGCTCGCTAAAATACGGAAAGCTGCGCAACGGGCTGTTCACGTCGCTCTCCGGCGCGGGCGGCGGCATCTTGTCGCGCAAAGGAGGCGTGGTGCGCAGCCGGCGACAGGTCTTCACGCTGAACACGGCGGCGGGCGAGATTGACGTCGTGCTCGGCGTCAACGGCTACGTCTTCATCTCCAAACATACTGCCGTCGCTGCCTCGACAATGGAAACCGGCATCAACAAGCTGGATGAGCAGGTCACCGAGACGCTGTACTCGAGTCAGAACGACGAGATCGAGGCGCCGGTCCTGAAGGAGATCACGAGGGTCAGCACGCTCATCAAGGGGCTCGTTGCGTGTGGTGCCAAGGTCGACGAGGATACGATCGTCAAGGTGTACGAGGGCGCTGTCGAACTGGAGGCTGAGGAGCAGAGTCTGGGAGGCGTCGAGAAGGGCGTTGGGGCCAAGGGCGTTGTGGAAGCGGTGCTGGCCCGGCTGGCGGTCGAGAACGCGGGATGAACAACAATTGGAGTGAATCCAATTTGTACAGGGACCATGTCAAAAGGCATCTGCCTATACTTTGGCGTTCCCATGCGCCGTGGCGTTGGCTTGAAAGCCCACCCACAGCCTTGCGAAGGGAGGCCTGGACAAGCCCTTTGGGCCGCGGGTACGCGCCGTGCCCAGCAGACGGAGGCGCACTAAAGTGGCGACATGTCATCGAGTGCAAGCTGGCAAAAGCTAGAGTCAGGACAACTGTGAATCTCGCATTCACGTTCAATGCAAGAAGAAGCAAAAATAATGATGATCATCTTGTTTGATTACTACTCTGTTGTATGGTTGTATGGCGTGTGCATGACCGTCGTGCTATGTACTCATTACTTCTCCAGGACAGTAATACACGGTTCCGAACCGTCCCCGCCGTAAACACTGCTCGGTAATCTATGAGCAGGAGCGACGCGACGCAGGACGCCCAGACCAAGAACGCGTCCGGCCAACTCAATCCCCTGCTCACTGAGCAGACGGGAGTCCAAGCCTAAAACCCGCCCTCCATCTCCAGCATCCGCAACCTCTCCACATCCCCCCCAGCCTCCATCACCGCCTTGACCGCCGCAAGACTCAGCTTCCGCCGCTTCTCTGCCGCCTCCTTCTCTCGCCGCGCCTTCGTCTTCGAGGACCCCGATGGCGCAACGCCGGTGAGTATCTTCCTGCTATCATCCGGCGTGAAGTTGACAAACCCCGCGCTCCCCTGCGACGGCGCCCGCCCGTGCGAACTCTGGCTCGACTTGCGCCGCGCAGCGGTGCTGGTGCGCTGGGTCTGCCCGCTGGGCCGGCGGCGGTGGAACCGCGGCTGTGGCGTTGGGCTGGGCGAGCGCGACGCGGGACGTGTGCCGATGGGCACCATGTTGCTCGGATGCGTGGCGTGCGTGGGCGGTGCGGGATACATGCCCGGGTGGTACGCGTGCAGGTCCGGCGGCGGGTAGGCGTCCATATCGCTGAAGGAGGTCATGTCGCATGAGATGCCCAACCCGGCCATGGACACGGGGATGCTTTGCTGCGTTGTGCGGGCGTGGGACTCGCGCGCCGTTGGGTAGGGATGTGTGGTCATGCTGTCCGTGGGCCACCAGCCTGCAGTCTTTGTGGCGGTAAAATCGGGCGGACAGGTCGAGAAGGGGAAATCCATTGCGGGAGAGTCCGAGGGTGCCCATGTTGTCATGGGTATCCGGAGGGAGCTGGGGGGTGTAAAGGCTGAGAGGCCTGCGGTTGACGCGGCTGAGGAGTATGTCAGGCCCATGTTTTGGGCGAAGGGATCGCTGCCGTTGGATACGCCGATTGCAGGCGATGCTTGGGGTGTGAGTTGATAATTGGAGAAACCCATGTCTGGAGGTGAGCTACCCTCAACCATTGGTGAGCGTGTTGTTGTGTAAGGCTGGCTGTGATGATGTTGTACAAAGAAGCTATCTGCGCATTCGTCCTGATCGATCTTTGTGGATGGAGGGGAGTGCATGTTGATAGGCAATACTTGTGCGTGGAGATCAACAGCGCTGTCCATTTTGCGCGCCCACATGTGCGGAACTGGCGCGCGGAAATAGGAAGGTTGCATCATTTTGGCCGTCTTCGCAAAGCTCGAACTTGGGCACTTTTTAAGTGACTTTTGAACTCCACGTGGGATAGACGGGACTGACTGAGCCTTCTTGATACACTTGCTAGTGGTACTGGTGGTGCTGGTGCCCGTGGTGGTAGTAGGTCGTGGTGTGGAAGGCTGAGAGGTAGATCGCAGTTGGTTCCTCTCCAGCTCGAAAAGGTCTTCAAAGCTGAGGGTGTCGCTATCACTCGAAGTTGACTTGCCACGCAAATGGCTATAGTTCACTGAAGAACCAACTGAATCAGAGGACGAGGTTGGGTTTTGAGAGCCCAGTTGCGTAGCTTTATGCCAAGGCTCATTCTCCCGATGGAGGATAGGCGTGAAGCCAAAGAGATCATTTTCATTCGACGAGGGTAGGTCAAAGAGGTGTGCCAGATCGTCGGATCCAGAAGGGTCGCCAACAGAAGTAGTCAACTGCTGGAACAGGTCTGTCTCAACGTAGCTCTCAAAGAGATGGTCTAGCTCAACGGCCTCCGGCTCTTTGTTGATCGGCCGCATTGGGAGCTCAGAGGGATAGCGCAGTAGATGGGCCATGGAGAATTATTTTCCGTTGGTTGAAAGACCAGGTTTTCGGAAGAGGACCTGCACGTAATGTCGTGGCGAGGGCAATACCGAGAGGATAAGCCGTGGATGTAACGCCCTGTACCTTGCAGGTATCTCGATTCGAGGCGTACAGAGATGCAGGTACAGATGTGGAGTGGCCAATGGTGCAGTGGATGCTGGATACAAACAATCAAAACAAACCTACCAACTTGATATATACTCCTACATCTTGGTTCGCGAGAGTTCTTGCCAACCTCTCCTCGACAACTGCATTCCAGGCTGTATCGAACTATTATTGCGGAGCCAGGGCGGAATGAGGATGACCTAAGCCACTGTCCTCTTGTTTCAGTCTCGCTTGAGGCGTCTGTAGTGGCCGAAATGTTAAACGTCAATGCGCCTGCCGAACTGAGGTGGTTGGGCAATCCCTTAGCGGGTATACCCAGTAGGAAGCATGCTGGTTGCAGCCATACAGCGTCGCTATTGGGTCACATTCTCGCCTGTATTGCCCAGCCCTGCAGGTGCCCGTTACACAAGAGTCGCTTCTCTTCTCATCGTTGTTGGCAGTCGCTGGCCATCTGTAGGGCTGCAGATGCTGATGCTGTACGCTCCTGAGGCTCTTTCGGTGGCTGCTCCATCTCAAAATATCACCGGAGAACAGTCTGAGGATCTCTGGTGGATACGACCAGGCGTGATCGAGTTGAATCGGGGTTGCCGTGACGTGCGATGGGGAGCATTGCAACGCTTCGCTTAACCATCCATTCGATTTCCAAGTGCGCGGAATGCACATCGCGAACATGCCGCAAGCAGCCACTCCCAACCTACCTTATCGAGATGACCAAGAGAACTCAGACACTTAGCGCTGAATCGGGCAGGAGCCATTGGCTGACGTAAGGAACTCGACATCAGGAAAGGCAGTGGATAAGGAAATGAGGTCTAGCGGCAGGTCCAGATCTGGGGAACAAAGAAATCGACGGCCGGCAGAGCTGTGAGTGAGGAGACTTCAGGTGATGATGATGGTTAGGATAGAACATGGCATGAGTGGTATTGCACGTGCCTTTTGCGAGCGGAAGCTCCGAGTCCCACTTGTAAGGCTGGTGTTGAAGATCTGTGGCGAAGAGGGGCGAGGAGATGGTACGAAAACTTCGTAGCGAGCACATGGTGTCGACCGCGGATGCAGTTTCGCGCGTGGGCAACAGCATGTTGTGACATTTCTGGATGCTCAAGGATCGCCCCTTACTTTGCCTTTGTGTTCAACGTGTCGTTTGTCGCACGACCGACTGTCAATGAGCTAAAGCAATGCTGCACAGGCAGTGCTGCCGCCAACAAATGACTCGAGATTGCAGTGCTTGTTGGTGTTGGAATCGCTGTTGTGGGGTCGCCGAAAGTAAAGACGGCGCAAATGGCCGAACCGCCGGGACGCCCTAACGCTCTTCTCCGAGTAACCACCAAGCGACGTCACCAGCGTGCTCGATTCACTCCCTAGTATCTCATTTGAACGTACATTTCCGGTCCGCTAATTTAATCACACATTACCATGGACCCAGATACGCCTGTCGCCAATGACGCCCAGCCGTCCATCTTTCGCTGGATTCTAGGGTTCCTGATGGTCGGCGCGTGTTGGGGGCTCACCACGCCATTCATGCGCAAAGCCGCTATGAACTATACTCCTCCGACGCATCCTGCTTTGACTGACTCGAGGAATTCCGCGTTGAAGAGAAAGGCTTTGGGTATCTGGTATGCGGTGAAGGGCGTGCTCAGTAGGCCGGCTTACGCCGTACCTCTGCTGCTCAACGTCACTGGCAGCGTGTGGTTCTTCATCTTGATTGGCAAGGCTGGTGAGTACCAGAGTGGATCGACATTCGCCACTACTCGCATCTAACAAAGAGCAGAGCTGAGTCTCACCGTGCCGATCACAAACTCACTGGCATTCATGTTCACGGTGCTGGGTGAGTGGTGGGCCGAGAAGAAGGTCATCAGCAGAGGTAGGTCTCACGGCGCAATGTACAGATGCAGACTAACACCGGCAGACACGTGGATAGGATTGGGCCTGGCGCTCGCTGGCATTGCGCTATGTGTGCAGAGCAAGTCATAGAAGCCCTAGATACCGAATCATATCTCCATCCCTCGAACCTATGCGCCGACGCTCAGCTTCGAGAACCCGCTCGCGGGCGGCTGCAGCCAGTTCCGCTCGTCATACTTCTCTTCGCCCTCGATGACGTGGAACGTGTAGATGTTCCTGCTCTTCTGGCTGGTATTCTTCTCGCTCTTGTGCAGAATGTTGCCGTGAATGAGGACCAGAGTGCCGGCCTTGACCTCGCCCATATCATACACCTCCTCCTTACCTGTCTCAGACTCGGTCTGCAGACCTTTGGGGAACTGCGGCCCGTCGTTGTCGATGAAGCCAGTGCCTTCCTTGCCGTTCTCGCCCTTCCGCACGAACCTCTGCTTCACGGCCGCGCGCCTGTGGCTACCTGCCGCAAAGCTCAGGCAGCCATTCTCTTTCGTCGCGTCTTCGAGCGCGTACCAAAAACCTACCGCGCTTGGTGGGTCTGTGTAGAGGAAGGTGCTGTCTTGGTGGGAAGGTACTGCGCCGCCAATCTCTGGTTGCTTGCAGATGATCATGGATTGCAGCACTCGAGGATCGCGGAAGTTGAGGTCGCGCGCGATAGCTGCGTTCTTCTCCGAGAGTGAGATATCGCGGAAGGATGGCGAGAGCTCGTGCAGATAGTGACCAATTTTATTGATCGCGCGCTCTTTGGGCTTGGTCAGGTTGCCAGACTTGTCGAAGGCATCTACAGGGTATTAGCTATACGACTACAATATTTGGGAGTGCGCGTTCATACCCTCTTCGAAGAAAAAGCGCACCTTGTCCCCAGACTCGAGAAAGTACGCATCGCCGACGTGGTCTGCGCCGTCGTCGCCACCGGTCGAGAACTTGGTCATTGGGTGGTCTCCCAAATCGAAATCGCGCAGCATCTTGTCGGTATCAGCCAGCAGCTGCTTGGCTGTGTTCTGCGACAATGCATCAGGGATGAGCAGATAGCCGTTCTTATGGAAGAAGTCGATCTGCTCACATGTGAGCCCTTGTGTTGAATCTGCCATTGTGTTTGTGTCCGCTTGTCCTGGTCGTGTGGGGTGGTCAAGCAGTGAACTTCCCATACACAATTAGTTCTACGAGATGGTACACAGTCAGCAGTGCCGTCAGCAACCGTCGGAAATGGCCGCCTCTTGTGGATGAGGTGAGGTGCCGCGCTCTTGCCCCACCACTGCCCCGCGCTTTACTATACTCCAAGCCAAGGACTTCGTGAGAACACAACGACACCAAAAGTCCGCTGCTGTGACAAACCGTGCATCTTATGATTCTTGCTTATTGTCGAAGACGATCTCCCTTGTGAGCTGGCTTATAGAACCACCATAGCCCTTGGTCTCTACTTACTCAACACCGACAAATCAAGCCGCATCCTACGCCTGAGGCTCACCCGTGCCTGTAACGTTATACCTGATACTCGTACGGCCCAAAAGTTGAGCCATCGTCTCAGACAATATTCGTGGCAGAATTGGCTACCTGAACATTGGACACAATTTGTACGCTTTCTCCAAAGCGTTTCGCCAGGCTCGGAGCAATGAGAACATTTTTTTTGTGCGTCGATCGTCTTTGCATCAACCAGGCGAATTCCTCCGAGCGGAAAAACCAAGTCAAGATACGTCACAAAAATATACGCGGTCTACGAGTACAGACGTCTGGATCAACGATGACAGCAGCCCCACGGGTGCAGCTCGACCTGCTCTGAACGCGAGCGTTGAAAAAGAAAAGAGCAGCCCAGCCTTTCTTGACAGGTACGCACCTGACCCCTGGCCGAAAACCCCAAGGACTAAAGAATATTCTCCGCGCCCTTCTGGCACGTCATTACCATCGTCTCCACCGCTCCCTGTGACGATCCTCGGAGAAACATACTTCACATGATTATTTATCAAGCTATTCGCTCGAAAAGTGAAGATTGTAGTCGAATCAGTGCTCAGTGCGTCTTACTAGCTGGTGGAGGCATGAAGACTAATGTCACAAAGACGTACATTACAAACAGCACCAGAGAGGACGAGTAACATACATATAACTATAGCGGTAGTGACATCGTGGATGGAGTATGTACGATGCCTACACCACAGTAAAGGCCCCACTATGTCTGGCTTTCTTCGAATTGATTGGCCTCTTGGACTGCGGTCGTTCATTTGACTGCGCTTGATCATCTGCATCCCACTACCTCATCAAGTCCAGCCGCGGAACGGGTCATACGCTGTTAGTAGCTGATCTCTTTCTGAGGAAGTCATTCACACAATATCTCAGCCTTACGCTTTATTCGCATCGCACAGCTCTCGCACAAGCGCATTCCTTCTACAGGAAGAATCTGTGCTGACATATCATCACATCGTCAGGAAGTGACAGGCATCTAATAGGCCATAGTTGTGACAGGTTGTTAGCAAATGAACATGCCTGCAGTTCCTCAGCTTTGCAGCGTCTCGTGCTTCTTTGACAGCTGGATAACCTTTACAACCCTAGTAAATAGTGTCTCTAAAGAAGACAATGTCTGGTATAGGTATACGAGTGATACAACACTCGTTCATGGCGCAGTATTAAATATCGAGATTTAGGTACTACCCGAGAACGCGATAAAGAACGAAAGGCCACTTGGGTCTTGTTCGTGGTATGGTGATGACGGCGATATTTCCATGTTGTCTTCAATTTTCATCTTATGTTCAATTCTCAACTTGTCTTCAATTCCTACCAACGTTGCAAAGCCAGAGAGAAGAGTTGCTTTTAAGATGCCTGCAGATTGAGTGAGATCTTAGCCAATCATTGACGTCTCTTATTTAGTATTCCTGAGTTGATCCTTGAAGACAGCCGTGTTTGTTTATACACTGATTTTGAGACGTGAGATATTGCTGAAATGGGTGTCATCCTCCAACAACCAAGACAGTACGCAGTGTCGTTGTTTAGCGAGGCGTGCGCAGATTGGACCAAATTATAGATCTGATGTAGAGTACTAGATTTGATGTGAACAGGTCTTTTTATAGGCAGTGCCATTCGCGCAGACTAAGTGATTCGATGTGCGTGTGTGACGTTCAAAACTCACACTTTGACTGCACGACATGGACGTTCATGACAGCACTTCGTACATTTCCTGACTGAGTGCCTCACTAAGTTATACCTTTCATAATGTAGCTAGCTAGTATAGAACTTGGCTTTCTGCACGGGAAGTCATATCTCGGACTGCAACTTCACTAGCCACCACCGCCACCACCGCCACCACCGCCACCATAGCCATACTCAGCCACACGTTCGATTAACAAAACTGTCAGTAACAAGCACATGAGTTGGCGAGGAAAATATGCTTCACCTGCACTGTCTTTCAAAGGGGACCCGAGTGCAGACAATTTAATCCACGATACAGCGAAGCCCTTCGTGCCGATGCACGGGACAAATGTGCCGCACTCCAGCGGCGGAGGTGCCCTGCGGAGTTGGAGCCATGAGCCAATCGTCAGGCCAGACCCCGTTTTAGTGTTAGTCAAGCCTGTCTGCCAACGTACCCACTCTGCACACGAGTGACGTCTGAGGAGCCCCTTTAGCGTCATGGGCGTAAACAGCGCGTTATCTCCTGTTTGTCGTGTCCAGATTGCTCTTTCAGGCTGCTTCTCTACCCTTGTGATCGATCTTCTGCAGATCTATATAAGCCATGGCTTTACCCCACTCGCGTCCACTTTGGTCGTATAAGTTGCCCAGCTTCCAACGTGTCTCGAACTGCTTCATTCTGCTTCTTCTATGAACAGCTTTACACTCCCCCCTCCTTCAGCACAGACGCAAATATGAACAACATGTCAGGTCTCGCCAACACCCTGACTGCGTCAGGCGGCACCGAATCTGCAGGCTTTCTGAACGACATCGTGGAGCAGCTATGGCCCAACATCAACGTGGCCGGCTGCAAAATGGTGAAAGACATTGTTGAGCCTATCCTGGCTTCCACGCTCCCAGGGCCATTGAAGAACCTGCGATTCACGAAGCTGGACCTTGGCCCTGTACCCCTGCGACTAGGTGCGGTTGATGTACACAAGACCACCATGGGGGGCATCAAGCTGGATATGGACGTTGTCTGGGAAAGCAAGAGCGATATCGAGCTAGACGGCAGCATGGTCCCCAAGATCGTAAGCTTGACTGTAGCCCTGCAACTGCTCCTTACTAAACAATGATAGGGCATCGAGCACGTGTATCTCAAGGGAAGATTATCGATCTTGCTCGCTCCATTGACAAACATCATCCCGCTCGTAGGACTACTCTCCCGACCATTTGATGAACTTGCAAGCTAACTACGATCCAGATTGGTGCTGCACAAGTCGCATTCATCAACCCTCCAGAGCTGTCACTCGACTTCACCGATGCCGCCAATGTTGCGGACCTGGGCATCGTTTCGGGGACCATACGCAAGACCATTCTCAGCATCATTGGTGGCATGGTCGTTCTGCCAAACCGCTTTCTTGTCAAGCTCGACAACTCAAATGATTACTTCAAGACATATCAACCTCACCTTGGTGTTGTACGACTCACTATCGAGCGAGCAATTGGCGTCTCAGGCCCTAAGAAAACCGGTGCAAAGCGTCTTCTAGCTAAACTTGTCAAGGACGTACCTGACTGCTACGCCAAGATCAGCGTCGGCGCAGAGGAAGAATGGCGTACCTCAACGAAGAAGAACGACCACGATCCCGAATGGAACGAGACCCACGACTTCCTAGTCACAGACTTCGAGCAGAATATCACCGTCAATATCCAAGATGACGATGTTGGTGCTGACGATGACATCGGTATTGGCTCCATCTCCATCAAGGAGATCCTGCTTGGTGGCGGCTCCAAAGAAATTGCACTTGCTCACAAGGGCGAGCACACCGATGCCCGTGTAACAATGCACGCCCAATTTTTTAACTTCGTCAGCGAACCACAAGCTCTTTCCGCATTGCAAAGTCAAGGCAAAGGTCAGCTCTGTGGCCTCGCCACGGTCCTCGTTGCCAGCGCACTCGGCCTCCAGGGCCAGCGCGATGAACTGCAGCCCAGCGTCAAAGTCTCATGGGGCGGCAAGGAGTTTCGTACCGCGATAAAGACGTACACTCCTGGCATAGACATCTTCAACCCCAGCTTTGATCAGGCATTCAGAATCCCAATCACAGCGGATGTGCTCAACAGTGGCGAGTCGTTCAAGGTTAGCTTGCTGAACAAGGAGGCTGAGACAGGTTCGGTGGAGATCCCATTCGTGGACGTGCGAAATGGGCAGGATCTGACTGTCACTGATGCGTATGATGTTGGTAGTGGAGCGACGATCAGGGTTGCGATCAGCTTGAGGGGGCTGCAGTTGGCGCAGTAGATTGCAGAACCTGCATAAACGAATATCTGATGACTATGAAATATTCACGACCGCAAGAAATGCTGACTCCGTACTGAAAGCTGAGCCTGCAGCCGCCAACTGTCAGATCTGTCTTATCATCCGCAGTGGAGCCAAAAGCATGTCATCAGGTTTTCCTCGTCGAGACAGTCAGCTCTACCAGTCGAACGGCTCGTTCCAACATTACTGAACCACAGACTTGCATATCTCCTATTAGAATTACGGATGATTTGGTAAGGCGGTCACACGCGTTGTGATCTACGGGCTTTACAGTGGCAAGGGGCTTAGAGCATGGTATGGTAATAACAAAACTGACCTTAGTACGACTGTAATCGATGGACTAGGTATGATCTGCACAGTCTATGGCTTCGAGACCATCGTTATTGCTAGACTCGTGTATTTGACACGTCAAGATTACCTACCTACCCACTGCCTGACAAACACAGGCAAATCCTGCAGTGGAGATGCGACTGTAACCTGGGTTCAACCTTCGAAAGTGTCTTCGCTCCACAGCATCTTCCACCTCCCTCCATCAACTAGCTTGGGAAAGTAGATAGCTGTCTCGGTCTACCCTTCAACGTGAATAGGACAGGACCGAGATTTGTCACCATACATATACTACTCCTCAAATTCCTAGCACGTGTCGAAGAAGAGTGTCCGCATAACTGGACTCTCCTTCTCATGGGCCTCCCTCATGAGCTTCCGTGTGTATGAGCGAAGTTCTTCGCGGAACCTCATGTACTTCTTGCAGATCTGAAAGACCTCTGGCCGATATGACCAGAGTTTGTTGTCTGCACCACTGCGACATGACGCCCCTCCCGTCGTACCGACTTTTGCCTGCCTAGGCTCGCGATCGCCGTGTAGCCTTACCACTGGATAGAACGCTCCCCACTGGAACCGTCTGATAAATAGCTCTCGGAATTCCGGGTCATTAGGATAACTTCCACGGAAATCGCCTATGTCTGTTGTGAATCAGAATTTGCCGGCCATACCCATGGACAAATATGCCGCTCATTGGTCCCGATGACTGGTTCAAGAGAAGCAATGTCGCTACTCCAAACAAGTGTACTGTACCTCTGACTGCCTGCCCAGGTACGTCGGACAAGGTTAACGATACCAGTCTGGCCTTCCTCTGCCATGCCGTCATAAAACGTAGGTAAGTACTCCCATGGATAGATGTTGCCGATCGCCACATTTGACACAAGATGATATCAGTAGTTTCCAAAACCGTAGACCGTGTACTCTGTGTTGCGGTATCAAGGGCAAATGTATATAACGAGTGTATTGTGTTGTTCTGTGTTCTTGTTCTGCTTGTATCGTTTGCTCTACAAGGCTCGCTGCGGGGTCTGTTTTGATGACGTGTTTGTGATGCGGCTGAGGTAAGAGGTGCTCAACAACATGAGGAAGTAGCACCAGACCACCGCCAACAACACGTGATCTGCTTCTCCTCTCAACCGTTACACTCTGGCTCCGCCTCATCAAGCCAGAAAATCTTGATGCCCTTTGCATAGTAGTTATGCTTCGCCTTGCCCCACACATAATCCCGCGACGCTGAGTTGGTGGGATCGAAGTGTACAGTAACACCCTGGAATATCATAGCGATGCGCTTGCCACGCTCTGTTCGAATCAGATAGCCCTTCTCCAGCATGTCGTTGTAGTTTTCAGATTTGCGATCGAAATTTGGCCAGATTGAAACCATAAGTTCAATCCCCATGCCCTGCAACTATTTAACCATGGTATCTGCATCCGTCCTCTCCAAAAGATACATTTGGTCGTATTTGCTTACCTGGATCAAGCCAGTACATCTCCTCAAACCGCCAATCGCCCTGCTTGGGCCGATGGAAGAAATTAACGACAATTGAATCTATTGGCAGTTCGAGTGGTTTGTACTCTCGTGCAACTTTCATGAGCATTTCGGCCCCACGGCTCGAACCATAGTCGTTTTGCATCGTACGCGAAAACGAGGTGTATGTCCTCGTTAGAGCACATCGGGTATTCAACGAATCGCGTTGCGCTTCAGAGTTGTTCTAAGGTGCTTCTCAGAAAATAAGCTCAATGGAGACAGTACTGCGGGAAGTGCGCCACAGGCACTCCCACAGCTTTGTAGTCAAGCCCACAACTCGCGGACCCAAGCTCACGATCAGGGGGAATCGGTGACATGGGCCAGCAAGTCATTTATACTTCGATGACGATATGCACGAGTACAGCAGACCCTCATCTTGTGATTCGGGAGGGAGTGTTCGTCTCCGCGTCCCCACCGGCGAGGGGAAGGCGCGTCCGGAAAGCGGGTCGCGCTGGTGTAAACTACCGGTAGTGCGCTCTCAACCAGAGGACGTGCAACACGTTCCTGCGGCATGAAACACCTTACGTTGGTATATGACTCACTATGCATGTGAACCGGGCCAAGCGTTGATAAAACCCACAATCCATCCAACGGACTGAACATATCGCGCTTCTATGTCCATCATCGCCGTCTCTCACCCGAAGATATCGAACTGCTCATTCGATAACCACCCGCTATGTACCACATCAACAAGATCTGCAACTTTATGTCGCATCTCACGGGCGAGACTGCCCGTAAATCTGTTCTGCTGTTACAGTCTATGTCTCGTTCATCGTCACAGTTCCAGCGATCCCGTTCACTATTGACGAGAAGAAACGCCTGCCTTTCGCTAGTAAACGGCAATCAACTCCAGGATAGTCTGCCTAGTCTTGGAATGTAATGGTTACATGTTTATGACGAGGTAATCCGGACAGGCCGGAGGCGATTGTCCCAAACGTGTATTCGATAGCCGGTGTTTACCAGAATCACAAGTATCTGCTTGGCCTTGGTCCTACGGAGATCCAAGTGCTGAACAATTCCTACGACTGTGCTGTATGGTAGATCGACGTGGATCTGAATTTGGGAGTGTCGTCTGAAGCTCAGTTTTCGTAACGACGCCTTGGTCATCTGGAGGACGCGAACCCCTGAGTATCTCTGTTCAAAATACAGGGTGCAGTTGCTGTCGAGTCTTGACCAGGCGGACCATCCCCGATCATTGACTACTGGGGTATGCTACTAGAACATAAGCAACAAGTGCAACAAACGATGCGGCGCAGCTGCTCTAGGCTTCGTTTGTTTGAAACATAATCGCAGTCTTGAAACTGTGCGTGATGTTGAGGTTGTACGGAGCTCGCGCTCCGGCTTGGAAACTTCAAGATCAGTCGACTGTCGGTAAAACAGACAACATTCATGGGCCGAGCAGACCATCCATCAGCCTAACCGACATGGAAGAGGTAGTTATGATGGTCAGAGGACGTCCTCAGCTACCACGGGCATGATAGTCTCGAATTGACGAAAAGGGGACCCTACGCAAGTACAGCAGGTAAGGGTTCCTGTAGAGATGTTAAAGCCTGTAAGTCCTCTAGTTTTTCTGTTAAAGTCTAATATACCTGGCAGTAAAAAACCTAGTTTACCCTATAACTTGATACTTACTCTGTTGAAAACTAAAAGCCACAACGACTAGACCTGCGACATTTTGGAAGCGTGCCTACCTCTCTCCAACTCATGGACTCCCACATCTGACACAAATCTCGGCTCTTGTCTCAGCGCCACATCAACTAAGCGCTCGGGGTGCTGGTGCCCTTCACCACGGTATGTACCCCAAAGTAACAGTAGTACGAACAACATAAAAGCGTACAGCTATAGCGCCAGTAATCTACACTGCCTTCGACTAGTACGAAGTAGTAACGAATCCTAAGCAGCAGCGAGCGTCGGTGATATCTTGCTATTGTAAGGTCCCAGCGGCGACGCGCCTGCAATGCCGCCTTACTGCAGCACTTGAGAATAGCTCACAGCCATCGGCAAGGACAAAGGTCTGTTTCTGCCAAGGTACGGATTTTCGGCGGCATCGTACGTTTGTGCAGCTTAGGGGGCGATCGGAGCGCTGTTGTCGCGTAATGACGAAAGCTAACCTTGAATGGCGTAGTCTCTCGTAATTATGGTTCGGATATTAATTGCGAGTTAAGTCCCCATGCCCGACAGCCAATCGTTGTTGGTGCCTGGGGCCTGCAGCTTGAAGAGAACGTTGTTGCCATCGCCATGACCGCGATGGCCGGGAAAACATTTGCGACAGTCAATGCTGAGCGACTGAGGGCGGGAGGTATGTAAATGCGCTGTCTTGGCCTAAAACGTAAGCAGTTCTGAATAGTGTATGAAACGGCATCTCAGGTCATGCGGCCCGCTTGATCTTTCGGAAACAGCGAGTGTGAGCGCACAGACCGCGGTATTCCGTAGGCTGCCCTTAGGTACATTGTTTCATCAGCCCGTGCACGGCATCGGCTCGTGCACGCTTTTCAGCAACACCGACGCTCACCCACTAAAATCCTGTATTAATTTACTTAACGCCATGCCAGAATTAGACAAAGCCTTTGAAGCCCTAGGTCCATGGCAGTCAGGCGAATCACATCTTTACGCTCAAACTGCAAAAAGATATGGCTGCAACTAATCAAAGTTGTTGCGCCAGCACTGTAGGGTATGCGCGTCGCGCGCGCAAGGCTCTGCAGAGCAGCAGCATCTCAACACTACGCAAGAGAATAAGCTTGTGAAGTATATAGACATACTCTGCAAGCGTGACTCACCACCTACAAGGGAGATAATAAGAAATTTTGGAGCAGAAAAATTAAAATACGTTAGTGCGTTGGAAAGTGCTAAGTTAGTTAGACTGCTTTATGTAACAGAGTAGGCGCACTGCCCTCAAAATCAATACTTCGTGACTTCTCTGCTTCTACCAAAAGGTAAGCACAAGAATACTTGAGCAAGTAACGTAGATTATCACCAAGCCAGCCATATCACCAAACTAGCCATTTTCTCTTAGCATAACTAACACAAGTTACTATAACTACAACTACTTGCTATTAAATAGTAACCTAGTAAACTATATGCTTGTATTAGATTTAGAAGATATTTCTATACCCTCCTACTATGTTTATGCATTGTGTCTAGTCTTGCTATAGTTCCTACAGCGCTAAATAGTTAATTAAGCTCCTAGTTAACTACCTCTACCCTAAGTCTTCTTAGATAGCTAAGCTGCTACAGACGCCTTAGTAGCTACCTGCAATACTGCTAGGCTATACTTAAGTGTGCTGCTATACTTAATCTACTTTCTCTTACACAATTTTCTCTTAGTTATTACTACTAATTACTCTTTAAGCTCTTACACGCAGGCCTTAATAAGGATATTTTTATACAGCATCTCTTTAGCCCCTTTTTATAAGCTTTAAGAACCCTTCTTACACTAACGTAGATTATCACCGAGCCGGCCATATCACTAAACCAGCCACTTTCTCTTAGCACAACTAAGACAAGTTACTGCAACTACAACTACTTGCTATTAAACAGTGACCTAGTATACTGCGTGCTTGCATTAGATTTAGAAGATATTTCTGCACCCTCCTAGCACGTTTGTGCATTATGTCTAGTTTTGCTGCAGTTCCTACAGCGCTAAACAGTTAACTAAGCTCCTAGTTAACCACCTCTACCCTAAGTCTTCTTAGATGGCTAAGCTGCTACACACGCCTTAGCAGCTACCCGCGATGCTGCTGGGCCATACTCAAGTGTGCCACCATGCTGAATCTGCTTTCTCTTACGCGATTTTCTCTTAGTTATTACTGCTAATTGCTCTTTAAGCTCTCGCACGCGGGCCTTGATAAGGACGTTTTTGTGCAGCATCTCTTCAGCCCCTTTTACAAGCTTTAAGAACCCCTCTTGCGCTACACTTAGCAATTGTTAGAAGGAGTTGCTTATAAGCTTAGATTAAGACCTAAACTTGTGTGTATTGCTTAGCGTCTTAGATTGCCACAGTGTTTTAGGTAGAGGTACTGCTAGTAGGGTATGCAGCTGCACTTTAAGGTAATCTAACACTACCTATATATTAGTAGGAACAAGCCCTAATACCTTAAAGGCCTTTTAGTAGTTAACCTTTGTAAATATATTAAGGAACACGTCCCTAAAGGCTAGTAGGAAGCCTTCCTTATTAATATAGAAGATGTATTAGCGTACTAAGTCTTAAATATATTAGGAGTACTTACGCTTTAATAGCAAGAAACAGACTATGTTAAGTAGCTAGAGGATGTGTGACAAGTAAGGTAGTATATAGAGAGTAAGAATTTAGTTCTCTAGGTAATAGTCCTTAAACTCCTAGTTAAGATAGCTCTTATAGCTGTCTAAGATAAGCAACCTATATACTCCTACCTAACACGTCTTTATATACATGTTAAAGTGCTTTAACTACTTAAGGCTAAGCGTGTTGTTTATCTAACTATTCTTAGAGACTAAGAGCTTCTAATTATAGGGTATATCTGTCTCCTTATACTAGGCAGAGATGTGGACGCGTCCTTTGTAGATGATGAAAGGCGGGGTTGCATACCCAGCGGCGCAGATGCTCTGGATAACGGTAACCTACTCGCGATCACCTAGCTGAACAAGCTCTGGCCGAGCACGTCTCTCTAAGCCTGTTACAACCTTTAAAGACAAAGCAACGCCTATCTAGAACCTAGTTTTATTAAAGTTATACACGTTATTGTTGCAAACACTATACTTAACTTAAGTATCCTCTACTAGCTTAAACTACGTGCTAATTATCTTAGGATCTTCCTGTAGTATCCTCTGTCTATCCTTAGCTTAATTAAAGGATATTTTAAGCTTGTCTAAACGCGTTACAAGCCTGCTAGCCTATAGTTTGCTAACAGGCTCTTCACCACGCACACTAAGTATCTTATTAGCTATATCTGCCACCTCACATAGCTGGGGCGCAAATCCTTGCAAATTAAGGTTAAGTATATACTAGACAATTGTCTGCTCCTCTAGTATAGTAAGTTTCTAGTAATTAGCGCGTACGTCTAGTTAAAACGTGATATTGCAAAGGCAATTAGAGACCTGCTAATAAGGTACGTTCAACGCTCTAGCAGCGCTGCAGATACTGCGAAATTGGCTAGCATAGAAGGCCTAGATAGCAAGGATACCTCTGCCTTCTCTAGTAGTATTCTGAAGTTGTTGTTGTTGAGGCATGTTGTGTTAGGGTAAAAGGTGGTCGTGCCAAGAGAAAGTGGCTAGTTTGGTGATATGGCCGGCTTGGTGATAATCTATGTTATCCTTAAGTTAGTAATTATTAGGAGTTACTTACAAGCTTAGATTAAGACCTAAACTTGTGTATATTGCTTAGCGTCTTAGATAACTACAGTATTTTAGGTAGAGGTACTGCTAGTAGGGTATGCAGCTGCACTTTAAGGCAATATAACTGTCAGATGCTCGTACTGTGAGCCAGAGTATGTGCTTAACAAGATCTTAGGTGGTATGATGATATATTGATGATTGTGGCAATGGTGTCTCCGCCGTGGCGTCGTGCTGGTTGCTACAGGATTGAAGTGGGGGGGGAATTAGCGCTGTTCGCGGCCGCCGGTGTGCGGGCCAATCAGGAGTTGCCAGGTCTCGCTTAATCAACCTAGCAACTGCTGATTGGCTGCACGACAGGTCCCTGCTCGATTGCGCAGATCCGACCTCTCGCCGCTCGCTCTTATCTGACAATAACACTACCTACGCGTTAGTAGGAATAAGCCCTAATACCTTTAAGGCCTTTAAGTAGTTAGCCTTTATAAATATATTAAGGAATATATCCTTAAAGGCTAGTAGGAAGCCTTCTGTATTAATATAGAAGACATGTTAGTGTGCTAAGTCTTAAACACGTTAGGAGTAACGTACTCCACAAGCGAGTGGCTCACACAAGCGAGTGGCTCACACAAGCGAGTGGCTCACACAAGCGAGTGGCTCACACAAGCGAGTGGCTCACTTTTGCCAAGACTACACCAACACTACAACTACTTTACAACATTACAGCACACAACAACAATATTATGTACTACACAGTATATTGCACTAATCTACAGTACTTTGCGCATCTTTCTTACACATTGTCCTATTGTGCCCTGCCTTGCTACACATGCTATAGTGTCTTAATAACTAAGTGCTGCTATTAGCACCTCCTCTCTTCTTTACCTTCTTCCTATTACTATAGGCCTTAAACTCCTTTAGAGTAGTTAGCTACACTCCCTTAGCAAAGGTTAATACCCTATCTTGCTGTAATTGCTTTCTTTTGTGTAATTTACAGCGTGTAGCAGCCTTGTTAGCTACCTAAAGGTTAGCAACCTAGTTACACACTAAAACTAGTAAATGTGCTATTAGCTCTACGCCTTTAGTAAGCTAATTAAGGGCGTTAACTATTAATATTAGTAAGCTATTAGCGTGTCTCTAGATCCTCTCTTAAATTAGCTTTAATTAAGACCTAAATTCTAGGGTGTTGCTTAGTGTCTTAGACTCCTACATGCTGTTGTCTATAATAGGTAGCATTAGCGTGCAAAGCTGTACTTCAAGCTTTAATATTACAGCCTCTAGGTTAAACAGGACTAGGCTAGTGCCTCTAAATCCTCCCTAGATGTTGCTCTTAGTAATTAAAGCATTAAAAGCAGCTTTAAAGCACAGGAAGAACTTAAGTTTAGTGATGCAAGTAATCTTGCTCCGCATCAGCTGCTCAGCTTAGCAGCCATAGGCCTTCTTTAATAGGGAGAAACAACCCACGTCAAGTGGCTGTAGCAGATAGGATAAGTGTAGGGGCATACATAGAGTAATAATCTTGTACTCCTTACAGTACTAGTAGAATTTAACTAAGTTGTAGCTCTTATAGCTGTCTAGAATAAGCAGTTAGTAGCTACTAACAGTGCGTGCCTTTGTATGCTTATTAAAGTGCTTTAACTACTTAACTCTAAGCTTATTATTAGTCTAGCTATTATTAGAGACATAAATAACCTAGTTATTAGGTATACTAGGCTCCTTATACTAGGCTAAGAGGTGGTGCTTGCTAGAGAGGATAATAAAGGGTAGGATAGACTAGCCCTTTGCGCAGATGCCTTAGATAATGCTAGTCTACTCTTAGTTGCCCTACTGCACTGTCTTTAGTCTCCCTTAACGCTTAGAGCCTGTAACAACAGCACTAGTAGATATAACACCTATTATAAAGCTATATTTATTAAAGTTGTAGGTGTCTTTATCTAGGATACTATACTTAGCTTTAGTATTCTCTATAAGCTAGAACTAGTTACTAATAACCTTAGGATCCTTACACAGCACTCTCTTATAGTTATACTTATAATTAAACTTAACTTTAAGCTCTAGCTAATGTTTAACAAAGTTAGCAGCCTAGTTCTTACTAACAGGGGTCTAGTAGCGCTTAGTAAGCAGAGAATTAGCTATACCCTCTATATTAGTGAGTTAGGGTAAGAATCCTTGCTTATCTAGCCTTAACACGTGCTAGATAATTACCTCCTCTTTAGTGCTAGTTATCTTAATTATATTAGGCTTGCAATCATGTTATAGAGAGGTTCTAGTAAGTTAGTAACTAAGTGTCCTTTAAGACACGTTGTAGATGGCTGCAGCGCGTTGCTAAGAGAGTGTCGCGTCTTAATAGATAGCCTAAAGAGCAAGCTGTATTCCTGCTTCCTTTAAGGGTTTAATTGTGTTGTTACGTTAAGGCATTGTAGGTATAGTGAAGTTTGGTGTGGTCTTGGCAAAAGTGAGCCACTCGCTTGTGTGAGCCACTCGCTTGTGGAGTACGTTAAATCTTGTAGCCTAGAGTTTACTAATAGGCTTCCTACTACGCACACCAAGCAGTTTATTAGCTATATCTACTACCTTACACAGCTAAGGCGCAAACCCTTGTAAATTAAGATTAAGGATATATTAGACAATTGTCTACTCTTTAGTTGTAGTAAGCTTCTAGCAGTTTGCGCGTACGTTACGATAAAATAGAGTTGTCAGATATTGGGTTACTGAGGAAAGGTTGGCAGGGCCGGATCTGTACAGAGACATCACTCAGAGGTCTCAGCCAAGTTCACCAAGCACGGCAGGGGCCCACAGACTAGGCTGGCGGATGGGTAGGGTATGCTTTTTTACGTTTTGGCTTATAGCTTCTTAACTAGCAGAGATACGCTTACATAATCTATTATTTGATAGAAGCGCCTAGTATTGCGCCTTCTAATAAAAAAAGAATTAGCTCATTCCGCCTAGTATTAGCTAAGTTATTAACACTACCTAGCAAAGTATACCTATTAATACATTGGGAAAAGTTTTTCTGTTGTCGAAATTAGGAAATCGTGGCATTGTACTGTGGGCAACAGTAGGACTTGTAGGCCTATAATAGTTATTTAATGTGCATTTAATGTCTAGCTAATTTCAAGCTAACAGCTCTAACAGTCCTAACAGCTACAATAGCTATAATAACTCCTAATCCTGCTACAATAGTAGCTCTACTTAATAAACTATACTTTTATTATATTAATATACTACTAAGTCTCCTCTTTAAAATAAGCTATTAAATAATATTATAGGCCTATTAATAGAATAGTTATTAAGCGTAGAAGGTTTTAAGCTTAATATTCCTTGCTAAGACACTAAGTTAAGATTTTTTACTAGGGCTCTAGCAGCCTAAATGTTAGAAAATACAAGAATATTATTCAAGAATAGTAGGTAAACTAAGAATTCTACGCCTACGCCTGCCTATTCCGCAGTGTGTGCTTGTTAGCAGGTGCTTTGTTGTGTGCTGTTGCAGCTGCTACGTCGTGTGCTGTTGCAGCTGCAGCTGATGTGTTGTGTGCTGGCGCAGCTGCAGCTGCCATGGTGTGCTGTCGCAACTTCAAAACACAAACCTTTAACAAACAAACCTTCAACACTCTATAACTCGCGTTGTAGTAGGCCTACAATAATATTTTTTTACTTATTTTGAAGCTACAATTTCGCTCTATCTGTGCATAAAATTTTGTAATTTTTAAATATTTAATACTAGTACTAGCAGAACTAAGGGTAACGTACTCTATCACCGAGCCGGTCATATCACCGAACCGGTCAAAATCTCTTAGCGCGCCCAACTTATGTTGCGGCAACTTGAATTACTCGCTATTAAACAGTGATCCAGCGTACTGCGTGCTTTCATCAGATTCAGAATCTTCTTCTGTATCTTTCTAACACGTTCGAGCGTTGTGCCCTGTGCCTCCACAGTTTCCACAGCGCCGTTGGGCTAACTGGGTCCTTTCTTGAGTACCTGCACCACGAGTCTTCTTTGATGGCTGAGCTGCTACAGACACCTCAGCAGCTACCCGTGATGCTGCTGGGCCATACTCAAGTGTGCCGCCATGCTGAATTTGCTTTCGCTTGCGCGACTTTCTCCTAGTCATGACTGCTAATTGCTCTTCAAGCTCAGTAATGCGAGCAGCTTGCAGCGCGTTTTGGTGCAGCATTAATTCACTACCTTTGATAAGCTGAGAGAAGCCAGCCTAGGCTGTAACTGGTGACCGAGTAAAGGAGTCATGTACAAGCTTTGACTAAGACCCAAACTCGTGTGTATTGCTTAGAGTCCTTGACTGCCACAGTGTCTCTGGTAGAGGGGGTGCTGGTGGGGTACAGTGTCGCACCTCAAGGCGATCTAACACTACCTGCGCGTTGGTAGGGACTAGCCCTGATGCCTTAAAGGCCTTCTGACAGTTGGCCTTTGTAAACACGTCAAGAAACGCGTCTCTAAAGGCTAGAAGGAAGCCTTCCTTGTTGATGTGGAAGACGCGTTGGCGTGCCAAGTCCTGGACGCGTTGGGAGTACTTGCGCTTCAACGGCGAGAAACAGACCACGTCAAGCAGCTGGAGGATGTGTGACGAGTGAGCTGGCATACAGAGAGTAAGGATCTTGTTATCTAGGCAATAGTCCTTAAAATCCTGGTTAAGGTGGCTCTCATGGCCGTCCAAGATAAGTAGCCTGTATCCCCCTACCTAACGCGCTCTTGTATGCGCGTCAAAATGCTTCAACCACTCAAGGCCAAGCGCGTTGTTCGTCCAGCCGTTCTCAGAGACAGAGAGCTTCCAATTGTGTGGTATATCCGTCTCCTCGTACCAGGCAGAGATGTGGATGCGTCCTTTGTAGATGATGAAAGGCGGGGTCGCATATCCAGCAGCGCAGATGCTCTGTATAACTGTAACCCACTCCCAATCGCCTGGCTGAACAAGCTCAGGTCGAGCGCGTCTCTCAGCGCCTGTGACAACCTTCATTGACCCTATCACGCCCATCTAGAACCCAGTCTTATCAAAGTTGTGCACGTCATTGTTGTGGATGCCATACTTGGCCTTAGTACCCTCTACTAGCATAAACCACGCGTTAATTACCTCAGGATCTTCCTGCAGTATCCTCTGTCTGTCCTTTGCTTAGTTAAACACTATCTTGAGCTAATCTAAACGCGTTACAAATCTTGTAGCCTAGAGTTTACCAACAGGCTCCCCACCACGCACACCCAACAGTTTATCAGCCATATCTGCCACCTCACACAGCTGAGGCGCAAATCCTTGCGAATTGAGGTCAAGGATATATTAGACAATCGTTTGCTCTTTAGTTGCAGTGAGCTTCTGGCAGTTTGCGCGTACGTTGAGTCGAAATGGAGTATTGCTAGCGCGTTCAGAGAGCCTGCGTTGGTTAACGTTGAATGCAGCAGCAGCAGCCTGATGGCTCTGAAACTGTCCGGTATTGTAGGCCTGGAGAGCAAGCTGCAGTCTCCCTTCGTGTTGAAGCAATAGGTCGTGATGTTGTTGAGACATACTGTGAAGTGCGGAGTTGTGTTGGTCTTGGCAGATTTTGACCGGTTCGGTGATATGACCGGCTCGGTGATAGAGTACGTTAGCTATGCAACAATGTTGCAATATTATTTTAAGTTTATTAAATATAGGTACTTAGTGTTTTAGCTATTAGTAACATTAGCGTGAAATTAGGGCTATTAGGCGCAAATTAGGGCTGTTAGGGCTGTTAAACAGCTGTTGCACGACCATGCCACGACTGTCAGCAACGGCCAGTCTAGGCCGGATTTTGAAAAACTTTTCCCAATGTAGGTATGCTCGCTAGGTACCCCCCCTTTTTTGACCTTTTCTAGCCTCTAGCTTGTGCAGTTTAATAGTTATAACAAAACCCTCTACTACAGAAATGTAGATGTAGTTTTTCTCTTTCTTTTAAGCCCTATTTTGCTAGAATCCATGTATTATTGACAAAGTTTTGGGGGGTACCCACGAAGGACGTTGGAGTATACCCATTCCGCCAGCCTACCACAGACTAAGCCTAATGATAAGCAACACGCTAGATTAAGGTCGCTAAGCATGTAAAAGAGGGGTAGCTAAGCAATTCAGGACTACTAAGACAATGCCTTAGCTAATAATTAACAGAAAGGCAGGGTTAAGAGTATATAAGATTAGAGGAGAGACACAAAATGGACAGGACAGAGAATACACACAATTTTTACTACCCACAACCTCGTCGAGTTTATACTCTGACAACAGTACGAGAATCTGACAAGAGTATTGTTGGCGCGTTTAGAGAGCCTGCGCTGGTTAACGTTAAATGCAGCAGCAGCAGCCTAATGGCTCTAAAACTGTCTAGTATTATAGGCCTAGAGAGCAAGCTGCAGTCTCCTTTTGTTTTGAAGCAATAAGTCGTGATGTTGTTAAGACATACTGTGAAGTGCGGAGTTGTGTTAGTCTTGGTAGATTTTTACTAGTTTGGTGATATGACTGGCTTGGTAATAGAGTACGTTATAGACAATTATAGTGCCAGCCAGCTAGCTTTGCCTCTAGCTGCTATAAGCGCTATGCCACGTGTCGTGTTCGTGCATAGTCGTCACAATATTGTCTATTTAACGTAAAGCACCACCAAGCTGGACACACCACTGAGCTGGATACTTTTTCTTGGCATTGTGAACACCATGTACTGTAACAGAGTAGGCGCCCTGCCCTCGAAATCAATACTACGTAACTTCCCTGTCTTTACCAAAAGGTAAGCACAAGAATACTTTAGCAAGTATTCGTTGCGTAGTATAATATATATAGACAATAATAGTGCTAGCCAGCTAGCTTTGCCTCTAGCTGCTATGAGCGCTATGCCACTTGTCGTGTTCGTGCATAGTCGTTACATGTACGGGACAAGCAACTACTTACTACTTGCTGCAGAACCTGCGTACAACGCACTTGCATCAGATGTAGACTCTTCTTCTGCATCTTTCTAGCACGTATGAGTGTTGTGCCTAGTCTTCCTATAGTTGCCACAGTGCTGTTGACCTAGCTGTGCTCTTTCTTAACTACTACTACCACGCGCTTTCTTTAACACTGTATGAGCTGCAGCCCCGCTTCTAGCTACTAATAATGCTGCTTTACTATACTCTACTGTGCCCCTATGCTAGATCTACTTTCTTTTTTAAGTCTTGCGCTTTATTATCTCTGCTAGTTGCTCTTCAAGCTCCTGTACATAAGCCTTAATAAGTATATTTTTATTTAGCATCTCTTTAGCCCCTTTAATAAGCTTTAAGAACACCTCCTAAGTAGATATTAGTAACTATACAAAGCGCTTACTTATAAGCTTTAATTATGACCTAAATTTGTGGGTATTACTTAGGGTTTTAGATTGCTATAGTGTTTCTAGTAGAGGTATTAATAGAGGGGTAAAAAATTGCACTTTAAGCTAATTAGGGACTGCCTGCGCATTAATAGGGACTAGTCCTAATGCCTTAAAGGCCTTTTTACAGTTCTTATACATTAATATGTTAAAAAACGCGTCTCTAAAGGCTAGAAGGAAGCCTTCTTTGTTAATATAGAAGATAGGATAATCTTGTGCTCCTCACAGTACTAGTGGAATTTGACTGAGTTGTGGCTCTTGTGGCTGTCTAGAATAAGCAGCTAATAGCTGCTAACAGTGCGCGCCTTTATATGCTTATAAAAGTGCTTTAACTACTTAACCCTAAGCTTATTATTAGTCTAGCTATTGTTAGAGACATTAAAAACCTAGTTATTAGGTATAATAGGCCCCTTGTACTAGGTAGAGAGGTAGTGCTTGCTAGAGAAGATAATAAAGGGTGGGATAGACCAGCCCTTTGCGCAGATGCCTTGGAAAATACTAGTCTACTCTTAGTTGCCCTGCTGCACTGCCTTTAGTCTCTCTTAATGCTTAGAGCCTGTAACAATAGCTCCTGTTAATATAACACCTATTATAAAGCTAGACTTATTAAAGTTTTAGGTGTCTTTATCTTGTATACTATACTTAGCTTTAGTATTCTCTACTAGCTAGAACTACATCTGTAACAACGCTCTACGAACAGTGACCCGATACCACTAGGATACGGTTCTAGCGACTCATGACCATGGCCCTTGTCGCATGGCATGAGCTCACACCGAACTGCCACCGAACCCTCATATATAAGGAGCAAGGGACTGTAGCATTGTAGAGTAGTTTTTCTGTATCCTTTCGTACAAGACCTATAGGTGTAGAGAATATATCCTGGTGTTCTTATTATCCCAGCACTCCCATATGCCTCGTAGCGGATTCACACCTATTCCGGATATCTCTCTTCTTGCCTGCGTCGTTACATTATACAGAAAAACTCGTCCCAGCCGGTGACGGCC